AAAATGTGAAACCAATTTTTAAGCCTAAGAGAAACGTTCCTTTTTCCTCCTTAGACACAATTAATAAGGAATTGGAAAGACTTGAAAAAATGGGAGTGATATCTAAGGTTGACCATTCGGATTGGGCCTCGCCCACAGTTTAAGAAGAAAAACGGAAAAATAAGAGTGCGCAGATTTTTCAACAGGGTTAAATGATTGCCTTAAAAATCAGTTACCCACTACCTTCACCAGAAGATATTTTTTCAAAATTGAATGGTGGGAAGATTTTTTCAAAAATCGACCTGTCTGACGCATACTTGCAGATTAAAGTGAGTGACGAATGCTCAAAATATTTTGTGTATAAATACACATAAAGGTATTTATAAGCTAAATAGTCTTCCTTTCGGATTAAAGGTCGCCCCAGCTTTGTTTCAACAAGTGATGGACACTATGCTGGCAGGCCTTGAGTTTGGTACCGTCTATTTAGATGACATTCTAGTCAAAAGTAAGAATGTTCAAGAACATAAAACGCACATCAGAGCGATATTCAAAAGACTAGAAGATTTTGGCTTGAAATTAAGCCACGAGAAGTGTAAATTCTTCATGGAAAGAATTACATACCTCGGACAGGTGATAGACAGTGAAGGCAGGAAACCGGACCCACAGAGAGCCGATGCAATTAAGAACATGCCTGCACCTGACACAGTTGCGAAACTACAATCGTTTCTGGGGTTGGCACAATATTATGCAATCTACATACCTAAAATGTATGATTTAAGAGCCTCCCCTTAACGAATTGTTGAAGAAAGACAAATGGTTTTGGTCAAAAGATTGCGAGACGGCTTTTCAGAAAATAAAAAAAAATGCCTACTCTCAGATCTCGCCTTAGCACATTATGATCCTGAGAAAGAGATCATTCTGGCAACTGACGCAAGTTTGTACGGAGTGGGTGCTGCACTGCTACACAAATATGAAGATGGCACTACTAAACCGATCGCGCACGCGTCGAGGACTCTTCTTCCGGCTGAAAAAAATTATAGTCAGATCGAGAAAGAGGCTTTGTCGATTGTGTTCGGGGTTAAAAAATACCATCGCTTTTTACATGGTAGATCATTTGTACTTCAAACGGACCATAAACCGTTACTTACAATATTTGGAGGTAAAAAGGGCATTCCTACGCATACAGCTAATCGCTTACGGCAATGGGGTGTAACCCTGCTTAATTACCATTTTAGGATGGAATACGTCAAATCTAAAGAACATGGGCATGCGGATGGATTGTCAAGGCTGATTCCAAAAAATGAAGAAATGTTAGACAGTTATAGCAGCATTAACTGAAGAAAAAGAAATATCAGAACTCTTGTTGAATACAATCAGGGAATTGCCGGTAACGTTGGACCAAATAAAAAAAGAAGCGGAAAAAGATCACTATATTGTGAAATTAAGGAACCAGACGAGATGGAACAAAAGACAGAAAAAGGGAACTCGGATTTCACCTTTTTCAATTTGCGACAACACATTGATGTACGCAGATAGAATTGTTATACCTCAATCTCTACGTACAGATATGCTGAAAGAATTTCATACCGGTCATCCTGGAATGTCTCGGATGAAATCACTCATGCGTGGTTACGTATACTGGCCAGGAATGAACAAGGATATTGAAGGTTTTGTAAGACTATGCAGAGGTTGTCAATTGGCTGCAAGGGCACCTCCGGTCAAAATGAATCCTTGGCCGAAAACGGATTTGCCGTGGACACGTCTACATATAGACTATGCTGGACCAATTAATGGGCACTATTATTTGATATTGGTGGACTCTTTATCGAAATGGCCTGAGGTAGTCAAGTGCAAGCATCCTACATCTAGGAACAACATCAGTGCATTGGATGAAATTTTCAGTCGTTTCGGGGTTCCTAGATCATTGGTTAGCGACAATGGTACGGCGTTCACAAGTATGGAATTTAAGGATTTCTGTACTGCCTTAGACATTGAACACATAACTACACCAGTGTGTCATCCCAGGTCGAACGGTCAAGCCGAGAAATTTGTTGACACTTTTAAACGTGCTTTACGTAAAAATAAAGGTATGGACACGGAAGAAAGAACCATTCAGAAGTTCTTAGCAATCTATAGGGTAACTCCTAATGAGAACAACGATGCGAAAATGTCACCGGCGGAAATTATGTTCGCAAGGAAAATTAGATCAATTTTCGATAGATTGTTACCCTATCAAAACAAAAAAAGTTGCTAAGAAAGAGGAAAAGTCAACATAAAAAAATACACTTCAGGAGAAAAAGTTTTTTTTTTTAAATTTTAAAAGTGGAAAAAGCTATTGGATGGATGGCATAATCCAGAAAAGGATTGGTAAAGTGGTCTACACGATTAAAAGTAAAAAATTTACGTGTAAAAGACACATCAATCAGATTAGACCACGATATGGTGAAGAAAGTGAAAAAAGCGAAGAAATTCCGATGGAAGTGTTATGCGATGCTTTTAACATGACACTACCCAATAGTGTATTTGAACCTGTATCGCATGGACCAGCCTTACGGGCTCAAAAGCGGAAATTATCTTCGCCAAAAAAGGATCTAATTGTGACGACTAAAAGAAGGAGCACACGGGAAAGAAAACCAGTGGAGAGTTTTAGTCCGGATCCAAAAAGACGACATTAGAAGCAGAAATTTTCAAAAGGGAGAATTTCAGCTTCGGGGGGAGGTGTTGTGATGAGATAACCCAACTTCCCTATTCACGATAATGTACGGTCTGGTGGCCGATAAAGTACGACCACAGGCAACAGTAGGAGAAAAAGAAGGTCTTCGTTTACTAATACCATTGCGGTTAGCTTACTCCCGACTCTGTCTCTGTATTTTGACATACCTACATCCGATTATAAAATTATTATTGAAAACCAATATTCGGGTTTACTTTGTTTATTATATCTTGCACGAGATATAACACATATAATGCCATTAAAATATTCAACCTGTGTGTTCCCAGTTGGGTGTTATGGAGTGGTTTTACTTGTTGCGACACTTTTCGGAAGAGATAGTCTCTCGGACACAAAGGACGCCTTTCCGTCCGAGGAACTGTAGCTGGGTATTCTGGCTAAGCTGAACAATAGATCTAGGAAATTACTGATGTTGTGTGCATGTTTGAACATAGGAAAACGAATAGAAACCGAGTGTGTTCGTCAATTACTACAAATAAATGTGTTACGTATGACAAGGCATGGGTCCCTTAAAGTCGATACTTAGTCGTTCCATGGGTATGGTCGCCTTGATAAGAGTTTCTTTAATTTCTACACAGACGCTGCAAGAAGCGCACTTTTTTCTTTTTTTTTTACTTCATCCGTAGAAAAGGAGTTTTTTTTTTTTTTTTTTTTTGCTCTAACAAAATGCAGGAGTCGACTGATTCCCGGGTAACATAGTTCATTATGAATGTCGGTGAGGGCTGACGTGATAATTGTAATAGTATTTAAATGAAGACAGACACTTTTAATACGTTAGGGCTTGTTCTCAGCCATCTCTTTATTCTATTCACGCTGAACCCTAATGCAAGGGGCATAACTCGAATGAATATGGCCAGTTTCGCAACATCTGTAATGCCCGTGTTCTCATCAATTGCCACCGAAAATGCAATAAATGACTTGACTTTGTGCTTCAGTTGCCTGTTCAAATGTGCAGAAAGATCTGAAATACTATCTTTCACAGTTTTTCTCGCCAGGCTGTTGGTAAAAGTTTACCGCTTCTCAGAGCATACAATTTCCGCAGCCTTCAGTATGCATGTCTTCACGAATTTACCTACCACAGTACAGCTTCGATGCTAACGCTATTTCTCTGGTAACAATGTAACTAGCTTTTACTTCTGCCTGACTGATATCTCGGCTTTGGATTAAAACAGACTGTTGTTTCTTCAGATTCACTAACAATTTATTTACCTTGACTCTTCTCATTTGTCCTTGAAAGTTATTGTATAGATTGGCATGATGTGTCTCATAATGCCGCCAAATGTTATATTCTTTGAGCACTGAAACCCGTTGTGAACACACCAAGCAGACGGGTTTCCCATTCACCTCCACGAATAAATAAGAAAAGGATCATGTGATCACCACATTAATTTAACTTTAGGAAACAAAACTGACGTAGAAAAGGATAAGCAAAAGACATCATTACACATAAAATATGTATTTAACAAGATGTACATATCAAAAAAACGATGTGAAAGAAAGCGTGCATTTAAGAAAAGGTTGAATAAAACAAGAGTTGTCTCTCTTTAATTATTATTTTTGTATTTCAAAGTTCCTGGAAGAATGTTTATAATGACTGTTCTCGGAAGATTTTGCTGTGTAAAGAAAGATTATGTGAGTGTATAAAGAATGTTCAGCACGTGAGTGGTGGTGTGAGTGAGAAGGTTGGAAGAGTTCGTAAAAGTTCCTACGTACGTGAATTCGTGAATAATTATTTAACATCTGACCGCCTATGGTCGAGAGGAGAATTCTTTGGGACTACATCTTATTCTTATTATTTATTCACCAAAAAGGTACAAATGTGCCACGAGGGCTAAAAATGGGTGTGTGGAAAAGACTGGTCTTCTCTAGTCCTATCTCAAAACTAACTAGTCTCATTCTTTGACCCATTCGTACTTACAATATTCCTTTCACCATTACAACGCATTTACTCCTTGCTGTCACACCACAATCGCCAACGTGATAGGATCAAGATCGCTTCGCGAGAAGAATTATTCTTCACGTGCAGACGATCTGATTGGTTGGCATTGACCAATCAGCAAGCGAGCTTTGGGGAGATTTAAGAAAGCTTTTGGGATCCGTTTCTTCCAAAAGTGCACAAACTTGACTACATGAAAATAGAGCGATTACAAAATTGTCGCATTGCTGCGATTTGTAAATTGTCTATAATAACGTAGTGGTGATTAATTAACCAATGAATGCTTGTCGTTGTATGTGATTTGTATTTGTGTATGTATGTGCAATATAGATCGGCACAATCACCTTTCATGAAATGATCTACACTCTGTATTATTCATTTTTTGTTCTTTTTGGCAAAGATGTTTTGGGTAAGGTAAAACAGAGCGAAATGTTGACCTAAAAAAAGAAAACATGTTGTTAGTCATTTAATTAAATTTTTTTAAGAAAAAAGGTAAGTAAATACATAATTTTTACGATCTTCAAAGTCATCTCGATGACCGGATGAAACACTGTAGCGCCCCAGTTCAGGCCCGCGGGTCGAATGTTTGACACCTCTACTGTAGAGAGTAAACTGCTCTCTCGAGTAGTTTACACACTCTGGTATTTACCGGGCACAGGGACCCGTCCCTGTGCTGGTAGTATCATGGCTATGACTAGCTTGGACCGGCTCTAACCAGCTTGGACAAACTATGACCAGCTAAGTCCAGCGGCCCGAGTGAAGACACTCGGGCTCCCACGTTAAAAACTGCCACAACCTGTACAGAGTAAAGTTCTGCAGTCTCATTACGTATCTGTTGAAACGTTCGCAAGCCCACACTGATTCAAGGCACTATTTGGGCGTATCTCTGTTTTATGCTTGACAATATTCTGGAATAGAACGCTACAGGTCTTAGTCTTTGGTGCTCTTGAAGAAGACATCCACCAAAATCATACTGTCAGCTTCGACAATGGATTGCCTGGTCGGATCGAAGCAGGTAAAGACCGGTGCTGTTGTAATAATTTCCTTCACTTTCCGGAACGCTGTGTGTTGCTGTGGACCCCATGTCCATGCTGCCACATTGCTCAGTAGTTCGTTGAGTGGCTTCAGAATAATGGAAAGATGGGGAAATTACCTAGACATGCAGTTCACCATATCCAAGTCTCGTCTGAGTTCAGTGACATCAGATGGTTCAGCTAATAAAGTTTAATCAATTGCTATGCCTACTGCAAAGAAAGTTGGTTTACTATCTCATGCTAGAAATTTTTCTCACCAGAATCTATCTTACATATTTATAAATCTATCATTCGTCCTTGCTTTGAATATTGAAGCTACATCTGGTCTGTTGCTCCTGCTGTATATTTAAGAGATTCTTGATAAAATCCAAATAAGAATCTGCAATATTATAGATCCTGATCTGACATTTCGTCTCCAGTCTTTTTCTCACCGCCATATCGTAGCTTCCCTGTGATTTTCTATACTTTCATGGTAATTGTTCTGATTAACTTCCCGCTGTGGTACCTAGACTTTATGAATTTAAGCGCAGTACTAGATTGGCGGCAAGGTCTCATCATTTCATAGTTGAAATGGCTAGATGTAACCACAAATTCTATGTTAAGTTTCTTTTTTACACTATATTGTTCAGATTGTTGTCCTCATTTTTATTGCCATATTCACAACGTTTCGGTCGTTGTACGATACGGCCTTCTTTGGGTGATATTCAAAATTTCGAACTGAATCTTTCATTTAGTCCACTGGAGCAGATTGTTCTAATTCCACGTGCCATGCCTTTGGATATCTCAGTGTTTTAGTTAATTTCCCTTTGATAACTCAACTCTCCATGTTTGTTTTTTTGTTTTGTTTTTTTTTTCCCTTATGCGGCCAGGGATTGAACACACCTCACTTTTAGATCAATTAACCAACTTTTATCCACTGGACCATGTGTCCGAACTGTACTGTAAATAGTTACAATACCTCATTTCCGAAATATAGACAGAACAGTAACACTAAACAGTTTCTTCTATCGAACTTCTCGTTTGTGAACAGGCTTCCAATTTTTTTGCTTCCCAGTAATTTTTTTTATCTTAAAAAAAAAAAAAAATAGTGGCGATTATATTAGTGAAGAAAAAAAGAAAACACGACAGTTTGTCTTTCGCTGACAAAATGAAAATTCGACTTGAGCTTTTTTTTTTTTTTTTTTTTTTTAGGCTTCCGTACTTGAAAATTATGGAAGTTTAAGTTTTAAAACTCCGTTTAATTAATTGGGATATTATTATAATAAAATTATTATGTAACTTAACTGCTAAGAATATTGTCTTCAAACCGAATTGTTTCAACTCCCTGCCATCCACCGTACACATTTTTGTAAAAAGAAAAAACTAATTACACAAGTTACTTGTGTAAGTTAAGTAGATGATTTTTTTAATCCTTAGATATTTAAAATTTAAAAATCAGTTGTAATTACATCCCTATTTCAATTAAATTTACTGTCATTATTGTTAAATGTGGACGTGACAAAATAAAATTATCCTACAAAGATTCAAGCAATTCTAAATATCTGTATGTTTATATTGCATTGTTAATCAAACTGACACATTACTTCGCGTTATAGCAACCGTTGCTAAGTTACCTGACGCTAAAAAGAAAAAGATAATAAAATCTTGGAAAAAATAGCCAAGTAGAGTGGATTTCGTGTACAGTTTTTTTCGTCGGCAAAAACAAAAAAGTAAGAAAAATCAACTTTTTATTTATTTACCCAAATTTTGGTTAAAATAATAATTTTGTTAAACACTCATTAATTTTTATTTTCTACCCGATAATGTACAACTATATAATTTTCACATTTTTTCGTTATCATTTTATCTATTTTTTTTTTTTTTTTTTTTTTTGGGAGATTATTAATAATCTATTATTATACTATTATAAAAAAAGATGATTATCTGTCCATCACACACTTGTGTATGCGTATGAATTGGCATGTGTGCATTTCTGTTGTGTATCATGAGTGACTTACAAGTGCTTGTGTCAGTTAAGCCACACACAATTTTGACTGATTTGAAATAAGACAATGGAATAAATGCATTACCCGCCCACCCATTCTGGACAACCCCTACCTTGGGCTGAGTAATAAAATCTTATTGAAAGAAGTTTCTTCTCACTCTCTCTTTATTAAGAAAACAAAAACTTCATGTCTATCAAATTGTCTCTTTTCAATTTTCATAAATGTCATCATCCCTCAGCAATGAAGATGGGAAGAAGCAAGATTTATTAATTTAGAATTCTAGCAAAATAACCATTTTCGATTCTTATAATAAGAAGCTAAACCTAATTACTTTTATGCATGTGATGAATCCTATAACTCTTCACAAAAATTTCTTTCTCTTACATAATTTACAAAATGGATCTTTTCCAAAATTTTGTCTCGACATAAATTCTGAAGATTTTGTTTCAGTCTCTTAGTCTCCATAAATAACAGCTATGTTTCAGGATCATCACATAGAATAACTTTTAAAAATCTACCACTTCTAAATCTTGAATTTTGGGTTACTTGTAAGTTCAGCTAACTTGAGTTACTAGTAAATAGAAAGTCAATTCAAAATTTAGTCACATTTGGCTTTCAAATTTCACCAAATTCATTATAGGTAGCTAATTCTGGCAACCCTCTTTTGATCTTACAGTGAGCATAATTTCTTTTTGGTTTTGTTTTAGTGGTGATGTTGAGAAAAGTAGGATTCTTCTCTGATATCAATTTTTCTGCAAATATTTTCTTACTGCATTCTGTAAATTATCAGTATTATTATTTTCTTCTTTGGGTCACCAGTTATAAGAATTATATCTAATTTGTAAGAAAATAACTGTTTCCGGAGGTCACCAATTATTAGTTTATTTAAGAGAGTATATAGCTCACCTGGGTGGTTTCTTTTGGGGAAATAGTGTACAGCACCCTTTCTAGTTTTATAGTATAAGGCTAAATAAAGGGAATAGAATTTGTATTGAAGAATTTATGCCTTCACTCGATTTGAAAAGACATAAATCTCATTACAATTTTGCATTTTGTAAAAAAATAAAAATGTGTTAGCGTTTGAATTTGGGAAATGTTTTAACAAAGGACAGGAAATGTGAAACTGAAATCCGAAGGTGCACTGGAAAAGAAACAAGGAAGTTTTAAGGAAAATGAAAAAAACATGCTTATGTTTAGAAAGAGAATTGAAATTTCTAGGATATACAATGGGGCAAATAGGGGTTGGAGAATTTGACACTCACAGGAAATATTGAAGACAAGAGGAATGGAGACAAGCACTGAGTAACCTACCTAGCAAGTTTGGTTGACAGAACAAAGAGTGGGAGGAATAGTAAAAAGACAGCTACAAAGGATAAGTTGTGGAGAGCCCTGATCGACCATGTCCTGAAGGAACTTAGCATATAGAATAAGTCAGTGTTTGGTTTATCTTCATTGAAAATGATACCTTCAACTGTAAATATCAGAGGTGCATATCAGTCAGTCAGTTATGTGTGATACACACTTAGGCGATCATGTATCTTTCGATACATGACTGATGAAGCAGATTTTTCCCGCAGTAGGTTGCCACTTCTTTCTGCAGTAAACCAGTTGCCATCCAAGGCTATAGAACACGGTCTGTTCTGCTATTTACCCATAGCTGCAGGGATTCATACCTTTCCCAAGGTGAATGGAATGTAATGGAATGGATTCAATTGTAATTCCAACTCGGCTCTCTGATTCCTCAATTCAAGCCGCTATCCATTACTCCACCATGCCTCCTCATATATCAGATGCATATAAAAGAGTATATTCTTAACTGTTTCGACTTCTTTCATCCATTGTATTTGGCCGGCCTCTCATTGAATATCTTTTTAAAATTCTGTTCTCAGTAACTATATCTAGTTTTTGGCTTAGGTTAGGTGATCTGTTTGAACTTCAAGGTCATGTAGAATAGTAATATTATTATGTCTATATTTCTGAGATGAGGTATTATGTACACTATTTACATTATTTGGACTATTGTTCTCATCTTTGTCGCCATATTTATTACAATGTTTCAGCCATTGTACGCTCTGGCCTTCTTCAAGTGATTGGAATGTTAAACTGAACCCTCAAGGACACATGGCACAGTGGATAAAGGCATTAGTTAGATCCAGTGACAGGACCCAAAGAGTGTGAGTTCAATACCTGGTTAAGGTGATGGAGAGGGGAATTAACAGGAGATAACTGATAACTGACATCCATTAGACATGGCACATGGAACTAGAAAAGTCTACCCCAGTGACCGAAATTCATTTCGACATTCCAACCACCTGAAAAAGGCCGTAGCGTACAACGGCCGAAACATTGTAATAAATATGGCGATAAAGATGAGGATAATAGTCCAAGTCAGTAATATTATTATTGGTTTGCTTTGGCATAATCCCAGCGTTTGCACATTTCCCAGTGGAACTCATTTCCTATCCATTCATGTCTATTCTTTTATCCATCAACGTTAATGGGGCTAACTGTGATATTCAATAAAACATTTTCCTCATTAGCATTCAGCTCAGTTTTTTATGCAATAATGGTAATATTAGCTGTTTCCTTATAAGGAAACATTCAGCATACATTTAGCATGTAGTCAGTACTACTGTTGGTGGAAATTTATAAAATCTTTCTCTTAAAATAATTTTTCAGGAAAATAAGTTTCTCAATTCCACTGTTATTGCTCTTTCTGATACTGATAGGAGTTACCTTCCAAACCTTTTATTTGAAGTGTGTGGAACATCAACACATTTACATTTATCCTTTTTATTTAACAATTTCTCTTGATTTTTGACACTAATATTTGGAGTTTTTCTTCTAAGCACACATGGAAAAACATGCAATACTAATGTTGAAAACGGTATTTATTTTTCACAATAAATATATAATTTCTGACATAATCTATCAATGCACACAATTTATTGATGAATATAGATGGAACATTATACAGTGAAAATTTCAGACCCAAATCTGGCAAACATATGTCAGTTTGCAGATTTCTTGATCAAATTCTTATATGATGAAAATAAAAAGAATTAATAATCAAAGACCAGTGTGAGATATTTGTTTAATCAGCAAAACATTTGCTACTAATTGATGTAAAAAAAGAGTGACAGACAAACTCATCTGTTACCCTTTAGTGAAGTACCCAATATTTATCATAACTAAGAGAAAAAAAAATCATTAACTCAATACAAATTAAAAATGAAAACAAATATGTGAAATTTGTCTTCTGTTTTTTTTTTTTTTTTTTTAAATGTTTTGTGTATGTGTCACCCATATTACCCATTCTAAACAAGTGCCACGTGACCTCTTTGAGGGTCCTGTCATATTTGCCAAGAATAAGCACAGACTGAGATTTATAAGATGGGGATCTCTGAGAGTGGTTATGGCAAAACATAGAAAACAACAGGAAGCAATGAAGAACCTTTCACTCTGCATATTTGGTTGAGTGGCAATTCAGCAAAATAAGTTGACAATATCCAGAATTGACATCAGGATAAAAAATGACAAATGATGCTTATTTTAGAGTTTGATATCATGGGACTTGCAGGAAAGTACAAACCTCAAGGATCACATTTGGCTTAAAAGTTGTTTAATTTCAGATAAACTTTAAAAAAATTTCGTCCAGGATGTCAGAATTTTGATGTTTTTTTTTTTTTTAAAAATGTCTAATAATAAACAAATTTATGTTGATCTGTTCATGTTATGTTCCAGCTTGACAGAGGACACTGAATAAAGCTCTTAAGAGGTGTGAAGAACTTGTGAAAATGAATGACTAACTTACATTGTATGTCATTTCTTGTGGCCTTGAAAATACTTTTAAAACTGTTGATATAGAAATGTAAAAATAAGACACTTTTCTATTACAGATGTCACACAATGGAAAATAAATTTTATGGGTCAAGTAACCAAGAGATTTTTATTGCATCAATTGGATACAAATTTTGATGACCAGTTCCTACTGAAAAGAGGTCATTGCAACCTACTTTTTATATTGGGTTGTCTGGAAACTTCATGTCAATTTTTAAGGGAAATTAAGACACAAAACAAATTATGCCATTAAATATTTATTCAACTAAATATGAACCAATCTTTGTACAATCTTTCTTCATTTTTCCTTCAACTTAAAGATTCCATCTTCCCAGAATGTTGGTGGTTTCTTGGCAAAGAACTCATTAAGGTATTTTTTTATGTCATCCAAAGAATTAAAATTTTTACCATTGAGATTAAGGACCTGAATAAATGAAAATCCGAAGGAGCAATGTCTGGTGAATATGGCGGGTGGATAACACATCCAAGTCGAGCTGAAACAAATTTTACCTGGTCGCCAAAGAAACGTGAGGTTTGGGACTATCCTGATGGAAAACAACACCTTTCCTGTTCACCTATTCTGGTCATTTTTCTTGAATTGCTGCCTTTAATTTGTCCAGTTGCGAGCAGTACTTTTCCGAATCAATTGGCTGGTTACTTGGCAGAAGCTTATAGTACAAATCCAACCAAATGTACAGTATGACTTCTCTTAGGATGAAAACCTCCTTTTGAGATGGCTAAAGTTGGCCCATGTCACTTACCTCAGGATCTTTTTCACTGAACATTGTTGTAAACAATCCATTTCTCATCACCTGTCACAATTTGCTTCAAAAACGGTTCATTTTCATTGCATTTATACAGCAAATCACAGATGAAATGTGAACCAAAAGATTCTTTTCATTCAGGTCATGTGGCACCCAAACATCATTGTGATTTGACTATCTAAGCTTCACTAAGTGCTCATGGATCGTGGATTTTGATAAACAATCCGCTCACATACAAATATTTTTTCAGCGCGTGAACAAGTCAAGTTTTCCTGCCATTTTCCTTGAGCCTGCCATGTGATTACATTAATTATAAATAGCAGACACAAGCTTGCTCTCTCTCTCTCTTCTTCTTCCTTGATTTCTCTCGCAACAAGATGTAGTTGTAAAAAGGACTCCCGTCTCAACCATGTGCGGTCAAGCGTTAAAAGCATATTCACTCATGCATGTATGTACAAAATTTTCCAAACTACATTACAAACATACAAAACATTTCCAAACAAGCAGCAAGAACTTTTCTCTTTGAAATACTTTTCTAAATCTACAGTTTATTCAGCATTTTTCAGCTTTATAATTCATTCAACTTTTGTGAGCTCAGTTAAAAATATTAATTCAGTCAAAGGGACATAACACCAACAAGTAACCTCTATGCATGTACATCATTACACAAAAATAAATATAAATGTTGTTTTAAAACCGTTTGTTTCTTCTTGTGTTTCATATTTTGTGGTATTTTGCATTAAATATAAATCGTGTGGTCATGTTAATAAACAGACATCTACAAATGGTCATTCTTATTAACATACCATTACAGTATCCTACACTCACATTGTATGAACAGTAAACTCGCCCACACAGGCTATATAATCTGTGACTTACCTCCCTTTTATTTTGTAGCTGAGTTTCATTTAGCTAAATAAAGCTTAGTACTTTTACTTCTGTTCTGAGTTTTGTTTTACTTACCACATCCCACTTATCTATTTTTGCCATATTATGTCACAAATGTCCTATTACCCACTTATTTATTTTTACCTTGCCATATTCTATTATCTGCATTTTATTATGACCAACTTACGTTCCCTATTATGAGCTAATTATCTACTTGTGCCCTAATATGCCCCGTTTATCTTATTATGACCCACTTATCTATTTATAGCCTATTGTCTCAATTATCTATGTCTCCTATTATGTCCCAAATACCTGTGTCCTATTATGTTCCATATATATTTACCATTATGAGCTACTTATTTGTTTATGTCCTATTGTGTCCCAACTTATCTATTTGTGTCCTATTATGCCCCATTTAAAGAAAAAAAAGTACATTCTGAGTCATTAAAATAAAAGTAAGAAAGAAAAACTCAAACATTTATTTGAAAATTGTCTTCATTCTCTTTGAAAAACTATGAAAAGAAGAAAAAAAAGAAAGGAATCTAAATTGAGACTCCTTGAACATTTTGAGGATTCCCCTATTCAGGTTGTGAAAGTCTTCGAACTCGTGTGGTGATGCAATTAAATTACTTCCATCAATTCCCCTCCCCAATTTAGCATGGTACTTATTTAGTATGGAATGCTTATTTTTCTAAATAATTTTCTCTGCGGCACAATTATTTTGTCTAAATGTTTATTAAACTTGTATAAAACTTCCTGGTGGAACATTTATTTGAACTGGCACACTTTATTTTATAAGTTGTAAAATTCTCACTTGTATGATTACTAACTTGTATTTGGTACAAAAGAATACATATAAACATAATGTTTTCTAGAACCCTCTATGATGTAATAATCTTTTATTTGAATTTCCAGGATGCTTCATTCTACAACAAGTGTAGTTCCAGCTGGGGCCCGAGTTCCTGAATATAGTATGCATAAAAACATTTATTTAACTGGTGACTGGAAATCTCATATGTGGCGAGGTGCTTCTCATTACATACCTTCCGAGAGACGATGGCTGGCGTACCATAATTATCGATGCCTCCCATTGCTGGCCAAAAGAGATGCCAAGGATTTGCAATCTGAGACAGAATATGTCGACTTTATTCAATCGAGAGATACCCCGTCAGGTCAGTATTGAAAAAAAAAGATCCCTTGTGCCCCCCTCCCAAGAAACAGTATGTTTTCTACATTTAGGCCAGGAAGGACAAACTCATACTAACGCCTACGTTTGTTTAGTTTTATTTATTTAGTGTGTGCAAAACTTTCCAGCAAAAATAAAAACAAAGAAAATCAAATACTGAATAGAGTTTGTTTTTGTTTTTTAAATAAGAGTCACTGGAAATATTTGCACACGATTAACAGGTTTTTTTTTTTTTCTTTCTAATCATCATTTCAATTATATCTGTAGATATGCAGAATAGATTTTCACAGCAACATATACTCCAACTTTTTATTAAGTTAGAAAGTCATTGTGCAAACCCCACGGTTGTATTTTTCCAGTAGTATGAGATGTATGGCAGAAATGTTTCTAGCTTAACAAAAAGCAATGCAGTGGCGTAGCTAGAGTAAACGTCACCCGGAGCGGTCCATTCAAATGTCACCCCAATGACCCCGATTCACCCTATGCTGAATGGTTAGCTGTAGCTAAATTTTCATACATGCTCTTCCTCTACTTTACTCTACTGACCGGTACGTTACTGCCTACATGTATGATCCAAGACAAAATCCAATGCCACAAAATAATCAGTTCAAATCAAAAACTGAAAACATTGCTATTTTTCCTACTCACAAATTTCCCAACAATTTATTAGAAAATTTCTGACAGGGGGACAAAACTTGGGCGGGGGTCATAAATTCTTTCGTGGGAGGGGTCGTATGCCAGCCTGCGAAACCCTGTGTCTCCACTGTTTTCAGACTATTTTTGGCACCTTAGCCTGGTTGAAAAATTTTGTTGGGTGTGACATTGTGTCACCCCTCCTGTGCTGCCACCCGGGCAGTACGCCCCCTCTCGACCACCCGCCCCACAGCTACGCCACTGAAGCAATGACAATGAAAATTATCAACATGTAAATAATGGGTTATGATTATTTGCATGTATCTTTATACAAACTAATAAATGATTAACAAAGAAAATATACCAGAATATCTCTACAAAAATAACTGAAAAGATAAAAGACAATAAAGTTTAGCTATTAAGAATTTTGTGTATGTCTGTGTGATACATATGTGTGTGAAAGTTCAGTCACTAATGATAAAGACATTGTCTCTCAGCAGGGACAAGACCCATGTTGGTGTTGATTCCTATCGTATACTGGGAGGAAAGAGGAAAAGAGAAAGAAAATGTTCAGTTTTTATAGCCTTTAAACAGTGCCATCTAGCAGACTCTTGGCAGACAACTGGTAATGATTAAGTGCAAAGACTTTAACTGGCTTTGGCTCATTTCTTCACAAAACTTTAATAAATGATTTTATCTATGATGACCAATTTCTTTAATTAGGTCCAACACCCAAAAATGTTGGTCAAAAAGACAGAAGGGGAAACACTAAGGGTTCCAAGCAAGGTAGTATTTGGAATTTCTAGCAGGATTTTTTATTTTGTTTTGTTTTGTATCTGGATGGAATGAGCTTAGACACCTAGATGGCCAGGATTATCCCACATACCAGTTTTGCACTCTACCAACGTTAGCTTAAGAAATTATTTTATATCCAATATCGATCTTTTCCAAGTCGATTTTTGTTGATTGATACTTTGAGTTACAACCCACATGTCAAGATTTGTTTCATTAAAATCTCTCCTGCTAATTTTAAATGTAGTTTCTAAAATTACTGCTAAAAAGCTAATTTCTACAAACTGAATTCAAACAGCCTTGGTTGATAGATAAACTCTGTTCACTGACTCAGTTATTTGAGATAGTAATTGCTATGCCTCTCAGCATTTCTTATCATCAAACATTTATAGATATAGCATTCAATTTGTACATATATTATGGGATGATAGTTTTACGTCTCATAGAGCAAGTTTGGTATTACAATATTTGTACTATCACAGGATTCAATAATATTACAGTATCTTACAGTTTCTGACTTTAACAGGTAGCTTTTTTTACAATAAACAACCCTGACTTAATATGTCACAGATTTTCATCAAATTTTAAGAGATACGGGGATATTCAGATAAACTCCAATTTTCCATAGGATACCTGCACTCTCTGTTGTTGGTGACACCAGGAATTGCTAAATTTCAGAACTGTCACTAGTGAGTTTTTACTTGAGCCTTGATGTCATCACCGCACCAAGTCAAGTCAAACAATGACCTTAAGGGATGTGGTATTAGGGTGATTCTAATATGAAGAATGTGAATTATAATTTTGGTGTACTTGTTTTGTTTTTTTAGATCAAAGAAACAATGCATCGATTTTAACCAAGGTATTGAAAAAAACGACTTAAGTAAAGAAGAGCAACCTTTTATCCCAATTCATTTGTGCTGCATTTTTTTAATAACCATTTCTAAAAATAAATATTTAATAGCAAAACCTTTGAATTATTATCCATCAAAATTCTCTGGCCATTTTGTTTGGCGAAAAGGAATTTCAAATTAATTTGAGGTCAATCAGTATACTCATTTGAAGTGTTAAATATAAGAGAAATAAATGTACTTCATTTGATACGAATTTTATTATTCTATCAGGTCTAAAACTTGTTTCATAGGATTGGAGATCAAGGTGAGAATGGAGATAAAAAAAATTGGTGGAAAAGAAAACTCAATTAATAAATAAGCTATACTATCTTCAGGAAGGGTGAAGTTAAGTGCCAAAAAATTAGAGATAGTAAGCTCCTGGAATACAAGATACAAGTCTCATTAGAAATTGCTTCTATATTCTGACAGTTAAGTGATTTAAACCAGGGCTTCTCAAAGTGGGCATCAGCACCTGTTAGGATGTGATAAGGATCATGTTGATGGTGATGGAACAATAAGATGGTGATGGAAATTTTTTAAAATGGGGCCGAGGTAATATAGAAAAATCCTTAGAAATTTAAATATTTCCCAGAATCGTTAAAAACTACAAAATCCTTGGAAATTCAAATATTTCCCGGAATAATTAAGAACTGTAAAATGCCAACAATAGTTATTTTGGTTGCAAGGAAAAATTCCAGCATGATATCCCACCTGATGGACAATTAAGAAAATATAAATGCTACCATTTTCCATATTATGTTTGATAGAATGAGGTCTCAGTACAGCTCTTAATCTTTTCAACTAAAGATAGAAATAGTCTGAGACTCATTGAAAAGGCTAAATTTAAGCCTTCTATTAACAACGATAACACCTGACTAATTAATAAGTCATAACCATGTTTAACGTTCTCATTAACTGTTAATTCTCTACTTACCAATCTATGTATAAATTTGACAATAAGATTATTCTTTGTTACACTAATGTGAAATAAACTGTTTAGTTGAAATTGGTTTTCATTTGTCACAGTGCCAGCTACCATAAACTTACTTTAAACTTAACTCAAAAAACAAGGGATTTGCAGACCTAAATTTACAAGGACTTTTGCCCTTGTTTTGTAAAAGTATTTTTGATACTCCTTGTGTGTGTGTGTGTGTGTATATATATATATATATATATATATATATATATATATATATATGGTTGGTGCATAATTATCAGGCGTTTTTGTAGGTGAGTTATTTGTTAATAAAAATTGCTGTTTTATTTACTTTTTTTTAATAAAAACATTTTATTTTCAAGTTATAAAAATGTATATCGATAATTATACGCTCTGAAATAATCATTTAAAGATGTTATTGTTGAATTGTTGTTTCTTGTTTCATAATAAATATTGTTTAAAAATGCCTGATAATTATGCTCCAACCCAATATATACGCACAAAAAATTGTTTAGACTCTGAAATGGCCTATTTGTATATCTGTTGATTTTCATCTGATTCATTCTTCAGCTTTCAGCTAGTGCAATTCCTGTTAATTTCCAATTTCATTAAAAATTATTTTTCTTATAACCTTCCTAAAAGATGATGTCCTTCAGATTTGCAAACAGTCCCTCCGTAAGTCACCATGTTGAATATAGGAGATAAGCTGAAGTGCCAAAAAATTAGAAACATTTACTTATCACTGCTGTGAACATACTTATACATCTTTATTAAACTTTCATTGCCTGCTGTTGACATATATATACATTTACAAGACATCATGAAATATCCCACCCTAGTGTTTGTGTTATAAGCTAACTGGCACTTTGTGCTATTTCCAAACCAGCGTAGGTATAAAGTACAGTATAATATGACCTGTTCTCTAATGTATTCTTATTTCATTGTTTTGGGTGTACTTAATGCGGTCTGTATTGCTGAGTGCCTGGTCAAAAGCAAAATTACAATGTCAATAAAAAATTGAGATTAGCCAAGCCTCAGAAAATGTGCTAATCTGATGCTGTAGGCAGGTTGAGCCATCACTTTCAGCTCTAAGTTCCTACATCTAGAAGTATGATCCATTTTCAGATGTATTAGTCCATAACTAATTTGTGTTTGTTGGGTGGGACTTCAAGACATTTAATGAAGTCTGCAACATGACCCATACATACTCAACTGATTTTTACATCTGACGACTGAGACTTGAAATTGAGCTGAGGATTCCTGCAGCCAGTTTCACATTACCTTTGTACAATGGAGGGCCACATTATCTCGATGAAACTGATCCCTGCTACCAGGAATCACGAAGGCATTGAAATGGTCTGCAAAATTGAACATTAATTTTGCAGACCATTTCAATGCCTCCATTCTTTAGTTTCATCAGTTCAGACCTTTACACCTCAGACACGCTGTGTTATTTCCATGGAGTCAAATCACCCTCATTGCCTTCATGTTCTAAATGTAAAAAGAAAGTTCCACTCAGTTTTTTTTTTTTCTTTCAAGAACTGCCACTTTGTGGAACAGACTCCCACGTGGATGCTTCCCTGAACATTACAATTTTAACCTCTTCAACAATCAATTGTTATCTATCCTCATAATCCTCACTTCTTACCACCTCCTCTTTCATTCATATCATACACTCCATTCTTCATTGAAAACTTGTTCTTGCATCACTTGTAGGTAGGGCTAGTGTATATTACTCTGACCTGGAGTGGGGAAACATAGTTGGAAACCCTGGGCAATGCTTTTTGACCCTCATTATTAACATTTGCTTTATTCTACCTACATTTATATACGTTACAAATGAAACTTAGTGCAACTGTTAAAGGATTGAAATTTTTTACTGATTTTGACGTCATTCTGAAGTCTTTGTTTTTGTTTTTATCCAAATCCGTGAATTTGTTTTGCTCATGCTGTGTCAAAAAAACTATATAACATTCAGTATTTTTTTTATCCATAATGTTGTATGTGCTAAAATTATTCAAATGCGGGATGTTAAAAATTGCCGCAAAACATTGTTCATTTAAGATGGCATGATCTATTATGACATGTCTACTAATTTGTATTTAGATACATTGTATTTATTTTCAATTTTTCTAGTTGAATTGTTCACCTATATTGCACACAATCCATTATTGTACATAATTAGGTTACAATAAAATTTTTATTCTATATGAATACTACCTTATAAAAATTGAGAATCTATAAATGAGGGGAGAGGTCTTGAACCAGCCCTGTTTGTGGTCACCCACAATTGTCATCTACCAGTAATGCCTGCTTTGAATTCACATATTCAGGGTATATCTTTGTTTCTGTTGTCAGAGAATTTGCCACTATTTTTCTGGACCTAACAATCATTCCATGATTAAATCTGCATCTCATGGCTGCCACAGCTACACTACCTCTTTACCTATTATGCCAGACCTGCACCATGGGACCGAGTCCATTCTGACAAATGGGGAAGTGAAACTTTTCAATGTACTGCTAATTTTTTTCACTTTAGTCTGTTTTTGATCATGTCATTAGTGTAATTGATTGGTAACAGTCAAGTTCAGAATTATTTCATAAACCGAGGTACGATCCCTGAGCTTGCTTGGCACGGTTAAAACAATTTCTTTTCTTTTCTCTGAGTTTCATGAGCAAGAGTGATGGTTCATTAGCATCCATTTTAAGTAATTATTTCATTTTCATTTTTTTTTTTTTTTTTTTTTGAGTTGGCTGATATAAACACAGGTTTAAATGCTTTTCTTCTTCTTTAAAGGAATTCGCTACAGAAATATTGGCTTGCTGCCTTGCAGATATCCAGAGTTGAGACTTTTTGGTTACAAAAGAGTGACTCCAAGCTTCCCATGCCGTGAATTTATGTGTTGGCCCCTCTCATCTGATGTGAAATGCTATCATGACCCCTATGTTACACAGAGAGGGGAATATGGCTATTACCATGATGTTCTGGATACATCTGCATTTCGACGCCGTAAAGATGTGCCAGCGAGCCTAAAAATTGATGCATGTGATGTCCCAAACTATGGACACATTCCTAACTTTCTTTATGGGAAAACCACATTTTCAGAATGGATTGACCGAAATAATCCAATGTATAATAACACGTTCTGTACTGGCATACAAAACACTCATCATGTTGATCAGCCTGATCCAGATGCTTAAAGGCTTACTCACTTGAAGAACAACAGCCAACTTGAGGTATGTCCTACCATACATCAAGGGAATGAAAATGTTTTCACTTGTCTTTAAAAAAAAAAAAAATGAATAAAAATAAAAACAACTTCATAAAACCTTCCTTCTCAGTCTACATTTGAAGCAAAAAGCAATAAAACCCCCCAAAAAAGAGATGAAATAAAGTCAGTTTCTTCTAACACTTGTGTGTAAGAATCTGCAACATTATTGGACCTGACATCTCTGGTTCAATCATTTTCCCAAACCCCTTTTCTATAAATATTTCCACGGCAATTTTTCTGAAAAGCTTTCCTCTTTGATATCTTGACTTCATGAATATAAATGCCAGTACTAGATTGGCAACTAGGTCTCTTTTACTGTGGAAATTGCTACATATATAGCCAATCTAGTATGCAAGTTCTATTCTAATAGTTTCTTCTGGTGTGTGCACTTTTCACCAATGGAACACTTTTTCAGCTTGCTTTTCTGTAAACTACAATCTTGAAAAGTTTTACACACCTCCAGTCATCATCTTTTGGAACCCTGTTCTTTTGTTCTCTCTCCACTAATATTTTCTTTCATTCTCAGTAACCCCTTGCTTCTTATCGGCTTTATTTTAATATTACTTGAGGTCTAAATGCAATCAAGAAATGTCCCAACAGTTGCCATAGCAACCTTAAACCTATTATATTTTCTCATGTATTTTGTTTGTTTTCCCTGCTGATATGAATGGCTATGAGCTGCAGGATGCTGATCAACTTGAAAGTTGAACAGTTGTTCATGGAACTGTTCTAGAACTTTCCTAGATTCCTGGGTTTCTTGCACTTGCCCTGTGGAACGCTTAATTCCTTGCTATCTACAATCTTCAAAAATTTAAATGCAACATCAATCGCCATCTTGTCTTCCTGAATCCTGTTCTTTTTCAAGTCACATTGTAGAGCACACTGTATTGTCAAGCAGTTTTTGTTTAAAGTAGTCCTATTGTTCTTCATGATATTGAACACTCTTTTGTCAAACTAGTGAACCATTTTTGGGTGTTTTTGACTTTTTTTCTTGTTAATTGTGATATTTATGGCTATTTTGTTCTTGTCCAAATAGGTTACACTCCCCCCCATCCATGAGTTTGGGTGGTGTGTGCATGATATATAAAGGTTCCTCGTCTCATGCATTACACTTTCCGACCACCTGATGATTGTACAAAAGCATACGAAACTGTTGTTAGTCATGGTCAGTCACTGCTCACTGGAAATTATATATATTTTGAATATGTAGGTCTGATGAATTGGATCGTGATGACAATTCCAATGTAATAAATTATAACCATGGAATATTAGTGTTTGATCCGTATATATATATATATATATATTAGTGTCTTGGGGCAGCAGATTATTATTTAAACATATATTGTTAAACATAACAGACAATGAATGTTTATTATGTCTGATCATGAGCTGTTAATTCCGTTATTGTCGCATAGCAGTCTTCTATGGTAAGTATCTTTGTTAAAATGTCTGCATAACCACTCTGAAGATGGGTCATGTGAGTCGAAAGCTTAGACCAAATTAAAGAAAAAAAGAAAATATCTAAATGTTAGACAGTTTTTGTTTTTATATTCACCCAAAATTAAAGCACATACAAACTTAAATGGATCATGATCAGACATTCATATATATAAACATTTTTTTTTCTGTTTATATGTTATTTCTTATAGACATAAATATTTAAGTAAATGCTCGGTTTAAAATAAACAATATTAACATTTACCAGCCTGAGTGTCAGAAATCTCATAGAAAATATGTGTACTCGGACAGGAATTGAACCAGTATCCTATACAGAACCATCATATAGTTTGCTGTGCTATGCAATTTAGCTACAGTGGAAGCGTCTGGTTAAATATTTGTATCTATAAAAATAGCAAATAAACAGAACATATTAAAGTAATTGTCAGACTTAGTAATGTGATATATATTATGAAATGGACTAAGTGGTAAGGATAATCGAAACAGGTCTATTTAATATAAAATATTAAAAAGATAGATCCATAGAGAGAGCTCAACTATTCCATAATTCTGGTCTGATGAGGCAATTGTCTGTCTGAAATAAATTCATACTCTAATGATGCATTAAGTTTTTCATTTGATATAAAGTCAACACTCAGAGAAGACAAACTGTTTCATGCTAAACACAATCAGGCCTGATGATTTTGTTTAGCATGAAACAATCTGTCACCTCTGAGTTGACTTCAATGTTCACTTTTATATTTACATATTCACTATCTCTGCTATTGAAAACTTTATCCTATAAATATAGCACACCTTAAAACTATATTCTCTAATATATATATATATATATATATATATATATATTAAAAAGAGAGAAACCGCAAACATTTTTGGTTGTAATGTGGATTTTTAAAAAAAATATATTATGCTTTATTGTCCATAATTTTGCTATATGGGTTTCTGGTCTCACGACCTTCATCAGGCAAACAGTGGATATTTCCACATATTATTAAAAGGAATTAATTTTTCTCTTGTTTTTTAATGTTAAACATTCTCTTTTTTGTGTTAGTGACACAAATGTTTTCCTTGAACTGGCAGTGAGAATGTTCTTCTGTGTGAAGGGTAATAAAACAATTAAGATTGGTCCGAGAACGGGTGAAGAAAGATATCTGTATTCTTATCTTTTAATGACCCCTGTGTGTTCTTAGATCGATTTCCATTTTTTTTGTGTTGTGTGGGTTTTTGTCAGCATGCATATGTATACGTATATTCTCTCTCCATACATACTGTCTTATTATAAGGAATTACTATACACATATATACACATAAACATACCCGCACAATACAAAAAAAAATGTGATTTCTGCACTCAAATGCACAAAATGCAGGAAGTCATATATAGGTAAACAACAGGGTTTCTCCCCCAAGAAAGCAACATTACCGGACAACAGGAAACTCTTTGTATCACAACACATCTATAAATATAACCAGGGTAAATTTAAAATTATGCCAATATATCAAACAGACAATTATTCTTACCTACAGATACAAGAAAAAAATCCATAAACAAATTTAAATCAGCACTAAATAGATCATAACCCCACACACAAAATGGCCAAATACAGCTGTAGAACCACTTGCATGCATGCACACACGTGGACATATGTGGAGCACAAATATGTATATGCATACTAATTCCTTATAAGACAGTATGCATGTATGGAGAGGGAATGTGTGTATACATACACATACTAGTGTGTGTATGTATATATGTATATATATATATATATATATATATATACACACACACACACACACACACACACATATTGGCAAAAAACAAGACTGCTCACAGGCACACACAAATCCTATACAACATAGGAAGTGTATGTGCATACTAATTCCTTATAATAAGACAGTATGTATGGAAAGGGAAACAAATGTAACAAAATTATAGAAAATAAAGCATAACATATATTTTTAAAAAAATCCACATTACAACCAAAAACGTTTGCAGTTTCTCCCTTCTTTTTAATATATACAAACTTTTCTCTCATTGGAACAACTATAACTTCTTCCCTTTTATTAAAATATATAAATATATATATATATATATATATATATATATATATATATATATATATAGCCAGGTTGTGTTTAAGGCTACAGGTTTTACACTCAAAATTGTTCACAGGATAATAGCCTAGTGAATTAACGAATTGATTAGTGTATTTGGTTACATAGTGAGTTCAGTCCCTGGGTTGGGTGGTGTAGACTTAGATTCAGTGAAAATGGGATTTTGATTATCAATTCTGGCTAAGAGCTGGGCAGTTGACAAATGAGGAAATGATGAACATTCTGTGCATTTCATAAAAATTTGCCATCTATTTTTGAACTCTAGGAATAAATATGATGCTATCTAAAAATGATAACCATTTCAAACTCACACACTGCTGAATCCACTTCATATTATTTCAACAGGATTCCCAGCTTAAACATTGAATAAAATTCCCTGATAATTTTGGGACATTGTATGACAGACAGTAGTAAGTATATATCTGTGCCAGAGAACAATGAAAAAGATAAAATTTTTATTCAAATCTTAAACCTAGAAAACATAAATAACATTTACTTTGGAACAATTTTCAATTTAAAAATGAATAGTCATTCGATATATATCAAAATGCATTAGAAAATTTCCTAATTTCCTTGACAGTAAACCAAAATTCCCAAATAATTCCTTAATTTTTCTTAAAAAAAAGTAAATTGCTATTTTTAATCAACTGGCAGGAAAGTTTAAAATGATGACACACCCTATCAGTTTACTAACATTGAGTTGTATTCCATTCACACTGGCTGCATTTCATTCACTTTATCATATTGATTGCCAGTACAACTGTTTTTCTAGACAAACATTTGTAGAAAAACTTTTTTTTTTTTTAAATATGTGTATGCAATTTGTAAACATAACTTGAAGACAGACATACTGTCAAAATACTGACTTTGCTTAACTTTGGGGTTGGAAAAGAACCAGTGTTTGAACATAAGTCATTTAAGCATAAAATAAGGCTCAAAGTTGAGAAATTGCTAAGCTTAACTAGGCTCTGCCTAAAATTACCTGCTGCTAAAAATAAATATATGACTGTTCTCAGTGATTATAATATAAAGATCAAAGTAATTGATGAGCTTAAGAAATACATTGAAATCCCAGACTGAACTTGCCAGAATGTGTGATGTTCCAGTTATCATTGAAGCATTCAATCTAAAATCTTCATTGAGAGGAAAAAAAAATCAAAATGAAACCTAGTATCTTGCTGCTTTAGAAGTCTGTATTGTCTGACACTGCAAATATTCTGCAAAAGTCTATCTGAGGTTGAATGACTTTATGAAGAATGCTTATAAAAGATAGATCTGTTGGAGAGGAAAAAATGTGCAGAAGAGAATAAAATATAACAGATTTGCAACATTTTTGATAGATTTCTTTGACCTTCCTGACACAGAAAGATTCAAGTATGGAATATGAATGAGATAATTGAACAATCAATCAAAAGAAGTTACAATTGTGAAGATCACCAATCAAATGAAAGATACCAAAGAATTCTAATCACTTTTCAGCCAAGAATAATATCAATTAGATTGTGTAAAAATTGTCAACCAATTAGAAGTATAAGAAGAGGAGACTAAATAATGTATCACTTCAAGACATGGGCGATAATGGCTCTCCATAACTTCCTATCCTTTGTAAAATTTGTCTTATCCCTTCAAATGCTATTTACACATGTTCATGAAATAGATGACATTGTTCCACTCTACCTCTCTTGTCTTCAATATGTCCTGTGAGTGTTAAATTATCTTTCATTATATCGCAGAAATTTCAACTCTGATTCTAAATGTTCATTTAGTTTCCATCTTCTTTAAAATATCCTTATTGCTTGCATACTCCATCCATGGTATTCTCAGCATTCTTCTGGAAAACCACATCTCTGTTCATCTGTAAGGAAATTGTCCAGAATTCACTGCTATACAAGAAAATTGATATTACGTAACTGTTGAGCACTCTTATCTTTGTTTCTAACAAAATATTCTTAATAATTTGCTTAGCTTTTGTTGGGCATCTTTTGCTATTCCAATGTGGTTTCAGATTTTTATGTCACATTTTCCATCCTCTGTTAAAATACTTATGAATTCTTTCTTTAAATGTCATCTACACTTGTATATTAAATTTCTAATACATAATATATCTGGTCTTTTCCACATATGTCCTTTTTCATAACTTCATTTTAAGTGGTATTCTCTTAAACTTTCAGTTGTGATTTTTTTGGACAATGTAATTGGTTCATTTTTTTTTTTTTTTTTTACTGTTGCTCATAGTAGAGATTAACTGAATGAAGATGTTGAAAGTAGATAATGGTTGACCCTAAAGTTGAAGAAGTTAAGATTGTAGTGATTGGGGGAAACATCCACTTGGTAGTCTATTCTACAAAGTAGAAGTTCTTGAAGAAATAGTCCAAGTGGAACTGTGGTTAATAATCAAGTTTTAATCTGAGGTTTAGAAGCAGCCATTTTTTCAGTTTCTTTTTTAGCAGATGGTTCAGTTTTTGCCAAGAAATATTCATTATTTAGTTTTTTTTTGGTTTTAAATAATACCCACAGCTACACACTCATTTCTTACTTTTCCTCCACTTTTTCTGCTTATGCAATTCACTGATAGGATTGAAAGATAAAATCCTTATAGGAAAAGATACAATGTAGCATGCACAAGAAAACTTCTGCTTTCACATCAGCCATTTTTTTTTTTAAACTTTTTATAACTACCCAAATAACTAAGATTATATCATATCTGTAATTAAATTAATCAAATAATTAGATCCATCTACCAGTAAATGAATCATAGAGGTCTGTAACATGAAACCATTAACTCTTTGAAATCATCAAAACATTAGATCTTTATCAACTTTCCCCAAAGATAGAGACCTGAACATTGCCAAACTATTATCATCTGAGGAGTCCAAACTCTAAATGTGAACTGTTCAGTTGTAATCAAGTTGGAAAGTGAAAAGACTACAAGTGCATCATTATTTAACAAGATAAATATTTAAGCTTTTGATCTAAAATATTACTGATTACACAGGACCTGGTCTAAATCCTAAAAATATATGTACTTTTATCTTCTATCAGTAATGCGAGTCCTTTTTGAAAATATTTGTCATCTTTGAACCAACGTAAATTTAAAAAAAAAAAAAAAAAAAAACTAACCAAATTTGGTAACAAACACAAAAATTTCATTAGATATAAAAATGGAAAAAAAAAAATAAATTCATATCTTTAAGAAAAAGAAAAAAATACCTATGCAGTATATGAAGAGTGAATGAATCGACAGTGTGAAGATAAAAAGCAACATTAATAAAATAATATTTAAAATATAGTTGGGGGGGGAAATCAAATAGAACCTAATTATTTAAAAAATTAATTTGCACATTCACAAAACCTCTGGTAGTCAAGAATATTACAGATATCATTCTTTATACTTACCTTTTTGTCTTTAACATTATCACAGAATAAGTTTTCAAAAGTAAGTATGCAGAAAAACGCAAAGCAACAGAAAATAACTGATTTATTTTAATAAAAATTTGTTTGTCCTACAAGTTTCTTCTCGGCCATCTACGTTTTTATGTCCAGTTTCATATTGATGTTCATAGAAGCCAATTCTGCTGTGAGATATCGCATCACATAGGGAATGGAAAGAACTTTGACAGAGTTTGGACTCTTACATAGCTGACAAATCCAACTATCAAGATGAGCTGATTTTAAACTGGCAGATTTGAGCGAAGGAGATAATAAATTACCGCACGTGACACAAACATGACTCTGTAAAAATGAAAATTAAATAAAATTATTTTAAATTTCACAATGCCAAATTAATACCACAAATATTTCAATAACATTTGTAATTAACAACAAAGATACATGATTGATTATGATATTAATTTTTACTACAAAAATGTATTTCCAAGGATTTTTATTGTTGAATTTGTATTGCTAATGATTTAAATAGAAACACTGGCCACTATTTTACTTCAACAGGACACACAATTATGAGAAATTCATAGGAAAAATCACTTGAAGATTCCTTCAAACAAACCCTAACCACTGCAAAAGAAAATGGCAAGCAATATGGGATTCAAAAGCTAACAAACTATACAATATTCAATCAACTACAGGAGAATGGCTCCCAGGTTTCAGAAAAATAAGATGGGCGTAGGACATAAACATCTGACACGCATCTACAAAATAATAAAACACTTCCATTATACAATCGATGTCAACTATCTGTCATGGTCATCATCCAAGTCAAACCTGAAAAGAAAAAATATTATCAAGCATACAATATAAAAGAACTCTTTCAAAACACTGAACAAAACAATATCCTTAACTTCTTAAAGGAAAATCAAAATATAAAACTACCAATAAAACTACTTAAAACCATTAATATATTTTGAAAACTGGAAAAAAAAAAAAATGAGAAAATCCTTCAGACTGTAAAGATCCCTACTAAAAATAACAACCCAAATTAATAACCAACCTGGCCTTTCATAAACCTGTTGTGGTTGTAGGACCAATTAAGCAGAAACAAAAACCGAACCAGTCCAGCTGAAGTATACAGAATGAACTCAAATCAAGAGCTTTTGAGATATTCTTGGTCCTCGTTCTTACATGATCAACACTTTAATCATTAGGCTTTTGTGGTTGAATTGGTTCATGTACCATCTATACAAGGTGAATTGGTCCAGGTGCCATCTATACAAGATGAATTCTTGATGTTATTGGCCTCAAGAGCTGAACTCAGCATGTAGCACCTTTGAAAAGTGCCTGAAAACTTGAGCTAAGCCTTGTGAGGCAAGTGAAATTGGATAGATGAAACTGTTCGGGAAGCTGTCAAAGGTTGTGCTAGCACAAGGTTACATGTCATCGTGAGTGAGGGTTTGAGCCTTGTTCAAACTATTGATAATACCAGATTATGCAATCTCTCTCAGAAAATGTAATTAAGGTCTACTCAGCATGACTGCAGTATAAACTACAGGTAGAATGTGAGTGTTAAAGAAACACACATGAGCCTGAGAAGGTGCCTGCAACAGGGATTGGCTAGTTGCCCTAGCAGATGTGTGTGCTCAAGAATCATGTAGCCAGACCATTATATAAGATGAACTCCTGGAGTTTTGAACACAAATTCAAGCCTGTTTAAAGGCAGCCTCTTCAGATTTTATGCTGTTTATTTTCAACAGCAAAAATAAATAAGAAAAAGAAAAAAAAAACATCATAAATGGCAACTAAATGAAAACCTAGCAGTATGACGGCTGTACTCTGATCTTAGAAGAGACAAAAATCAATGGAGAAAAAAACTAAAGAAAAACATCACCAGAAAAATTGTCTCTTTGATTTATTCAGACAAGTACTTTCAACTGGTAGGGCAAGAATTGAATAGTCAGACTGGCACAGCACAGATTTATATCAGATAATAGTTAAGAAAGATCACTGACTGAAATAGACTAATTTAAATAAAACAGAGTCAAGAGAGAACAGTTTGCAAAATAATGACTTCTTCATCTGGGAACGTCTGAAAACAAATAAAAAAGATAACAGCATAAATTGTTGAATAACGACTTTTTCACCAAAGAAGTACAAAACATTAAGATAAAGGTAAAAAAACGTGATTCATAAAATAATGAAATAAGGAAACTTAAAAATCTAAAGATTTAACCAAATTTATTCAATGTACAATTTTTAGACACTTAAGTCACACCCGAAAATCATCACAATTCATAATTCTATTAAAATTAAATTCCTTTTGTAAGCATATTTGTTTAACAATAGAGATTTAACAATATACTTTTCTATTCTTGAATCCCAAAACTTACCACACAGCGGTCAGTGCAATTCATCAGTCTGTCTTGCAACAAGAAAGAGGATCCATGGGCAATGAGAGCATCTCTTTCCATTTCTCCAAATCGGACACCACCACCACGTTTACGTCCTTTTACTGGTTGATGTGTAACAGAGTCAATATGTCCGACTGTTCTCACCTAAAAGAAAAATAATATGTAAACAAAAATTACATTGAGTTATTTAGAAAAAATACACATGATATTTCTTGTTTACATTAGTAAATTCAGTTTTGTTTCTTTCATTTTATTTCTTTTTTCTTCATTACCCTAGTAGTTTTAGATGTAATAAGATTTGAATTTCTTGTCAATTATTATTCATTTTTCACTAGGATTTCTTTCATCTTATTTCTCTTGCTTTTTATTCCACTAGTCGTATTAGATGTAATAAGATTTGGATTTCTTACATGAAGCCTTGTCAATTATTATTCATTTTTCACTAGGATTTCTTTTATTGCTATATTTTATAGCAGAACTATTTTAGTCAAAGTGAAAGACATGCATTCTGATATCTGTTAAAAGCCTTTATTTAGATGTGTACATTTCAGGCACTAGTCAAGCAAGAACTAACTATCACCATAGCATATTAAAAACCTTGGTAATATACAATTCCATTTTGCTATACAATACCACCCAACTTTTAAGGGATTAATTCTCTTGTTTCAGATTCACTAACTGTTACGGTTTTTTGGGTATATATACACATAACTAGTGAGCGAGTCAGAATGACTTATTTCCCTTTATAGTCGACCAATAGAAGGTTGACCAATCAGGAGCCGCCCAACACTGTATTCATAGTGTATAAAGGCGGCCATCTTGTTTCCTCCTACCAGAAGGACCAAAGGCGACCAGGAGAAGGATGAACTACACTCTGCTGTGATATCCACTGCGAACCTTCACTACGCTTTCCTACTGTCTCCGAAATATTCACTGCCAACCTCTGGATTCAATACTCGATGACGACCGTCATGAAAATGTCTAACATAGGTTATGAGCCCAGATCACGATTTATTTGGACGGGGATGAATCTGGATATGAATTATGGGAGACAAAGTTTTTTTTAGGCTACCTAAGAATATGAAAACTCCATGATATCATCTTTTGCAAGTCGACCAGGAGGGGGGCATGATGATTTTATGAAGAAATGCGACCGTTTTCGCTGAGTTAATTCAATTCCTGGATGACTGGAGTTTGTCTTTAATAATGAGGGAGGCCAAGGACAATGGAAGCCGAGCCCTACCCAAATTTAAACGAATACTATTTGTTAAAAGGTAAGCCTAAAATTATTGCTTCATATACTTGAACTAACCGCGTTAAAGAGAAAAGAAAATGAATGAGTAACCAATTATTTTAGCAGAGAATGTCAGAAATGCTTTAAAATTGCAGGTGAGACTCTCTCTGATGGGCTACAAATAGCCATGGTCTTGAAGGGTTTGCCACCTTCATTCAAACCATTCACGACAGTGATAATTCAAAAAGATAACAAGTAACTTTCACTGAGTTTAAAATTGCGTTACGTAATTATGAAGCAATATGATAAATATGTACCCCCCAAAATCGAGGCAAAAAAAAAAAAAAAAATGTTGTTTTCGTTGTGGTAATAATGTCGGCCATGTCCGTGCGGAAATGTCAATTTTATACACGGAATGACTTTTGTAAACAAAAAAAACGAACTTTTTCGAATGGACGTGCATATGCCTTTTTTTGTTTGGATTGAGTACTGTGGCCAGTACTTGTGATTCGGTCAATTCGGGTGCGACAAATCGTGTAATTATAGATGTAACAAACAAAATTTATTAATTTTGACCCGAATTTTGAGCTCGACTAATATTTTATCGAGTTACTGGACGGCACCAGAGCTAATAATTTAGCGTCAAAGAGAGGTAGTGCCTGTACTTATCTGCGAAATACTAGAGGAAATATATAGAATGTTTATTAAAAAAAAGAGGCTTTATATATTTTAAATTCAAGATATCCAGACAGAACTGGATTTAATATACAGCAATATGGACATTTGTATTATTTGAAAAGTGTTAAGTCTGCGAAGATGGCCACGCATGACTTAAGAACTTGGCATAAGATATTAGGCCACTGTAAGAATTCTGATGTTAAGAGATTTCAAGAACATGTCACTGGAATAGAAATTACACTTCCAAATGATTTAAAATATTGTGACACGTATATTAAAGAAAAATAACTTAAACTTTGTTGCCGAATACTCACGGCTTATGATTTACTTTCTGAAAGTAAATTTGATAATCTGCAATCTACAAAAATCTATTTATCAGATATCTCCCCGTATGGAAAGGTAAAAATAATTCGGACCGATAATGGTGGCGAATTTACTTCTGATGCTTACAAAAACCTCCTGGTAAATGAAGGCATTAAACATGAGAAAACTTGTTCTTATTCGCCACATCAAAACGGAGTTGCTGAGCGCAGTTGGAGGACACTGTTTGAAATGGCTAGATGTTTGTTAATAGAATCTAACTTGCCCCAAAATCTATGGGTTTATGCATTAAACACGGCGGTATATATAAGAAACCGCTGCTATAATAGTAACGTTAAAAAAACTCCTTACGAAGCTTATACAAACTTTAAGCCCAATGTGAGTGATATGCATATTTTTGATATAATTTGCTGTATATATGTTGACCACAGGGTGGAATTAGATCCAAAAAATGAAAGGGACATATTTATGGGTAGAATAAGCCAAGTCCAGACTATATGATTTAAAAGAAAAAAGGTGCGTCAGATTGATAGATTCCTTTGAGCGAGGGGAGGAACATTTAAAAAAAAAAAGAAAAAGGGGAATATTAATTACGAGGAACTAGTCCAACCCGAATTAAGTATGGCCTAATTATGGGTAAAAAACCCGTTCAGAGTCCACAAGCAGAGGAAGGTACTATACCAGATGGGGTATACGAGAAGAAAATCAGGTGCAAATTCCGACCAAAATGGAGAAAAGCCAGACTATTGTGAAATGAATTAATGTATTATTAACTGTTGTTATGCAGTACAAATGTATCTCAAGGAACTACCAAGAAGCCATACATTTTGTTGGGATCAGAGCGGCCATGCCTTCAAAAAGGAAAAAAAAAAAGAAGAAATTTAAGCCAAAAATAAAGAAATTTAATCTTTAGTATTGGGACACTTTTTGAATCAAAACGCCCCGGATGATGATAAAAATCATCGGCAGCCGTGCTGTAGAACGAACTGAGAATAGTTTTATAGTTAACGGATTTTCATAGATATAAGGGGGGGGGGGAGAGACTTATGTAGAAATCTTAAGTCCTAATTAATTGATGATAGAAATATCATTGGCAGCCGTTGGGTTTACACTGTAAAGCGAACTAAGAATAGATCGCCAGTATGTGATGTTCGTTTTTGTAGCTAACGGATTTATTTTTATAGATATATGGGGCGGATGACTTATGTAGTGACATTAAGTCTTAATTAGGGTTTTGATGCAAATGGATGCCCATTGTGGTAAAGATCTACATCATAAGGATGTTGGAAGAGGCTTATTTCAGAAGGCACCATCGACTATGAAATGTATATGGAACCACCAGAAGGTTTAAAAAAAAAAAAAAAAAAAAAGCAAAAAAGTGATGATTATGTATGGAAACTTTAAGAAAAACTTAAAAAAGTCACTATATGGACTCAAAATGAGTGGAAAAAACATGGAATAATTTAATCCGTTGTTATTTAATGAGACAATAATTTCAATCTCCTCAAGTTGACCCATGTCTGTACACAGACATTTAATGAAATATCAGTAATTGTAGTTATTTGGGTCGAAAATATGTTGATTGTATCAAAGAGTGAGGCCGCGCTATTAAAAATCAAGAGTTCTCTAGAAATGAGTTTTAAAATGACCAATTTGGGTCGAACTGTCATGTTTTTCTTGGTATACAGTAAAAATTTAAATACAACACGATTTCAATGAATTAATCGAGATACATAGAAAGGCTTTTATCGAAATTTAACATGCAAAATGGGAAAACAAGAACTACTCCATGGGAAATGGATTGAAACACAATTAGGAATTAAGAAGATGGTATAGCGGAGTGTGAAAATGAATACAGAATATTGGTCGGAAGTATTATTTGCATGATGATATGAACTAGGCAAAATAATCTGCTATACGGTTACTAAGTTATCCCAAAACTTAAATAAACCGTGAACAATCTTTAAGCAAGTATTACGTTATCTGAAGTGAACTAATAGTCGATGCCGAGTATTTTTAACAATCCAATAAATTATTAAAAATTGGAAGAATTTTGTGATGCTGATTGGGCTAATTCACCAGACCATAAGAGTATAACAGGCTATTGCTTTAAGCTAGCGGATGGTAACCCAATAATCAGCAGGAATTAAGAAACAGCGAAAGATTTCACTTTTTACTTGTGAAGCTGGATGTATTGCATTGTGAAAAAGAACACAAGAGGCCATTTTTCTTAAATGGCTAATGAAAAACAATTATAATACTGGCAATAACTGAGCCAATTATTATTTACTCGGCGATCAGAGCAGTATTGCTTTGTCTAGAAATTCAACATTAAAGATCAAAGCATATCAATATAAAATATCAGTTTGTTAAAGGACCAAGTACAGAAAAAAACAGTACAAATTGAATATGTGCAATCGGGAGATAATATGGAGGATTTATTTGTAAAAACCGATTAGGAAATGGAAACTACAGGCTTTTTGCTTCTGCGATGTTTGGTGCTGACTTCTTAGACCCTTATAATGGTCCTGGGCAAGACATAAAAATGCATCCATTAAGGCCCTTATTAGGTCCAGGGCAAGACGTAAAACTGCATCCATTAAGGCCCTTATTAGGTCCTGGGCAAGACGTAAAACTGCATCCATTAAGGCCCCTATTTAGGTCCTGGGTAGGACATAAAACTACATCCGTTAAGTCCCTGTAAGGTCCTTATTAGGTCCTGGGTAGGACGTAAAACTGCATCCATTAGTTACTGTCCTAAGAAGCGTCAGTTCAGTTTTTGGTATGAACGTAAGTCCTTGGTTTCGGGGTATAAAGGTAAATGGTCCTACCTTGAGCCCAATCCTCTTCTAAATGTTTCCCTGGATCACTCTGACCCGGAGTGATAGTAACTGTTTTAATGGGTCCCAGCTATGGATAAAATAATAAATGATTTTTCTGGATCACTCTGACCCGGAGTGATAGTAACTGTTTTAATGGGTCCCAGCTATGGGTAAAGTAACAATTCTTTCCACTTTTTGCTGTGATCGCAATCTAAACTTATAATATTGTTGTTCATGTTCTATTAACCCGAAGTATTTAACTGTGAACAAAGTGATATGACTAATTTTTGTGAATATTAACTTTCAAGAAAATATAAAAAAAAAACATAAAATAAAATTTGGAATACTAAAGTATTTGTTACATATTAATATTACCTTTTTAAAAAAAAAAAAAAGAAAAAATATTATTTTTGGAATTAAAGTATTTATTAACCTTACTAATATTTTGAACGAAGATTCCATTATATACCCAAAATAAGGGGGGCTGTTACGGTTTTTTGGGTATATATACACATAACTAGCGAGCGAGTCAGAATGACTTATTTCCCTTTATAGTCGACCAATAGAAGGTTGACCAATCAGGAGCCGCCCAACACTGTATTCATAGTGTATAAAGGCGGCCATCTTGTTTCCTCCTACCAGAAGGACCAAAGGCGACCAGGAGAAGGATGAACTACACTCTGCTGTGATATCCACTGCGAACCTTCACTACGCTTTCCTACTGTCTCCGAAATATTCACTGCCAACCTCTGGATTCAATACTCGATGACGACCGTCATGAAAATGTCTAACACTAACAACTCTTCATCGCAATACCACAAATATCATTGGGAATATTTCTCTGGTAGGTACTTATAACATTATTAAATTATAACAGATTCAGCAGCTGTTCATTGCAGTTACATAACTGGATTCTGCATATCTCATTCCATATATGGCACAGAGGAAGGTCATGAAATCAAGTGTGTTGGTCACTTCCTGGCAAGTTGAGGTCCACTTTAAACAAATTCATGTTGTCGACATTTTTCTACTCTGATTTTCTTTCACCTCCAGCCAATTCTTGCAAAGCTGAACTGTGATAGGGAATGGATGATAGGAGCAGGTTTTGGTGAAACTAAAAGCTTCTAGTCCTGAACCTGCATGCTGACAGTGAATTTTGTAATTAATGCATCATAAAGGAAGCAATCAGCAAGAACAAATTAAATTCTTGGATACAAGAAAGTCAACAATGAGGTAATCCAAACGTGTCACATAGCAAATCTAAGGGTAAATTTTTCTTTTTGTTGTGCATTTTCATCTCAAACAATCTTCATTTGTCTTTTATAAAGACTGTCTCTTCCATGGACATTTTATGTCACATTTTCTGGTTGTTTATGCACTTGTTCTATTCTCCATTCTTGCTTCCCAGCTTGATATGTACAAAACAGAATTGCCAGTTCAAAAAGATATTAATATCATTTTACTTTTGAAATTCAACAATACTTTCAGCACAGTTTTAAGGGAATCATCCCCAGATGATACTTTCATGTGCTTTCTACTTTCATTATTATACTCTGTTAGCTATCTGGTTTTCCTTTATCACTCCCCTTCTATTCAGAACTGTAGCATGTTTGACAAAATATCTGACAGTACAGTAATGGCTTTCTCTCTCTACATTCATTTGCGAACATTTTTGTGTTTTGGCGATGTTAATGCTTATCACTTCAAGTGGCTTCATCATTCTAATATTACAGATGTTGCCCATATTCAGACTTTAAAATTTTTCTGTTGCTCAATCATTTTGTCAAATAGTTAACTTTCCTACTCATAACACTGACCAACATACCTTCTTACTCTATTTGTCCCTTACTTCCCCTCCAGACTCATGTCGTGCTTTGCAACTCTGTCCTCTTGGCAATTTGGATCATGCTGTAGTTATCTTTTGACATTTTCTTTCACTCTTCTATTAGGCACAAACCTCCTATTCACAATAGTCACAAGACTTCTTTCAGCATACTAATTGGGATTAATTTCATAGTTTTCTTTGCGATGCCCCCTCGGAATGAAATCTTTACTTTTCCTACTAAAAATTGCACCGCTGAAGTTTCTTCTTGGGTGAAAAGCAGCAACTAAGTTTTCTTGCCTCCTCATAAATACCAGATAAAAACCACAATCTTCTCCTTGGTTCACACATTCACTGTTCAGAACAGGTGCCTATTTGTGACTGCTTGTAATAAGTGTAAATATGCCCTGAGAGAAGCTAAGTTGTTGTTTACTGAGAGTGAGGGTCCATATAGCCTCTCACAAGTTTGGTTCTCATGACAACTGGTAACTCTGTGAGGGCATAAATGAATAAGGGTAAGTCCTCAATCTCTCCTTCCTTCAGTCAATTTGAAATACTCTCATCTTCTGCCAATAAAGCAGAATGCTTTGCCCAGAAATTCTCTTCCAAGTCTACTCTTTGCCTGACTTTCTACTTAGAACTAAATCTCTCCTGTGCAATATGCACATAACTATCTATGGTTTCTGTGATCATCTCCAAATTTATCTAAAGTCAACTACTGATGTATTGATAATTATTATTGAAAGAGCTTCAAATAAGAATGGCAAAGCTTTGGCTGTTGTTTTTAATATTTCAAACGGGTTTGACAGAGTTTGATATGCTGGTCTCTTCACAAGTTGAAGGCTTATGGTGTCTTTGGTAAATTTTTCATTTGATTCAATCTTTCTTATTAAACTGCATAATAAAAGTTGTCTTTAATGGACACTCCTCTAGATCATTTTGCTTTAATGTAGGTGTCTATTAGAACTCTATTTTTGGATACACTCTGTTCCTGATGTTATCAGTTACCAACTCAGTAGCTATGCCAATGACAACTATTTACTCCTGTCTTATAGTAAGTATGATAGGTTTGATAAAATAAAATTGACAGCTGATCTTGAAAATTATCTACAATTTGTTGTGAATTGGGGCAATAAGTGGCTTGTTAATTTTAATGTCTTGAAAAACAAAACTGATTCCCATTAATAATCTTAAAAAAACATTTTTGCCTTCTATCAGTATAGCTGATGCTAACCTCTAGTAGAACAACTGACTGTGCCTTTTTGCTCTAACATTTTACACTAACAAAGTGGAATGATTATATTGAATCAACTGCTAAGTCTGCTGCTATGAAAGATGATTCACTATATCAGGATAGAAAATATTTTTTTAATTGCTGCTACATCTGGTCTGCTGCATCTGCTATGTGTCTAGAGATTCTTGACAAAATTCGAAGAATTGGTAATATTATCAGTCCTGACCTGGCATCTCAACTTCAGTTACTTTCTCACTGCTGTAACAGTTTCTCTTTGTCTCTTCTATAAATATTTTCATGGTAATTATACTGATACACGTATTGAGATGTATCTGATGAGATGCTTTGATATGCATCAAAACATAAGTGCATTTTGACAGGTTTTCAATGTAACATCCTAAAATAAACATTGCTCTACTTTGTATTGAGCCATCTTTTAAATTAAATATTACGAACGTTGAAATTTTACTCTATTTGTTCTCATCTGACCTGGAGGTATATAAATATAAAAGAAATATACTCTTAAGGTGTGCTATATTTATGGGATAAAGTGCTCAATATCAGAGATAGAGCATGTATAAATATAAAAAGAGGCAACAGGCGGGTGGCCTGAGGATTAAATCTAGCATGAAACAGCCTGTCGTCTCTAAGTGTTGACTTCAATGTTCACTTTTTATTATATATATATATATATATATATATATATATATATATATATATATATATATATATATTAGAAATCTAAACCAACCCCCTTTTATTTTCTCTTGTAGACCGGGACTGAATTTCTATAAGCAGCAATTTAGCAGCCTTTTCACATCTTTTACATGATTTAACTAATTTTTTTAATATCATAGTCAAACTCTTGACCAAGATACAACTCCTCATTTCAGACTTCTACTTATTACTGGTTATATATGATGCCTGGGTAAATCTTAACCTACTAACCTCAATGTTTTGTACAAGAACCAGGAGAGATTTTTTTTTCAACACATTTTGGAGGGAATAAAAAAGTAAAGTCACCTATGACATCAAATAGAATAGTAAAGAATTTGATCATATTCTCTTACCTGGAATTTATCAGAAACCATATGCCTCAACTTCTGATAGTAGACAATTCCAATAAAGATATCCGCTTCTAATTCTTCACCTGTGATTCCACTGTACATTCGTTCAGTTCCATAAAAATTGTAGCCCGCTAAAAAAAAAAAAATATTAATAATGCATCACGTATGAATATTTTAAATTGTGGGCAAACATATATTCAAATGTTTGTAAAATATTTTAATATTTTCATTTAAAAAATGTTTTTCATTTAAATTTTTTGAGTTCTATAATAACAATGAGAGCAATGGATATATTCAAATGTTTGTAAAATATTTTAATACAAATTTTAAAAGAAAAAATTGGTCAACTTTACCCTTTCTAAACACTGATCAAAAGAGAATTCTTGGATCAAATTTCATATTTAAATATACATAACAAATTTATTTTAAATAAATAGATTTTATGCAAAAAAAGGGGGAGGGGGGAATAAACGATTCTATAATAATCAATAAATAGTAATTGTAATATTAGCAGTTTCCCTATAAGGAAACATTTGGTGTCTATTGTCTGAGCAGACATTATTGCTTTCAGTTGAAATTTATAAAATCTATCGCTTAAAACAATTTTTCAGGAAAATGTTTCACAAACCCAGTATATGTTATTGATCTTTCTATTATTGGTGTGGTTTTCCTTCCTAACCTTTTATTTGTAGTGTGGAATATCTGTATTTTGATTATATCATTATTTTCTCTGAGTTACATATGCTATCCATTTTAGTTGTTGCTGCTGTTGATAGCCCACAAGTCCACAATATCGAAAGAAGGATTAACTTTGCCAAGACCTTCAGGCTTTACTTGCTCAAAGCCATTTTTCACCATTGATCTTAGGAAGTGGTTGTATACAGCTGACAGTTTAGATATTTTTTTAACAGGTTTGGTACCAAGCATAATGCCCACATGAAAGTCTCAATTTGATGAAACTATATAAGAACATGACTATTTTTCAGGTTATTTGTTTGGTTTTGTAGCAATTGGTGGTGTTGGGTGAAACTAACCTTGGCACAGACTATTATATGTCCAATTTCCTCATCCCTTATACTAAATTTGTTATAACTGATCCATATTGCCAAGGTACTTTATGTGTTTAGCATTTACTAATTCAACATCCTGAATTTTTATGGATTCACAGTATGCATTATCACTGCTTTCATTCCATTTCTAAATCATAATTTCTGTAGAAAAATCAGTTTACTGTATTAATCATTTTTTTTTTTAATATATATGTATTTGTTATAAAGAAACTGATATTTGCTTTATACAATTTGAACAATGAAAACAAAGAATTGTCTCAAAAGTAAAATCATTTTCACTCCATTTCTTCAGTTGTTCAAAACTTTTTGGCCTCTCAAAAGGCAATGAAAAAATTAGAAGGGACATTGGTGATATGTTTTCTGGCTATGCTGTTTAATGCATTTTATCATAAAACTCTACAAGATTTCCATGAAAACAGATAAGACTGGGGATTTTTATTAGAATCATGCAACCTTACAGCACTGTACAGCAACATTTGTCTGCAATTAAAACAAATTTTAAAACATTACCAGCAGTGAGCATTTTCCCAAAATAATCAGCAGCAGAGTTATCCTCAGAAAAACTGAAAGGAGTTGAATCATGTCCAATACCATGGAGGGACGCGGATTTCCCTGCCATAAATTCAATCATCATACCTTAAAAAAAATAAAAAATAAAAATAAACATCCTCATGGTAAAAATATTCAAGTACAGGCCAAAGACAAAAAACGACTTGAAGCAAGTCATTAAGTTCAATAAATATTGAGTAATGACTAAATTTTCAGCACTAGTTAAATAAACTGGTCCCCTTGTTAAGAAAAAAATGAGTGGAGAATAATCTTTGTAGATTGGAATTCATTTGATATTCAAGACGCAACATTTTTTTCAGAATCAAAAACATTTTCTTGGGGGGGGGGGGAGAGTCATGATATAAATACAACAATCCCCAACCTCACCCTCTAGAGAAAAAAAAAAAAATATAAAAAATCAAGTCAATGTTTTTGATTCTGAAAAAAATGTGTCTTTAAAGTCTAATGAATGGCAAGCTACAAAGATTATTCATTTCTGGACTCGGAGATTTTTTGATTTTTTTCAGAAGCACATGCAAGGACATTGTCGAATAATAATAACTGTATTTGCCGGCGTCAAGGACATGGTTTTTTTTCCTAGGCAAAGTTTTACTGTAGGCCTATGGTAATTCCAGAAGAAAGTTATCTGTGCTACACACACACATATATATATCAAATACATCTGTGTATGTGTGTATATATAGATATATTTTTTTTTATTATAAATATGTAAATGAGTAGGTATATGTTTATAATATAGATGGATGTATGTATAGATAGGTGTAGGTGTGCGTTTAAAATATGATTCAAATATAATTTCGGATACTTTTTAACTAAACTCTTAACTTTAATAAACATACACTGGAGAATTAGTTATTTTACTTTTAATTTAAAATACCCCCGTAACCTGTTAAAATGTAATAAATACATCCTGCTTAATATACTTAACAAATAGAATAAGCTAAGTTTCTCTGGATATATTAATAATTATTTTATTTAAATCTCTTGGGTAATTTAATTTAAATCTCATGGGGAATTATATTAGGGACTTTTACTATTGTACAATAAATTCTAAATCTTTTGCTGAGTTCTGAATATTTTTTTAAAAATATCCTTAACCAAACACTATTTTAAGATAAATTTATAAAATTTTGTTAAATGGAATATGTATCTATCAGAATCTTAGCCAGTAAGTGACACAGACAGTGTTTCTTAACTCAAATTGACTTAACAAGATTTTCATTCAACCTCTAAATCAAAATGCAACATTGTGTAGCATTTGTCATATTAAATAGGTCAACTCAAACCTTAAAGTCTACTGAGAATAAATCCTCGGGTCTTCTTCACAACCCCCCCACCACCCTTACATGTTCATAATTTTGAATCTTTCCTTCTCTTTTTCTCTCTACCCCTTTCCCTCAATACAATATCTGTATATCTTGATTTTAACCTGTAGTAATTTTTTACGTTTATATTTAGTTTGCAGGTCTGAAAGATTAAAGGTTATTTTTATAGGTTTCATGAAATAAAGATTATTACCTCAGGTATTTTAAGTGTTTGATATTCATTAATTAAATAATTTTGCTGTGTCTCGAACAGAGAGCTCTTCTTGGATCTTTATTCTCTTGAAAATTCCATATGGATTACTATTTTAATTTATTATATATATATATATATATATATATATATATACACACATACACACACACAATTAGATGTTGGTTTTATTTTTTAAAGTGGTTTAAGCATTTTTCAACTGAGACGTTGGTGTAAAGGGATTTTATATTTAGACTGGCCACGAATTTGTCAGTCATTTATTTTCTTTAGTTGTTCAACTAGGCTGTTTGGGTTTCATATATATATATATTTAAATGGTTTGTGAACTTTTGGGTAATTATTTAGCAATGGAATTTTTTTTTTTTTTTTTTAGCAAAATATTTTTACGTCTGTGAATGAATTAAAATATATACACACACAGAGGAAAATGTAAATGCACATAGATTTTGAATGAAACTGAAATGGACATCTGTGCTGCAAGAGTTAATTTCCTGTTCTGTCTGGCAACAAACCATGGATAAAAGTAGTCATTTTCCTGATTCCTTTAAATGGACAAGCAATTTATAGTTTAAATTTCATCATCTTACTGTCAGTGACAGGACAGATATCAAGCCAACAACAGAAATAACTGAATAAAAATTCTCAACGTTGGTTTTCGGTAGAAAGTATTAAAATCCTAATTTTGAAGTTATCAACAACATCAACAACTGCATTTCAACAAACCCATTTTCAGTTACAAAAAATAACATTCTTACCAACTGTCATTCGAGAGGGAAAACCATGGGGGTTGAAAATGATGTCAGGTGTTATTCCACTTTCAGTAAATGGCATGTCTTCAGATGGCCAAAGAATGCTGGAAGGAAAGAAAGTAAAAATATCTGCAAATATACTCGATCAGAAATGTTGACTTTTTTAATTCATTTATTTTGATTCTGCCATTAGGTGAATTACAATCAGTTGTTAGTGAGTCTCTGCTTGAAAGAAGGGAAAAAAAAAGTTCAATGAAATGTATCAAAATGCTACTCATTTTTCATGAAAGTCCAAATTGATAATGGTGGCTGGCTCATCTATTGAGAACATTTTTAATTTTATTTGTTAATAAAAAAAAAATCCTTCATAATTTTGTTTTTCTTCTATTTTGGGTTACAAATAAGATGGTTACTTTATTTACATTAGGTAATAACAAAAACTATGACAAACCTGCAAATTCCTTTTTGCCCATGTCGACTGGAAAATTTATCTCCAATGATTGGATTTCTCTAAAAACAGAAAACAGGAAAAACATGAATACATATAACCCAAATGTGTTGCTGCTGGCCACAGAGTGATGGTTAACAATTTTATAGGCTCCTTCATATTTGTACATGCAGAATCTTTCATGTGGATAGACCTCTCCTCACTGGAACTGATGACACAATGAATTATTAATCTGCCTAAGCCATTATTGTTGGAATACACAAATAGCAGAAAGCGCGGTGGAGTAAAGGATAGCAGCTTGGATTGGGGAATCAGGGAGCAGAGTTCAAATTCTAGTCAATTCCATTCACCTTGGAAAGGCATGAATCCTCTTTATGTTGGTGTTGCACATTTATGTAGTCAATGGAAATTCTGTTCAGGAGATAAGGTGTCAACAAGATTTCCCTCAACTCAAGAACTTTTCAAAGAATCCTCACAGTAAATTATTTTTTTGGAGTTCAACAATCTTGTTCTCAATTTCACCTTAAGTGCTCTTTCAAGTTTCTCAGTGATGTTCCAATTTACTACAGGAATTACTTCAAGTCATGTTACATAGTTTCTTCAACATTCAATTCATTATTCTAAGCGAAAGAAAAGAAAAAAAAAACAAAAAAAAAACAGTATTCCTTAACCCTGGTGGCTGAAGGTGGGGACAGGCTTATAAAATTCAATACACCAAAAACTAAACTAATAATGATCCACAATCACCAAGCAAACCCTGAATATTCATCTATAATGATAGATATGTATTCTCTCAAGGAAACCTTTCCTTGAATGTCTATTGGGACTCAAGCTCACTCCAGACTTCAGGTGGAATATTGATCTATTGATCTATTGCTAAAGATGCTAGAAAAATGGTTGGTTCCCTGTACCACTACAGTAAATACCTGACCCCCTCCTCCCAAGCTATATTCTATCTTTACAAAAGCCTATTTAGACCAAAAATGTAGTATTGCTTCCATATTTGGGCTGGATCTGTCTATTCCTCATTTGCCAATCTTAATAGAGTTCAAAAGTGCCTACCATGGCCTTATGAGTGATGAATTATTTTGCACCCTACAACCCCTTTCCCACAGATAAAACCTTGCAAGCCTCTCCTCTATCGCAGCTGGAACCCACCATGCTACATGCACATGGATGAATCATCCCCATTCTGTCCATATTCCACTAATAAGAAAGTTCCATTTGGACAGCTTCTTCCAAAAGAAGTGCTACTTTGTGGAACAGACTCCCTGCAGCATGTTTTTCCAATCCCGACAATCTTGTTCTCTTCAAGTCTAAGGTTAACTGTTACCTTTTCCTTTCATATTCCTACAGTAAGAAGTAAGTTCCATTCAGACAACTTCTTCCCAAGAACTGCTACTTTGTGGAACAGACTCCTAACAGAATGTTTTCCCAATCACTACAATCATGAACTCTTCAAGTCTAAGGTTAACGGTTATCTTTCCTACATAACCTCATGAACTGCACTGCTTGCCCCTTCTATTCATACAACACCACACATTACCCCCTATCTAGAGTGGCTCTTGTGCCTTGTATTGGGTAAACATTAGGATTAAAAAAAAGAAAGAGTTTATCATCAGCCTTTTTTTTTATACTGCTGTTCATTTTTCTTTGGAAAACAGTGCTGGCACTGTTGTTAACTAGGAGGTATTCAAAGATGTGGACAGAATAAAGCCATCTTGTAAGTTAAAGACACGCTGTATTTAATACTTACATAAATCCTATCACAATCTGTTGATGATGAGAATAGACATTGAAATATTAAGAAATATAAAAGATTTTTTCTGTATTTGCTCCTTTGATTGATTAACTTAAAACATATTTTTAGAGCTGCTTTTGATATCTGAATGTCAAAATGATCACTAGTATGGCTTTCAGAGTTAATCTATTTTGGTCTTGCTGTTTCTTCAGAATCTGCAGAGTCTTTGCTACTTGACAACATTCAAAAGAAATTTTATATTCATCCTAATCCATGACTTTCAGTTTTATATACATTTGTTAGGGATAAAAATAGATGTTTTGGAGAAAGAAAATTTAACTTACAGGAATTCTAAGAGTGATGGAAGCATGAGTGAGATCTGCAGTGCCAGTGTCATTGCTCAAGATTCTAATTTGGTCAACATATCCAGATTCATTACTAGGGTACTCAACATTTTTTTGCTCAGATGTCTGAAGATTTATAAAGCTGAAAAAAAAAAAAAAAAAGAAAGAAACACTAAGTTATTTGTTACAATTTTCAAGAAAAAATAAATAAATTCCTCCCTGAAAAGATACGCTCAGTTTTATTGATTCCTCAAAGACATGAACATGTTCCAATGAGATACAAAAAGTTTGATACAACAATCGCATTATTTAAATAAGACTGACCCAAAGAAAAACACTTTGTCTGTTATGCAGACAAATTGCAAGGTGTGCAACTAGGAGAGTTGGCTCAGTCTGTTTTGCCAGACAATTTTCCTCATTAGAACCAATTTTACACATAAAAGTCTGCTATTCGTCTATGTATAGAACATTGCTGTCAAATTTGATCTGGGGCTTATGCAATGTATTTAGACGTATCTTGGGGTGAAATGATTAAAAAAAAAAAGTTGTTCCTTCAAAAATAATACTATTGTGCTAAACTCATTGAAAACAACTAATAAATATTAATAAAGACAAAAAGAGAAACAATCAGCAACAGAAAGAAAAGAGAAGTGGCAGCAAAGGTGGTCAAGCATGTCAGCAGCAGGCAGGCAAGGACATTAGGTGTAAAATTTCAAATTTTACATTCAGGTTTGTAAATTTTGTGGCATAGTAATTGTGAGTTCAATCCCTGGAGCAGGTAATACAGACTTAAACTCAGCAGAATATGTAAGCAAGCAATATTAAAAAGAATAAAACAAGATATCCCCAGGCATGGAATGAGAACAATTTACCACTGTAAATTAAATAAATGCTTCAGTTCAAAATTCCCTGAAGGGTACCCAAATCAACAGACACCTGAAGAAGGTCAGAGAGAGGAAGGGGGAGGGGTCACAATGACTGAAATAATAAAGATGGGGACATTAGTCTGGATGGAATGTAAATAATGATAACTCCTCCAATATCTGTAAATATTTCCAAGATGAGGTATTGTAACTATTTACACTTACATTGCTTGGGCTATTGTCCTCATCTTTATTGTCATATTCACAACATTTCGACAGTTGTAAGCTCCAGCCTTCTTCAGGTGATATAAGTTGGAATTTCGAACTGAACCCCTTTATTTAGTCCAGTGGAGGAGATTGTTCAAGTTCTTAGGCCATGTGTCCAGTGGATAAAAGCTTTAGTTGAAATAATCCAGTGACTTGACTAAATAGTTGTGAGTTCAATACCTGGCCACAGCAGAGGTGAACAAAAACTTTGAGAGTTAAGTTACTAAAGGGAAATAACTGAAACTGAGATATCCAGAAAAGGTATGGCACGTGGAACTAGAACAATCGACTAAATAAAGGTATTGGCTTGAAAGTCCAACGTATATCACCTGAAGAAGGCCGGAACATACAATGGCTGAACTCTAGTGAATATGACAACAAAACTGAGGACAACAGTTTGAACAATATAAATAGTGTAAATAAAAACTCCTCATCACAGAAATTCAAACTGAATAACAACAAAAATGATGACATTAATCTAAATGTAATCACTGTAAATAATGATAATTCCTCATCACAGAAATTTATACAGCAAAATATACTTATTTAAACAAAAGATATCTTGTTTACTTTTGTGATTGGGCATTTGCAAAACTTGCAAAAATATTTACTGTGAAATAGTCATTAATTGCATTTCAATATAAAAATTGTTTCTGATGATTTTTATTTTGAAATTATGCATCATTTTGTATTTTTTTTTTTTATCTTAAAATAAATTATATTTTTTTTTTACTTTTGAATGATTTCCAAGCTTACAAAATTGTCTTGACTCAATGAAATCCAGAAAAAGTACGGAACTGTACTGGACTAAGTGAGAAATATGAAAAATTTATTTCCTTCTATTGCAATACGCCATTAGATAGATATTATCTCTCTGGTAAACAAATAAATCCAATTTGACCAGATTTTTTCCTAGGAAAAGTGGAATCAAATTCTCAACTAAAGTATAAACCACAGCAGACTTCTGGACACAATTTTGAATGAAAAAAACATGCATCTTATAGGCAGTAATTGTGATACAATAAAGAATTTAATCCTGCAATATGTTAATCTTAGATATAAAGATATTTAATTAAAGAATATATATAATAATGACTATAAATATTCTAGCTATTATGAATTATGATATACTTGAGAAACCCTTTGTAATTTACCTGTAATTGTAACTTCCCTTTTTTAGGTAAGTGCCAACAGGAGGCAGGCCATCTGCATCCAGTCCATCAACTAGATCTATGTTGGCTAAAAAAAAAAAAAAAAAGAAATTATATATATATTTCATGAATCATACAAAAAACAAATATAGAGGTTAATGATTAAATGGTGAGAATACATTGTCACAAACACATAAATAAGATACACCAATCCCGAACCTGTATATGAATGATATGATTCCTGTTTATAAATTCCAGTTGCATAAGGTCGTTTTCATTTTTTAAAAGCTTTCGTCTGTTACTACAGACATCATCAGTTATGGAAGTAGATTTTGTTCTTTGTTTTTACTTCAGTAATAATAAGAGGACAACGAAAATAGAGATGTAATCCAAAAAAATGCTATGAGAAATGTGTTATTGTTTTGGAACGTGCGGTTGCAACGCTGAGTTTGAATTTAAATTTTAAGGTTGTGTGTTTTTGTACAAATACAGCAATAAGAGAATTCTTTTTTTACTGGTAGATTTTGCGTGAATATGGCATGAACTATATTGTTCAATAATTACAGTAATGTCACACTTATTATCCATATATAAAATCTTGTAAAATATTAAAAAGACCTTATGCAACTGGAATTTATAAACAGGGATCATATCATTCATATACAGGTTCAGGGTTGGTGTATCTTATTTATGTGTTTGCGACGATGTATTCTCGCCATTTAAATCATTAACCTCTATATTTGTTTTTTGTATGAATGATTCATGAATTTATAAATTATATTTTCACCTTTTAATTGAAATTATATATATATATATATATGTATGAGAGAGAAAGAGACAGACAATCTTTCTTTATTAGGACTTTTCAATCTAGACTGGTTATTATTTTCAGTTTAAGAGAAAGACAAAACAAAAAACACAGAGAGCAACTCAAATCTGTGTACCCACTAAAAATAGTTTATAATAATAAAGAAATAATGTTAAATAATACACACACACACACACACACACAGATGTATTTTCTGTTTATACATTATTTTTATAGATAGTTGCATAATACATTTCAGATGCATCAAAGATGGATCTCCAGTGATGCACTGTCTTCATTGCCGATTTTGGGTTTTGCATCATATCAGCTCAAAGAGCAACCCCAACCTGACTCCAAAATGGTCAGGCCGCTTCCTTGATACTGATGTGTTATGCACCTCAACAATGTGAAAAAAAAATCCAGATATCGCTAAGAGTCCAACCATTCTTATTGACATACATCAGTCAATGTCAGCCAATGAAATAAAGTCTTTTCACACTTCCCTCCTATATAGTGTTGTCTTTTTGCTTCATTCAATTTTGATTCAAGCTACTTCTCTCGAAATCCATAACGAAGCAGGTTTTTTTCTTACATAGTTTAATCCAATGTTTTATATGTTTTAGATACTAATCCTATAACAATAACTAGTCTTTAACTAAACTTTACTTACCACTTATAGTAGCGTTTCTAACAAAAAAAAAAAAATTCATTATTCTATCATGCAAATCTCTAAGTCTACATTTACCTTATACTCAAACGAAATTCCAAAAAAAAAAAAAAAAAAAAAAATCCTCTACATGTATGTACGTTTACACATCTACATATAAATGTAGTAAATGCATGGACACACACAAACACAAATAAATTCTATCCCCCATTTACATTAATTTACTTTTATGAAAACAGTCATTGCAAAATTAACTCATACTATTTATTTGAAATTCCTTCCCAGTTTTGTGATCTATCAATTAAAATAATTCCATAGCCTAATCTAAAAAAAAAAAAAAAAAAAAAAATAGGTAAATAAATAAATAACTAAAAAATATAAGTTAACTACTCAATTAAGTAACCTATTCACATATTTACTATCTGTTAAATATTACAGAAAATAAATCTAGCCAATTAATACAAACATCACCACTCAACATTTTCAAAACCATGATAACTACGATACTACTTTACAACTCTACCATCTGAAATTACATTCAGAAGAATTAGGCATGGAAATGAAAATAAAAAAAAGTGGAAATAAATGGCAATCAGTAACTGAAAGACATAAAAAAAAAAAAAAAAAAAAATGAAAATTTCCATCTATTGACCTCCCCAACATGTGCGAAAACTTCTTGACCACCATCAATAACAGTTGAACTGTCTTGACTTACTGTATTGTCTCTATATTTCCTTATACCTTGTAACCCCTCCCCTCCATTTCCCTAAGCATGCTTGTGAGGGTTTTTTTTCTTCATCACTGATTCTTCCATGGTTCCAATCTCTTAAGCCAAATCCACTTGAAAGCAGTTAAAACTGTATTGGTAATGTCCTTCAGTGCTCTTGCCTTGTTCCCAGATAATGTACCGCTTCGTGTTGTCAGAATGCAAAATCAGATTTGGTCTAAGAGATATAATTTATTTAAGTAAATGCACCATTTTATTAATTAAACAGTATTAATTACATTTACCAGCTTGAACTTGAGAAATTTTGTAGAGAATATACACTCTCCAACTAAAATCAAACCTGTAACCCTGATGGGAACAGTCACTGATCGGACGTGCTGTTAACTATTCAGCCAAAATTCTTTTTGGCTGAATAGTTAACAGCATGTCCGTGTTTGGATAGCAAAGTCCGAATTACTGTTTATAAACATACACACCTTCAATGATTTTTCGTGATTGATTATTTCTGCTCATGAAACATATCTTAAGGTAAACAAGGGTTAAAAGGTTCGATTTCTGTCAGTGAGCACCTATTTTCTACAAAATTTCTTGAACATTCAGGCCGGTAAATGTAATTAAGACTGTTTAATTAAAAGAAAGAACATTTACATAAATTACATCTATAAAAATAAAATATAAACAAAAAAATATTAATTGTATTTTGTCAGACTTTATCTATTTATATTATATATATATATATATATATATATATATATATATATATATAAAAGAAATATAGTTTTAAGGCGTGTTATATTTATGGGATAAAGTGCTCAATATCAGAGATAGAGCGTTTGTAAATATAAATATAAAAGTGAACATTGAAGTCAACACTCAAAGGTGACAGGCTGTTTCATGCTAAGCGCAATTGTCAGGCCGCTATATATATATATATATATATATATATATATATATTATTGCTGATAGAAACTGAATTGAAAATTTTTTTTTTTGTTACAATGGAATTAATTTAGGAAATGCATTGTCAATCATTTTTACAACAAAATTTGCATTATAAAAGCTTTTAATTATAGAAATTATGAAAGTTAGATTAGATGTTAATTATAGAAATGAATTGTTCAGGATTTTTATTCTGGAAACATAATTTGATTTAATTTTAAAATGGTAACGGTGAGACTATCCATTTCCTCGTAAGGAAACATTCAGCATCCATTGCTTGAAATTTTTCAGAAAAATAGGTTCTCAAGTGCACTGTTATTTCTCTTTCTGGTACTGATGAGAGTTTCCTTCCAAACCTTTTGTATAGTGTGGAAAGTCAACATCTTGATTATATTTTCCTATACAGTGTTACATGTGCTATCCATTTTAGTTGTTATTGCTGTTAGAAATTGTGATTCTGTAGCACCAAATCTAAAAGATCTGATGAAGGACTGTCCTCTTTAAGACCAAAAGGATTCTTTCAAATGGAGTCATTTGTAATCATTGATCTGAGAAAATGATTGTATACAGCTGATAGTTTAGGCATTTCTGAAAGAGTTGGATGCTATGCATGACATTCAGATAAGCGTTTAGATCTGATGAGGTTATTTAAGAATAGGGCTCAAGTTCTTTGGTTAATATTTTGCTTTTGTAGCATCTTGCAGTTACAAATAATTATAGAAATGATTTTGATTATAAAACTTCACTGCCAAGGATTTTTACTACTGAAAGGGAAATGGATATTAAAATTACACTAAATTGTCTTTGAAATCAAAATATCTCCAATTAATATATTTGATTATTTTAAATATATCATTAAAATTAATTATGAAATTATTTAAATATTACATACCAAACATACTATAATTACATACCAAACATACTATAATTACTTACCAAACCTAAATTGACCTGCTCTGCTTCTTTCATTCAAATCAACAGTCTGAAACAAAAGAAGTCTTCAAAATAAATATCTTAATTCAGAAAAGTTTGGCACAAGGTCATATTAAAAAGAGCCTGAAAAAACTTGGAATCACAGTTAATCAGCATAGATGAGGTAGGAAGCAGAATTCATGCTATATTCTATATAAGAATGACAGTCACCATGCAGTGTTCATCCTATGTGCACACTGTCTACATAAAGAGTTGGTTTGGTTTACGACATATCAACCTCAATGGGTTATTTAATGCCGACAAGATTTTTATTGCTGGTAATCCCCACCCCACCCCAAAAATCTATTGCTGGTAATATTTTTCTTGTTCAGAAATATACTGCTGGTAATAATTTTTCTAAAAAGGTATTGCTGATAGTAAAACCTATTTTTATAATTTCATAGACTTTGACTACTTTTTGTGTGTGTGTGTGTGTGTGTGGGGGGTAACTATTTGCCAATAGCTGGAACCCAGACAGATGCTACCATTCCTGAGAACACCAGCAATTAAGAGGTGGTTACATGCTAAAGAGAAAAAATCTCAATCAAAGGCCTTGCTGTTAGATGTAGTTTATCATATTACCCAGGACGCAGATGTAGTTTATTGTTGTCCCCAGGACGGTATAAAGAGTCGGAGATGAAGAACAGTTGAATTCAAATTCTTGTACTGAGTGGGGTATTGTCAGTATACCAAAAATGATTTCCCTTCCTTTTGATCATGAAAACTGAGGACCATTTTCAGGTCAGAAAACTCAGAGGATTCATTCTTTGTTATCTCATTGCATGCACTTTCAGATGATATTTCTCTTTCTTCCTGTTTAGTTAAGAAAAGGTGCTGACAATGAATCTAGTAACAGGCACTGGCAAGGATTCATAAGGAAATGCACTTATAATGAATTTTATTATGTTAGGCACAAATAACAATTAAAAAGGTACATACCATAGTTTTATAAATACTTCCGTGTGAAAAACCTCGTTCAACTGAACCTTTGTTTAAAACCATAGCATCTTCCATGTCATAACCCTGAAAAAATAAAAAATAAATATTGCATGAATATATATATAAGAAATCATAAATCTATTATACAGGCATGAATTTTCTTGTGTGAATGTGTAGAGAGCCAATTGTCTACGAAGGATGGACAGTAATCTGCTGAGAAAAGGACCTTATAACTTGTCCTGACCGAGGTTTATCAAATTCGGATGACCAGATTAAAAAGGTATATTTTGTTTAAAAGAATAGTTTATTAAAAAAAAAAAAAAAAAAAAAAGGAAAGACAATAAATTAAAAAGGAAAATAAATTAAATTAACCTTTGGATGGTTCTTGAAAAGGCTGGGAATTGAACTCAAAATTAACCTAACAAAAGGATAGAATGGGATAAAACCAACAAAAATGTCACTCTAGACCTTGTTCCCAAATATATCAAGTTTGATTTTTATATTAGAAATGAGAAAAAGTATTGAAAAAATGAAGGCAATTCTTTCCAACTGTGAAGTTTAACGTAAACTGTCATTTTTTTTTCTATTTTTACACATTCATTTTGTTAAACTTAAAAATTAAGCAAAATTAAGTTCTCAAAATTTAATTGGGAATGTATTAAGGGAACTCAAAATATTCAGCTGGTAACACATTAAGGAATTTCACAAAATAAGGGTTTAATTACTGTATAAGAGAGCACAGCAACAACAGCATTGGTGCCAAGAGGGTATTCATCCATTTCAAATTCATTGTACAAGGTGTTCCGTACAATTGGGCTTTGAGGAGTTTGCAGACGATACATTTTGAAATCATTGCGGTGAGAAAGTGAATGTGGTGTCATTCCAACGGTTTGTTTTCCCATCTGAAAGGAGTATAAAAAAAAAAAATGAAAAAAAATTTCAAATTTTTGGTTAGTATTTCAGTCATCTTAATTTTAGTTGCTTTCCATCACAATTTCACTCAAACTGTTAGTCTATGGCGGTGAATAAACAATGTGAATCAGGAATTAAGAATAGTCACCAGGCAAGTCTTGAACTCCTATCCATTCTCTTGAGAAGACTGTTGATGCATGACAGCTGCTCTAATGATTGTGCTACTAGGGCATTTACAGTTAGCAGAAGATCAAATCTGACCCTAAAACCTATTTACCCCCACCCAAAGCTCTGGAAGCTCTCTTTGTAGAACAGCTGCCAAACATTGGCAAACTCCCCAAGATAAAGGATACAAGTCTTGCCTGGAAACTATTCTTTATTTTCAATCTGTACCGTTTACTAATGAATGTGCTACCAGGATATCTGCAGTCAGCAAATCAAATCTAACCCATAAATTCATTCTCTCTTTTTTCTTAATTCACTCATATTATTGTTTCATGTTCTTTTTTTTTTGTTTTGTTTTTTACACTAGCATTTATCTGTGGTGGTCATCTTGATTTATTTTCTTTGTAAGACGAGGCTTCTCCAATCATTATTAAAGTTTTGATAACATCTTTCATCTTCATTTTAGTTGTATTTCATCATAGACTTGTTAAACATTGCACTATGGTAGCTAATCTTATTTATTTGGTGTGTACAAAATTAACCAAACATCTTTGTTGAAAACAATAGGCTCAATACAAAGCAGAAAACCATTCTTTTTTCTTTAATGTTAGAAAAAAAAATCCAAAAAAAAAAAAAACAAACAAAAACACTGCAAGCTTTTACACACACATATAATGCTAATATATTAATTAAATTTACCTGGCATTGGTACATATTTCTTGGACTTTGATTAAAGTCTGAAAATGGAATCAGGTTTCCAAGAAAACTCAACATATTTTTTTTCTTCAATTCTATATGAGTTGTAATCTGCAAAAACAAAATAAAGTTGTCTTTGAAAACAACACACAATACAATTCAAAATAAAAATCCTTTTTATGAAATATCAAACAACTTTGTTATCTTGCAAGATGTGGGCAGTTACTCTAATATTAAAACACTAGCCAAAGTATCCCCTCTATACAAATTAAGAGGTCAAGATTTCAATTGAAACTGGTTATAACAGTAAAATGATTCCTTCACACTGAAGCTTGTAAATACTGCTTTTGTCAGAGTCAATTGATTCAAAAGTAATTAAATTAGTAATATAATTACTAATTCAATCAATTGGTATTATAATTAGTAGTATAAGTAAGACATAACTTATATGCTTTAAATTCAGTCTATATAATTTTTCATTCAAAGCAAAAAGATACTATGTTTGGGACATTTACATAGAAGAGGAAAGTGTGATTTTATCTTGATCTCAAGTGTTTTGTCTTTTGTGGCCAGCAGATAAAATATTTGAAGTTGAGTCTTCTAAGTGGCATCCACTTCACCAAAAGGAAACAAATGAATACAAGAAAGCTTTTGAGGTCAAGTGGCAACAAAGCAAGACACTGATGATTTTGAGTTGCTGGTCTAAAAAGTCATAGTCGGGATTGAAGAAGTGAGTTCTGGTCCACCCTTGGCAAGAGAGACTATCTCTTAGGTCAGGGAGTTGGCAACTTTTTTCTTTTTTAACTATGTGTCAACTTAGGGTTTTAAAATCATTCAGTGTGCCAACAGCATATGTATTTTTACACAAGTCAAGATCAATATACCTTTTCTACAATATATTTTATATAGTATATATATTTTGGTTCAGGTTCTACTGTCATAGCACTAATGTCCACTTCTGATATCATGAGCAAACACAATAAAGTAAGAGGCATTACTTTTGGAGTAACCCTTATAGTAATGATCTACAAGATTGCTAACTCTTATGCTATAGAGAGGTGATCACTTCAATCAGTCCAATTATTTTTGTTTTAATCATTTCTCTCTAAGCAAGGCAATAATGCCACTAAAATGCAAGAGGCTACTGGAAATAAGAAAAAAAATTTAAGAGAAGTAACAGAAACCTAATCTTAAACAGGAAAGAAGGGATAAACCTCTACTCCTGTTCAAATGACAGGGAAGGAGTGTGAACCAGGTAATAGGTGAACATATCTATGACTTACTCCTTTATATATGCCCTCAGCAGTGACAGCAATATCCATGTAGACTTGTTCAAATGTCCCAATGAATTCAATTTTTTCTAGTGCCAGGTTGAGCACAGGTCGAATCAAGCGATCGCGGCCGTAAAATAGATATATGCCTGGATACTGGCTGACACTGTCAGTTTTTGGAACTAGGCAAATCTCCAATACCACAGGGACCTGAAATATGGAAACATGATTGTATAATATATAAAAATACCCAGAATCTTAGCTAAAGCACTGTCAATTATTCATTTTTGACTAGGATTTCTTTCATCTTATTTCTTTCGCCTTTTATTCCACTAGTCATATTAGATGTAATAAGATCTGAATTTCCTACATGAAGCATTGTCAATTATTATTCACTTTTGATGAGTAACTTAAAGGATTATAAAGGCAGATCAATAAATCCATAGTTAAACATGTAGTTATTACCTGAATTTTGATCCAAAATTTTCATTGTATAATGTTCAATCTATTTCCATTACTAAATTAAGTGAATTAACAAGGAAGGATATTGAAAAAAAACGTACCAACATATGAAACAAAGTTAATAATTAACTTTCATCATTTAATTAAAGAATAAAACTAATAAAGGGTACCTCTTTGGTATCCTGGAGTTTAAAATAACGAAGCTGCTCACAAAAAGATGTCACATTATTCTCATGAACACAGCCACATATCTGTCCTTCAAGCATCACCGGGTAAAATTCATTGAATGGCCGAGCGGCTTTATCATTTATTGCCAACATCCCAAGGGACCCTAATAAAGCTGGAAAATGTGATACATCATATGTTTTATTCACAACCTGGAATGAGAAAGGTAAAAAAAAGAAAAAAACAAAAAAAAGTTTTTAAAGAACTGACTGAAATTCAAACAGTATTTTTAAACTATTTACATTATTCGGACTATTGTCCTTATCTTTGTCGCCAGATTTATTACAGTTTCAGCTGTTGTACGCTCTGGCCTTCTTCAGGTGGTTGGAATGTCGAACTGAACCCTTTATTTTGCTCACTGAGGTAGACTGTTCTAGTGTCCATGTCTAATGGATGTCAGTTATCAGCTATCTCCTGTTAATTCCCCTCTCCAAGTTCTCCACTGCCTTAACCAGGTATTGAACTTACAACTCTTTGGGTCTTGTCACTGGATCTAACTAACGCCTTTATCCACTATGTCCATGAGGACATCTGTGTATGAATTTCTGGGTATTATAAACCTAATGTATTATAAATTTATGGGTATTATAAACCTAATGTCATCAGCAAATGCTGACAAAGATCAGGGAAATAGTCCAAATAATGTAAATAGTGTACATAATACCTTATTTCAGAAATATAGACAGTATTTTTAAACTCAATCAAAATGGTTAGAATTCTAAATTTGCAAATGTAAAAGAAAATATGAAATAATTCATCAAACAGTAACTTATTTATTAAGCTTAGTTAAGTATGGCACAGGACAATTGCAGGAGATGGGCAGTGTGATTTCTTTGTCAGAAAATGGTACGAGAAAAATGGTCACTAATCTACTGATGAAATGATTTTTCCATTGCCCATTCCTGAAGAAACAGGGAGTCTCTTCTTTCCTTTGAATAGCACTGCTATATAAGCATCTTAATGAATCTTGTGTGTGTATAAAAAGAAATGAGTAAAACTATGGCATCTTTCTTAATCAGTTTAATAACAACACTAAGAAATTTATCCGTGAATTTGAAAGGATTAAAATAAAAATAGACATGTCTAGATTATTCAACTAAACATGTTTGAATGAAGATATGTGACATTTTATATATATATATATATATATATATATATAAAATTACAATGTAGTGAAATGAGGAAAGTAATAAATACAATGGAACTATAGAGGTTTAATGAAATGAGGAAGACTGAAAGCATCATTAAGCAGAATTGATTTTAGAAAAAAAATCAGAAAATGAAGTAAACATTAATAACAAAGTAGTGAATAAAAAATATTTATAACCAAAAAGGACAGAAGAGCTTAGTTTAAACCAAGATAACTCCTAAATTATCTTACCTGACATGCAATGGTCATGTGATTGAGTAACCCACAGGGAGTTCCATCAGGTGTGTGGACAGGGCACAAAAATCCTACAAAATCAAAGAAAGAAAAATAATAAATTTGAGGTCAGAAGGTCTGTTAAAAAATAATGCAATTAAGAGATGGTGTGTAAAAGCTGGAATTTCAACACCATAATATTTCAGTAAGTATGTCTCATCTTCACTCATCAACCAGGAACAAATATATGCAAGCTCATGGAACAATATTAGGTGTGTGTGTGTGTGTGTGTGTGTTTTGTTACCACAATACAACACCTTCGTTGTTTTATTTTCCCCTTGTTCCTCCCCTTTTTTAGGTACAATAAAGATTAGTCAACGTTTTTATCACTTCCTTATTAGCTCTTAGTAATTACTGCATCTGACATAAAAACCCAGGGTCAAAGCAGGCAGTTCTCAGCAAAGTTTAACTAAGCTGTTTTATAGTGTGGAAGGAGGCATTGACTGAAGACATTTACAGTTTTTAAAGCCTTTCTCTCAGGAACGCTATCTTATTGTTCTTGAGCTGCATTCAACATCTGTAATGGCCTTAACCTGGTTCAATGATCAGCTGGTGTCTTAACCAACAACCTGTCAAATCCTGCTGCTTGGCACCAACATTTTCTTGGATTAGCCACTTCAAATTCTTGTTCCATATCCATTAGGATCTTTTCACAACAGCAGTTTTACAACATCCAATCTCATCAGTGAAGACACATTGAGAAAGGCCTTGCTTTTGCAGGTCAACAATTCTGTCACTTTCAAATTGTCAGTTCTTTAGTCTTTGCCATGTTTTTACCTAATGTAATGCAGGAGATACCAGTGGGAGATGCTGACTGCGATAATGCTTAAACACAAATTGCTACGTGTTTACCAATTAAAGCTTCATTTAAACATGGTCTTGAACTTTTGACCAGCTAGTATTTAACTTAATTTCATAGTATTTAAATTTTTCCTATTAAATGCTAAAAATGACTATATATATATGCATAAGACAAATATTTACGGGCCTATTTTGTGTATTGAGCACACTGTTTTTAAATTAATGTTCTGAACGCTGTAATCTTACTGTTTGCTCTCCTACACTTCAAGATTATATATATATATATATTTTTTTGTGTGTGTGTATTAGTATGTGTTTTTGAACATAGAAATATTTGGTCCTTGCGAAATGAGACAATCGTTATATTCATCTTCATATATTTATATTTGATTTTAATTTTTTAAGCCCTTTAAACACAATTTTTTATTTTCCTTCGTCCCATCCTCTCCCCCCCCCTTTTTTTTTTTTTTTTTTTTTTTTCCTTCCTATCCGAATTGTCTGTGGTGTGTATATGTCACCACGAAATGTATCTTTATGTATTAGACATCCGTCGACTTTCTTTCTCTCCTCTTTTTAAATCCACCCCACCCACATCTCCAAAAATTCTCTCTGTCACTCATCCTCCTCATACTTACACTTTCTCTAAATTCTGTTTTGATTTCGGAGTTGTTTTTCTCTGTTTTCATTTTTGAATTTGTAGGTCTGATGATTTGGATCGTATTTACGATTCCAATGGAATAAATTATGACCATGGAATATTAGTGTTTAAGCCTTTTTATTATATCCTTACTCTGTCTTAGACATTGAGTTCTACCTGGATCCTTCCTCTTGAAAAAATTTTTTCTGAAAATATACATGTATGGGAATTTTTTAGATATATATTTTCCATATGTATGTATATTTTCCACTATATATATATATATATATATATATATATATATATATAAAAATATATAAACACTAATATTCCATGGTTATAATTTATTACATTGGAATTGTAATCAAGATCAATTCATCAGACCTTTTATGATTCCAATGTAACAAATTATAACCAAGGAATATTAGTGTTTTGAGCCTTTTATATTATATTCTTACTCTGTCATGCACATTGAGTTCTACCTGTATTCTACCCTCTTTGGAATATATATATATATATATATATATATATATATATATATATATATATATTTAAGAAAGTCCATCTATAGATAATATTAGTGGTCATATATATATATATATATATATATATAATTGATGTTCTAATAGACATCACACACACACACACACACACACACATTACATACAATGAGCATCTGCCTAATAAGCTACCTGCCTGTCTGTCTGTCTGTCCTTCATGTGATACAGACTCTAGGCGGCCTCTAAAGTTTTTATCTGAAATCTGATGCTCAGATAAGTACAAAAGAACAGAAGGGAAGATGGTTGATAGGCATCAAAACTGTCCCTCACTCTCACTATGGTCCAGACCCTGCTTCCTGTTCTCCAAGCTGATAGAGAATCTCACAGGCAATCGTTTTGAAGACATTGAGAAGTTGAATCATGCTGTAGACCCCTTCACTTTGGATAACTTCCATGGAACCTTCATACAGTGACTGGAGCTCTCCAACAGGAGCACTGTACTTCTTTGAAATTAATCAATGTCTCTCCTGAAAAAGTCTCAAAACTTCTGGATTGCACCTTGTATCATGGAACATTGTCAATGAGCTTTTTGTGCCTCTGGATTTAAAAAAATATTTCTTTTGAAATTTCTTATATAAAGGAACACATGAGACATGACAAAGACCAACATATCTGGGGTTTTTTTTCTTAACACAATGTATTCAAGCTCCTTGAATATCTTTTCAAACTATTTCTTATAATTTTATAAAGTTTCAAGATTATTTCTAGCATTCTATATATTTTGTAGACTAGTATGTTCATCTTTTGCATCTGGTGGTCATTGGTAATCGCTATTAAACAAGTAAAATAAAAAATGTAGCAACATACACCCAACAAATGTTGAGGAATATGACAACTGGAACACTGTTCACAATAACAAAGATGAAAATCATAGCCCAACAAATAAACAGAATGATGGCAATTTCATCTGAGAATTTGAGATCATAGAGACAAGTTACAGTACGTTTTACGTGCAACATTGTGATAACAACAACAAAGATGAGTATAATAGTCTGATTTGATTTTAAAGGTTGTCTTTTTCCATTCTTCAATATCAGACCTCACATCTCTTTGGATATCCAGCAGAAATTGGTACAGTTTGGTTGTCATGTCTTACTAAACCTGTCGTACTTACCTGACCTTATACCTTCCAAATTCTGGGAGGCTGGAATCATGAGGCTGTCTCAAAGATGGCAAAAGGTAGTGGATTGATTGATAAACCATAAAATAGCAATCAATCAATCATGGGTTATTTAAAGTGGAAAAATATTTAATTTTAAGATCTATTTTTTTTTTGTGAATGAATATTGCATTAACATTTTTTTTTTGAAAATAATGATTTTCCAGATACAAGTTCTATTATTTAACCCATGGCTGTGGGATAATAGTCTGAAAATGTGGAATACTTTCCACAAGTTTGGAAGGTTTGTTTTTTTTTTTTTTTTTTTTTTATAAAATGGCATGTCAAAACAGGATATAGGTGGCCATGACTTTTCACAGCTTCTTTTTGCTTTTTTTTTCTTTTAATCTGTAAATTGCCATGACTTCTTAGGAAAAATAGTGAAGTGGTTTCCCACTATTTTACATTCAGTGTTGTCCTCAAGAAAATAAAAAGAGTAAAGAACTCAAATTATTCTATATGGCAGTGAATTCTGGACAATTTCCTCACAGATGAAGAGACTTGAATCAACAGAAATATGATTCACCAGAAGAATGAGAATACCATGGATGAAATATGTAAGCCACAAAGAAGTTTTAAGAAAAAGGCAAACAAAAAGGATAGTTATACTTAAAATCAAAAAGGGTCAGTTGAAATTCCTGGGACACATAAGGAGGAAAGAGGACTTGAAGAATTTGATACACACAGGACATATTGAAGGCAAGAGGGACAGAAGGAGACAGTTTGTAAGTAACCTTAGCAAAGTTATGTAAATGCCTAGTAAAACAAGGAATGAGAAGGATAGTGGAGAAAATAAAAAGCACACATTGCTAAGAGCTAGAAAGGATAGAAAGTTGTGGAGAGCCATGATCACCCATGTCCCGAACGAACACAATGCACAAAAGAACATAGACTAACTGCTAACCAAGGCTTGAGAGCCCTGTATACTCTGCTATTTAATCCACAACTTTAGAGGGGAAGAGATAGATTGATGTCTTTCTTCCAAAAGCATTATGACTGATGAAGTTTGATCCCTATTCATTAATTCAACATTTTTGTGTTGGTAGCCACCATGCTACCTACACAATGGGGTAAGCAATTTCTATAGTGATTTGATAATATCAAAATAAAATAACTCACCCCAGGCTTCAGGTAATAATTTTCTCACAGACACTTCAGGTGAGTCGATGAAGAAAGAGCCTCGATGAATGCTCCGGAAATGTGAAATAAACCTGTGGTGGTTAAGACGATCAGCAATGATCACCAACCCAGTGCTCTAGAGGGAGAAAAAAAAAGAAAAAGAAAAAAAAAAAGAAAAAGAAAAAAAAAAAGAAAATAATATCAACAGAAAAAATAAACTTAGTTTAGCACAATACTGGGTTGCCTCACTACAATAGTAATGACTAACATATAAATCCCTATTCCATATTCATATTAGAAAGTTTAGCAAGGCTACAAGTATAGATCACTTAGTGAATTTTAAACTCAAAGAAGTATATAGGTTTGCCAATTATCTCGTTCATACTGCTCCCAGTCTTTTGAACATGTTTATCCCATTTTTTCCTTTTTAGGATTGGGTTTCCAGTTCCTTCTCTTTTACTTCTTGTGGCCTTCTGTATCTTGATGACATCATTACCTTGCTTAAGATGGTACCTCTTACTCTGTCACCTCCTACCTCAAGTGGCTCTTGGGCCATGTACAGGGTGAACATCATTGTAAAAAAAGAAAGAAAGAAAGAAAAAGAGACTATATTACTAACTATTGCTCCAAAGTAAGCTTCCTTAAAAGTTATTTACTGACATAAGGCCACAACTAAAGAGTCCTCATTGACACTTGGAACATTTAATCCATCATTGAACTAACATCACAGATGTTAGTTTTGTCTTCTATGCTACATACAGAAATTGAATAACAAGTTTGGGATTTCAAAATTATATCTCTGTAGCAATAGGAAATGCAGAAAAGAATCCTCCAGACACCTACAGTGTACTTCATGATCAACAGCACTAGCTGTGACTGGTAATTGCAAACCTTGCAGTGACCCATTAACTTTATGGGACAATAAAAAAAATTTTTTTTTTTTTTATAAAACTTTTCCCTACATCATCTTTTCAAATTAAGGCACCATTGTTTTTTAGAGAGAAAACACCTTATTAATTGTGAAGAGGTTAAAACTGATATTAAGTGTTATGGGACAAGTTTTTTTTTTTATAAAACTGCAAGTTGATAAGGAAAGAAATATGGCATCTTGTGGGACCAAATTGAAGACATCATCTGTCTTCAACATCATATAAAGGCAAGAAAGGAATGACACATCTGCATTGTAGTTTCATCTTTTTTTCAATGGTTAACATCCACAGAAAAATTTTTTAAAAATATAAGAATCTATCCCCAAACCAAGACTGCACCAAAAACAAAAGTTATACTCTGTGTTTAATAGAATATAAAGGGTACCATCTATCAAAATGGAACAGTTAATGTAAAGAAGTATAGTCATCAATCATCACAGAAAAAAATGCCTATTATTGATTAATTATAATGATGTGTTATTCTTGTGTGATAATTCAAGACTGCATATTGCCAGAGTCACTCAGGAAAAGATGACATTAAATAGAAAAGTTTACTTTTTTTGCTCCTTACTTCTCTTGAACTTACTCCCTCTATCATCTTTTCAAATTAAAACTCCATTGTTTTTTTAGAGAGAAAACACCTTATTAATTGTGAAGAGGTTAAAACTGATATTAAGTGTTTCTTTGTACTGAAACCTGTAGATTATGACACTAAATATGGAATTTTTCCATACCTGACCTTACTCCCTCTATCATCTTTTCAGATCATGGATCAAAATTTGGCAAATAAATGTCATTATATTATCAATAATGAGGAGAAATGTTATTAAACATATCAATTAAGACCAAAGAAGCATTTGTTTATTTTTCCTCTTCCAATGTGACAGGAGTTTCTTTCCAACCTAATATTAATCAATGGTGAGCTTCACCAGATTCAGAAAATAGTAAGGTATCATTAAATTCTTTCAAATGCCTGTCAATGGCACCCATGGATTTTACAAGCATATGGAAGCATGAAGAAACAAAATTCCATCAACAAAATTAAATATTAAATATTAACTGTACATGGTCATATGTTATACATGTAAACACACACACACATTATGCATATTCAAATCTCCTTGGTACATATAATCTATATCAATATGAAATTAATTCTAAAGCATGTTTTTGATTCAGAAATGAGTGAATGAATCGGAAAAAAAAAAAAAAAAAAAAAAAATGCAAACAAGAATAACCTCAGAGATTTAACCTGCTTGGATGAGATGGTTAAAGTATCAAAATGTTTTATTTGTGACCTGTATTTACAGTGGGCCTGTAAAGCCCAGAAGGGAAGTAGTTCTGAATGTATTTACAGGTACTTCCATGAGATCGCTAAAAAAAGAGCATAGCATAATGAAAAAGACGCCTAACTTGATGAAAACAAAATTTTATTGTCTAAATGTTTGTTATTATTAAGAGGAAAGATCAAAGTTTATTTTAATTTTTTTTTTTTTATTTTTCCTTCTTTTTAGAACATTGTGAATTTTGATTTAAAAATCCTTGTTTCTCTTTCTATCACTGAAACTAGTAAAATAACATACAATTTTTAGCACGTTTTTTTTGTATGACACACATTAATTTGGAAAATCTTGCAAAAGTAAAAATAATTGTCGGATGTTAATGAAACATTCAGAAACTATTCACAGATGATCGAAATTATTATGTTTTTTTTATTAAAGTTATTGCAGAAATATTTAATATTTATTACCCACCCCATAACTAATTTTGTGAAAACTCTAGAAATTCGACCGAGTCCACTTTAGTAATTACAATAGTTAAAAGCACAAGGCTTTGAGGAATGCAAATCATGTTTTTTTTTGTTTTTAATTGGACCCCCTTGCCTCAAAATCAGCTCTGAATTGTAATATACAAAACTCAATAAAACAAAGATTGTTTAATTTCAAATGCTTTTATTTGCTTTTAGTTGTTTTTATGAATATGGACAATATTTTCTGAAAGCAAAAAATTTTTTTGATGAAAAATGAATTTTTAATACAATTATTTTTACAAGCCACATCCGCTTTCCTAAGTGTCCTTATGAGATAGATCTTTTTTAGCGCGTTGTAAATTGTATCATTTTGACTAATCAGAAGACCCTCAGTAATTAAAAAATGTAATTTTGTGTTTATAATGTTCTTTCCATAGAACAAATTATCCTCACGTAATCCATCAATATGTCATTCATCACCTGTCAAGTGACACAAAAGGTTTGTTTTATTTTCAAATTACATCTTTTCAGCACAGAAGCTAAGTTAACCTTGGTTCAAAATATTTTAAATAAATAATTCCACTCCATATTTTTTTTTTTGTGTGTGTGTGTGTGTGTGTGTGCATCAAAATGTTATATTTTTTTTTAGTATGATATCTCATAAGTGACATTATGGTTAAAAGGTCACATGTTTCAAAGCTTGTCTCCTCCTTGGGGAAAGCCCCTTGACATTTAAAGGTCTTATCTCACTCTCAGTCATTAAAATTAAACTGAGATAATAAAATTATCTCATTTATCAATTTAAACAATTAATAACTCAGTAAGATATTTTAATTATTAATATAATAATAAAATAATAATTTTATGAGTTATTATCTCAGTTATTAAATTAAAAATGTAATAACTTAATGTAATATTAATAATTAATAAAATTATTTATCATTATCTTAGCTATTAAATAATGAAAGAGATAGAGGTAACTCAATAATGCAAGAAATTTTTATAGTATTTTAAATTATTATAAGAAACAAAAAAAAACAAAAAAAAAAAAAACATTATGTCACTTTTGATGCACCGTACTAAAACCTGTCAACACATTCAGCCATCAAATTATCAATTGAGACATGAAAATAACAAGACCCTGAGGTCAAATGTTTGTCTAGAAAGTTTTATGCTATAAGTAAGTGATTTTTGTTTCAGAACAGATTAATTTAACTTTAAATTTGCTAATTTTATGAAAGTAACATTTCAGAAATGTATATCTTATTTTAGCGGGATTTTCAAAACTGAAAAATAAGTTTGTGTACATTTTTCTCTAAAAAAAGTTAAAAATGGCCGTTTTGATTGGTTTTTCGGAAGTATCGACTAAAAATCATTCAAATTTCTATTTGAAATATTCCACAATATTTTTTTTTCTGGAATTAGAAAATTTAATCCTTTAGCTTTCAATTGAAGCAGTTGGAAAGCTTCGAAAAGGATTTTTCCTTTATGAAAAATACATTTAAACCTTAGGTATACCGAATTTTTGGAGGTACCTACTAACATATGAACTACCTCTTCATTCAATAAGGCTCTTTATATAATTACAAACAAGGGTCATAACTCCTGTTGGTAATAATTTTTATTGTTGAGACATTCACAATCTCCTGATCCAAGGGAATCTTAACCTAATAACTATTTCTGGTGAGAGAAGCTAAGCTTATTATAAGTTATGATCCTCTAATGAAAGCATTCTCTCAGTAAAGTAAATTAAAAATTCTTACCTGTTGAAGAGGGACCTTCAGCTTTCCAGGCACGTTCCCTGTTGCCAGGAAATACTGCATTGTGTTTACAATTTTGTTGCCATAGCGACAAACATCATGCATCACATCTGTAGATAAAAGACAACTTCTTTTTAAATAAAAGCATTTACTTATAAGTCACTGAAGGTGACTTTGCACTCAAGTTACTTTCTATTTACAGAATTTACCACATTTCCTGATATCAAAGACACTTTTTTACCCTACACTCTATGATGGTGACTTTTTTCATAGACCTATCTGATTCAATTGTATTTTCTTTTTTTTTTTTAATAAGTCAAAATTGCAGTATCCTTAACACCGGTTTATATAGTATATTCTTTCTACACTACCTTAAAAGCATAGAAAAGAAACTCCCATCAATACCAGAAAGAGTGATAAAAATTAGTGGATTTGAGAAGTCTCATTTGTTGAAAAACTATTTTAAGAGAAAGATTTTATTAATTCCAACCAACAGTAATGCTGACAGTTAGGTCAATAAATAATGAATGTTTCCTTACAAGGAAACGGCTAATCTCACAATTACCATTAAGTATCAGTATTATTAAAATATACCACTGTGGCTAGCAAAGAATGCAGGTCAATCAAGGGAAATAACTCTGAGTTATCAGACTTTATCAGTTTATACTGTATTAAAAATTACTCAGAAACTGAAAATTAGTTTATTATTCAAGCTAGAGTTTTTATAATGGTTTTGTGCTGATAAAAACTGTACTAAGATGTGCCATTTTTACTGCATTATTGTAACATATAGACAGAAATTTGATCATTATCATACAGATGATTACAAATGGTTTATTGAGTTTTCAAAATATCCAGTAGTAAAAATATTTCTCATTTTCTTTATTGGGTTTTATATTGACATTTTAAATAGCAACATTCCATAAATATCATTTACTATCATAAATACCTACAATAGTAACAAGTAAAATCAACATGGCTGCTGGGAATTTGACTGTGAGAGTTTGTGCATTGTATAAATTTAAACTTTGCAGCAGAAGCAGTCTGTAGAATATGTGCCATATTTAATGAAGATGAAGCGTATTATAAATTGGTCCAGGATGTTTACAAATGAAAATAACGCACTAAATAGATACATTTTTATAAAGGACAGTCAGTAAGTACTGATGGTGGCAAAGTGAGAAATTTTGTTGCATGCAAAACACTTCAAATATGCTAGATGCTTACATTAAGGATTGATACAAGGAGTAATATGATGATACTATGTGGCTATATCACATCAGAAAAAAATACCCATTAAATAAACTAGGTACCCTATGAGAAAAAAAAAAAAAAAAAAAAAAGTGGGTGGGCAAAATAATTTTTTTTTGGTTAACTGTTGGACAGTTAAATGAAGACTACTCTCGAGGCTTCTGTGATGTCACCCCCACCAGGCTCTTAAGGCCAAGGTGCATAAACATTTGGCAGTTGAGTGAGATCAGAAATACTCAATTTAACAAGTTAAATCAAAGTAAGCATTAGTGAAATCTAAAAGAAATATAATCATGGGAAAAGTAGGAAAAAAATAGTGGGTGGAGTTTGTAATGCCTCCTGGTAGAAATATGATACTAGAGACACCCACATAGAATTGAAAGTAGCAGTTTTGTCTTATCAAGTGTTTTTGCAGCAGACAGATGTGTCAGATGTTTCTGAAGCCTCCATTCATATTGCCAGCCACCACATCAGGATGAGTATATAGATGAAGAGTTGGTAGGGAGGGAAGAGCTGACATAGCAGAAGTTGTCCTTGCCTATCCACCCAGACAAGCAGGTAAAGAAGTCCTGAATAAAACATCTACATGTAATATGGAAAACAGGGTTCACGTTCTTATTGCTAGACATGGCATTTGTCTTTCATTGTGTTAGCTTGTGAGCATACAGCATACCCCCCTTCCCCAGATTTCAGTGCATACCAATGAGATTGAGGATTGAAATGCAATGTGGGGTAATCCTTGGCTGGTCAGTGGAAAGCCTGGGTGAGGGTCATGTTGTATGTTTACACAAGACAGGATTAGCCCAAAAGACATAAGATTGATCAGTTTCAGAACATTAGACACCAAAACGTGTTACCACAGCAGGGCTTGAGATTAATCTAGTCCTGCGGATGACAGAACATTAGTTCACGATGACTGGTTAGGTATTTCAGTACTATACACAATTTTAACTTAAAAATCATATTATATTTACACTAAAAGCAAGTAATTTATTAAAAAGAAGAGAAATTCTTACTTCTCACTAATAGTGATGGGCTTTTAATAACTAGAGCTACACACAGAAACAAAAAATAAGCTTAAGCACTTCTTTCTAAACTGGTGAATGGTGATTTTCTAAGCATAACTTACATGTGGCACAAGGCCAGAAGTATGGAGCACCCAATGAGGATCGAACTAATTACTTGGTCAGAATTGTTCTAACAAGACAATGTAACCATTACATCATGTGATGGTACCCTTTTTAAACTGGTGAATAAAACCTGAAGGTTGAAGGACTTAAATTTAGATATTTGTATTATTTATTTCTAAATGTGAACAACATTAGGATCTAATTGAAAGAATTCTAATTCTAATAAGCAAAAGCAGGAAAATTAAATATTTTGTTAATTTTTGGTTAAAATGTTTGAAAGAACAATTAAACAAACATTCATGTCATGTTTTTTTTCTTATCAATTAAATTCAAATGCTCAACTATCCCTTCTGCTCATCAATACAACCCAAGGAAAACAATGATATAGGATGTGGAACAGTTGTTGCAAGGCATAAAAAATAACTTAATGGTTGACTGAATCGAAATAAATATTCATTTACTGAAAATTTTATTTTTATTTCTTTTTATTACGCTATTAACAACTTTAAATGATAAGTAAAAAGAGAAAAAAAAAAATTGATTTTAAAGGACGGGGGTGGGGGTCAGATCCAGGACAATGCTAAAAAAGTTAGACAGAAACTTTGCTGCAGAATATATGAAGTTACTGGGCTGCTACAAGATCAAATTGCAGTCAAATTGTGTACTTGTCTTTGTTTAATTCATCTGAGTACTGTCAGATCCTTTATATATGGAATTACAGAAAGTGATGAAAAGTTTAAAAATGAAATTCATGACAGCAAAATCATAAAAAATTACCTTCATTCACAACTACTAATCCTTTCACTGATTGGACTTTCTCAATTTCAAACCTGAGTGAATATAACCAAGCTTGCAGCTGGGCCTTAAAAAAAAAAAAAAAAAAAAAATTGTAGAGAATTCACATTGAGGGTTTTAAACACAGATACTTTTTTTTTTTAGTACTGGCAAACAGGATCTCTCTCTCTCTATCTCCCTCCTAAATCTAACTACAGTAAATTCTCAATTTAATGGAGTATATAGGGAAAAGGTGTTCACTAATGTTGGAAATTCATTAAAAATTTTCAAAAATAGAATATTTGAAGATTTTTTTTTTTATTCATTTAACTCCAAGCAAGGTAATAATGCTACTAAGACACAAGAGGTTACTGGGAGTGTATATACAGTGTAACCCGGATATAAGAAAGATTTTCTCTGGTCCCAAATTAGAGCCTGTGTTAATGTATATAAAATAGACCAAACCCGGATATAAGAGACTTCTTCTCCGGTCCCGACAACTCTCTTCTATCCGGATTACACTGTACACACACACACACACTTTTAATACATGCATACATACACGTTTAATAAACATGTGCACACACTTTTTATGCATGCATACTGTGACATGACCCTCAATATTGAATGTTAAATCAGATGTATGATCAATTTATTATGGGACACACTTTCTTTCCTCTTCTGCCTTCTTTTCTTCCTTTCTTTATTTCCTATCTAGACCAAGTCCTATTTCAACTAAGAAATGGTGGGAAAGAATTTGTGTCACTAGACTTCCTAAGGGAGTAAGTAAAAATCAATCACTCAAGCCCATGTGACATGCACTACCAAGTGGGATTTTTTGATTGTATTTTCAGTTTCCTGATAATCTCTGACCATGACAGGTCACAAGTAAATCAACTCTCATTGTGTGATCATTAGGAATGTGCCTATGAACTTATTCTATTACTTGTTATGTATGGAATAAGGAGGTATTATTCCTGAAGACCGTAGATTTATTCAACTATTTGATGTGTAGAGAATAAGAGAATATTATACCCAAAGATATCATTCCAATTTCATTATGGATGTAATTTGATTGCCAGAGTGGGAAACAAAGTACATATACCATTCCAGAGTTGCCCAGTTTATACAGCAGAAAGAACTACTGACTTTTATTTGCATATTTAAAGTAATTCTGTCTATTTGCCATTATGAACATTTGAACTGACAAATTCATGAAACACGAATGCTTCAACTAACATCCAGTATCAGATGACTGCCTTTTATTGATTTTACGTCTGTTATCCCAGACTTTTTCCATATTCTGTTGTTTTTGTTATATAAAATTATTTACAAACATTCATCTTGGGTTTGTTATTCGTCGGAACCTGTGTTATGTATTCTTATCTGAGCAAACAAAACATTTTTTTTTGAACCTGGGGCTCATATTTCTATGCAAATTTGTAACACTATATACACGTTTAATATATATATATATATATATATATATACACACACACACACGCATGCATGCATGCATATGTGTATTTCGGCAGCAAATGTTCTTAAAGACAACAGACACTTTTTGCTGATTAATTTTATCAATCCATTTTTCCAACTTACAAATAATCCTTCTCAGATAAGGAAGAAATTGTTAGAAACTGTTATACCGGAACGTACCTATTTCTATTGTAAATAGACTCTCCCACAGATAAGTAGTAGTAGTAGTAGTAGCAGTGGCCAGTGAAGCTCAGTGAGTTGGGTGAGTCAGTCAATGACGGACATTAAAGTATGAGCCCCACAACTAGATTGCTGAGTCATTAACTATTATTTCAAGTTCCTAATGTTTTGTACGTCAAACCTAATTTAGGACCGACTTAGTGAAATACAAGCCTCCACTGTGAAAACTACTCTACAACACATTTGGCGACGAGGGATTTGTTTCTCATATGGAAAAAAAAAAATTGTTTCGCCATATACAACACTGTCTAACATTCATTTAGTAAGAAATATGTTATCACCTCTGATGACTTAAGATATTCAAAAGCTTTGACAATATTTATTCCAAAATGGACCTTAGATATTTCTCACAAAATTTCCTCCTTGTCTGAGAAGGGTTAATTGTAATTTCAAAAATCAATAGACAAAAAAAATGTTTGTCATTTGCCTTAAAGTACATACATACATATATATATATATATATATATATATATATATATATATATATATAGCACTAAATGTATGACAGAAGTTATGGACAGGAAAACATTCAGAAAAAATATCAACCTTGTTAATTTTATACATCTATTTACTTTTAACACTGCAGAAGTCAGAGATGAACAAGCAGCAATAATAAAAAAAAAAAAAATCACCTTTCATTACTAAATCCGATTTCTTTTGGTTGAAATTATGGCATCAATAATGAATATTTCCTGAATAAATTAATTTACTTTTCTGATATTATATGCTTTGCCTCCCAGACAATATTCTCTTTCAAGCACAATTAAAGAAAGAGTGAAACAGAAAAGAATAAAGAAACTTACCATAAGTATAATTTGATATATTTTTCCAGGCTGGAGAACTTCTTGGTTCATTATACTGTCCCTATTTTCTGCAGCACATTCATTTTGGACAAAAGCATAAAGCTTCTGTATCATGTAACTGGAAAGAAATCATAGAAATAATTATATATATATATGGCTGGTTGCAGATGTCTGATCAAGCAGATTTGTGTTTCTTTAATACTAACAGAACTCACTTATACAGTTTATACAGAAACTATGTGTAGGCGATCTGGGATTGCAAAGGAAATGTTTGTCGCAGATTATTTCCACGTCACAAAGAATAAATCACTAAGTTCTGACTTGAACATCGGGGACAGAAAGAAAATGCCAAAAACTCGATTCGCAAGCACTATTTCACAAATCACAATGCACGCAACCAGTCAGAAAAATAACTCACTCTCCAACAAACATGGCAGCCAAAATAGCCGACTTTTTCTTTTTTCCCCCCAATTCGAGAACACCAACTGCTTTTATTGGCCGAACATTTTGTTTCCATTCGTCGACAGCTGGGAGAGGATGTTCAGTAATTTGCATATCAAAATACTTTTACAGAGACTCCTGCAATGGACTTGTTTTTTTAATTCAAATATTCCACCTTCAGCATGTCATGCGGAATACGCGCCCTTTTGTTTGGTAAGTAATTTTCTTTTTTGCCACATTTTCTGTCATAGAATACACGTGATGCACTGTTTGGTTTGACGAGGTAAGTCGCCGTTTTCACTATACTATGCTGAGCGGATTTCAGTTACAGCTTCTGGGAGAGCTCATAATCTGGTATGAACATTGACCTGTGACTCCATGCTAGCTAGCAGCAATGGTATCCAAACAGTTCCATATACTTTAATCCATGCTCTGGTTTTCAGGTACTTTTTCCCAGAGCAACATTTTTGGAACGTCTACCCAGGAGAGTAATATCAGGAAGTCACTTTCCTGACAAATTAACCGCATGTAAGATTCAAATGCAGGTTTCATGATCTGAAAGAAAACCTTCTAGCATTTTGGCCATGAACAACTTATACAGGGATGAGTTTAGCAAAAATTGCCTTGTTGGGCTCCTTAAAAATGAGGGTACTGTGGCAACTGTTTTAGAATTTGCAAAATTTAAGCTTTTTAGAATTTATTTTTATCAATTTTTTTAAAGATTTCATGTTAATCTTAGTTTCTACAAATAAAATCAAATATTTATATTGACAAACAACATAGATTATGGTGACTAGAATTATTAGCAAGGATACACTGCAGTAGAACATTTTCAAAAGGAAATCAAACCTTATAACATTAGAATATGTTGTGGAAAGAACAAGGTTGTTGTATTACTATATAAAAATATAAAGCATTTTCAGTATAAAACCAAAATAACAATTGAAACAAGAAAAAAAAAATATGTACAGTAAATGTTAAAACGGTCCTTTACTTTCTGACATGAATATTTATTAGTAATTTCTTATAGATAAAAATATTTTCATGAGTAATTTTTGTTGCCCAACATTCAGAACTTCCTCTAGTCAGACAATTCTTCAGAATCGAAAAACATTAATTTTCCATTATTTTACATGGTGGGGGTCCTGTTTACAATATGAATACAATGTCAAACTGATCCCTGACTTTTTGGCATTCATGTAGTTTTCTTTCCTTTTTGAGGTGGACCAGTCTATTTATGTATTGCTGTTTTAAAATGAAATGAATTATTACTATTGGTGCATATTATATATATATATAAATATATATATATATATATATATATATATATATATATATGTGTGTGTGTGTGTGTGTGTGTGTGTGTGTGTGTGTGTGTGTAATTACGTATACACACAAAGTTCATTTCATTTTCTGGTAAATATAAATGTTGCAAGATTGAAATAAACTTGTAACATTTCTTAAAATTCCTATCTACCTCTTTTCTTATATATCTTCATAGGGCTCTAGTCAAACTTTTTCTTGAAAAATCCTCATGCCCACCTTATTAAGAAAAAATGTAACATTTTTTTTTGTTCTTAATAAAGAGAAAAAATTTTTTTTTTCTTTGATGTTGAAGGACATCGCTTGTGTTTTAAGGGCAATACACCATTTTACTGTGGTGCCACGGTCTAAAGTCATCCCTGTGTATATAGTGACCTGCATAGAAATCCACATATTGTGCAACAGCAAGAATTTCAGGAAATAGCAACAGGAATATTTGCTGATGCTATTCACCATTGACTTTTGTCTCTTAGCTGATCAATATGACCGATTTAAAAATTTATGATACCACTCTGGCATAAATATCTCCAGTTATTTCAATCCAGCACAACTCACTCAAAGTTAGTATGAGGCACTTTTCCATCTCTCCCTTCCTATACCTAACTAGTATGGATAAGTCTTAAATCAGAAAAAAAAAATATTTTGGGAAATAATTTTAATTTAGGAAATTGCAATATTCATTTCTTTTATTCCCAAAGGGCAGTGATTTAAACAGAAATATACTTACACAAGTAAGTTAAATTTATCCAAATTGTCAGACATATGAATAAGTATGTAATCTCTGAAAAGAAAAAAAAAAAATAACACTTTTATTTATATATTTTTGGTGGAGATGTATTTTTCTTTTTCTAAAGAACAAAAAAGGATTTGAAATTCTGCCTCTTCTGCAACTTAAGATTTATTACGAAAAGGTCCTGTTGTGAAAACAGTATAACTGCCAGCAAATCAAAAAGAAAAATTAACAAGACAAGTTTGCATCAAAACAGATCATTATGTCCATTATTGCACTCAATAATCTTGAGAATGGTATAAACTCATCTCCCCACCCCTCAAAAAACAGCTTTGGATTAAATAGCTGAACTCTATTGACTTGAGGTAGCAACCAGTCTAGAAGGAAAACTATGTATTCAAAAAGAAGACTATGTTCTGTCAAATTATCTTGCCCTCAACCAGGCCTGCACAAAAAGTGGCCCACATGACTAAACACTGTGGACCACAAGAGGGATTTTTGAAATATTCAAAATATTCAGTTTTGAAAAAGCATGACTTTATTCAACCTAATATTTCAGTCTTTGTATCTAATAAATTCTTGTAATTCTCCTTAGAATCTTTCCACCATCCCTCTCTCTCATCAATTTCTATCCCACTCATACTCTAAAACTTACTCTTGTGGTCTGCTACTAATTTTCTGCAATCAATGTGGTCCTTCACATTTTTTAATTGTGCAGACCTGCTATAGACACACCACTGTTGCTCTGGCTGCAATGCATGTGTTGCTCCTATGACCCTGTTGGGTTACAGAACTTATGACATTATGTGTAACTGTACTTGTGGAGCAGTTTGTTGTATAATAATCCCACACTATCTAGAGGATGTTCCAAGAATTTCAACAGTTGTCTGAAATTGTGGATAATATCAAACCTTATAGTTTTTCCTATATTTCCATACACATCATAAAACTTAATTCATAAATTAAACACACAAAGAGATTAAACAACAATAACTAATAATAAAAACAAAGTTATAACAATCATTCTTGTCATATATCTTATTAGACACGATAAGAGATTAGCAACAATAACTAATAATAGAATAATATTCTACAATTAAAGTTATGTGACGGATAGAAAATTTGTTCTTACCGTAGATTTTATTAGGTACAGTAAGAGATTAGCAACAATAACTAATAATAAAATAGAACAATTCGGACATGCTGTAACAAAAATTATGTCACAAGATTTGGTCTAATTCGGTAACATACGATAAAGTTGGGAACTTTCATCTTTTCATTTAAAGGAAGCACTTTATAGATTCTGAACAGCAAGCATCACAACCCTTCTGATTTGGAATCATTAAGTAAAATTTACATAAATTTTACTTAATGATTCCAAATTTTATTTTTGGTCTTGATCATACATAAGAAGAATAAATTTATAAACAAAAAAAAAAAATAACAGTAATCAGTTTGTTTTTATTGGCTGTCAATAAAAAAGTATCCTTCCATATGATAAATACTAAGCAGCTATATGGTTATTGCTTAATGAAAATTAAAGTCAGTGACAATACAAAAACCTTTTTTATTCACTCGAGGACCATGCAGTAGAAGCACAATAGGACACGCAGAAACACAACAGCTCAAAATCTATTTAAAAAAAAAAAAAAAAAAAAAAAGAAAGTTAATGACAAACCTGAGAAGGAATTTTCCAATCTCTTCATCTGAATACCACTCAGCATAATTCAGTTTAACCCTAAATGTCTTACCCAGGTAGTGAAGGACATCACTTTGACAGATTAAGTCTTCATTCAGAGCAGTCCGAAGCATCAATACAATACAACTGTAAAAGATTTTAAAAAACAAAACAGAATTTCCAATAAAATTACAATAATTCTAAAATATTTATATAGAATAAGCAATCTAAGATATATATTATGTAGGCATGTATATATATGCATGCTCAAAATTTCAAAAAAAAAAAAAAAAAAAAAAAAAAAAATGTCTAGGTTGATTAATTCATTCATTGCTTATCGACTCTTTGCAGGTTATTTAAAGCCAAAAAATATTGTTAGATCATAAGAATTTTTTTTTAGATAATAGTGGTTTAGTGATACGAGTCTTAGTAATTAACCCATAGCTGGTGGGAGAAAAGGTGGATTCATACCTTTCCCAAGGGTATTTGTACCTAAGTGACTATAACAAATCCAACTGGAATTGGAACTCGGTTCCCAGATTAACAATCCCAAACCATTACACCACCCACACATCCAAGGTTACAGCACTTGGTATCCCCAAGTGGTCACTTATCTAGGTGATCATACAGGAAGTAGTGTCTCAACAAGATATGGCCATAAGCCCTCCAGGTTGAAAAATTCAAGTGGACTGATCATTATGGAGAAATTCCTCCATGAAGAAGTATATTTAGCCAATCACAATAAGGTTACAAGATGGTGATATAACTATTGGTAAAGTGTAAGAAATTCACAAAAGATTGCATGTAAAAAAAAAAAAACAAAAAAAAAACTATGGATTCATATAAGTGATTTTATTCTATTATTATTACTACTAAGACACAAACTCAAAAGTTAGTGAACTGTAGACAGTTCCTTCATAATTTATAATCTAAGATACAGAAATCAATCAAATAAAAGAATTAATTTTAAAATATAGAAAAAATTGTCTATTATCTCAATGAATGCCCACTGCTTAAATAAAAGAAATATATGTATGACTAGCTTAATAGCCACCCTATCAGGTGACATTTAAGCTAGCTCCTGCAGAGGGATTTTGATTGGGCCTTTTTCACAACAGGTAGGAGTATAATGCAATAGGCAACAATAAACTACAGAAGAACTCAAAATGAATTACTGCATTTAAGCATTGCATTAATATTTAAGCTTACCTTTTAAAAGTTCAATGATAACTCTTCTGCTGCCACTTAATTTAAAGACAGTTTGATGTAAGTAGGTCCTTATTATTCCCAAATTTATTTCCAAGTTATAAAAATTGTTAACATACAAAAAAATATGTCACAAAAAAATCACATTAAAACAATCATTGCCGAAATGAAAGATTAGGAATCCTAAATTTCAGGATCATGGACTCGGATCTGGTCAGAACGTTTTTAATTTGCTCACAGAGTGAGCCTGATTCCAAAATGGTATGATATGTTGGGCCTTTAGCAATAAAGTTAAAAGCAGACAATTGTATTTTGAAATACTGTAATTTGAGAGTAGTAATTTTCTCATTTGAACATGAGCTATTGAAAGTTAGAGAGTTGTGTCCTTTTAATTGTTTTTAATCAGTAGAATCCAAGATGGCAGATACCAAAAACAATTGCAGTAATGAAAACTTGGGAATCCAAAATTTCAGGATTGCAGGTACAGATCTGGCCCAATTCTAAAATGGTATGATATATTGGGCTATGGCTTCTAGGAGTAAAGTTGAAAAAGTATGACAGTGACACAGTGACATTCACATTTATTATATAGATGAAAAACCATGACCTGGTGATATTGTGATGTACTGCTGGGATGACCTTGGTTATGTTAAGGATGCTGTGGCCTTGAAATTATAGTTAAAGCCAAAGCCATCATCTGATCAGCTTTGTTAGAGGTAACACTATTATTTTATAAATACACTTACAGATGCACAAACGTTTATACATCTGAAGCAAAATCTCAAAAATAGACAAGTCTTACCTTTTGTAGAAAGTATCATTTTCCCTTCCTTTCAAAAGTTCATCATAAATGAATTTATCATTTACATCAATAAGAGCCTGAAAAAGAAAATTTAAGCACATTGACAAACGTATAAAGAGAAGTTTGAAAATAAATCTGTAAATATATACAACATGTGTGTATGTGTCTGTATAAACAGTGTGGACACAGGAATAAACACTGCATAGTGACTGGCAGAGTAATAACTAAAGTCCCATGTGGAACTCTTCTTTGTGAAACTTATAGACAATTTTGTTTTTGTCTATTTTATTCCTGTTATGTTCACAATGTTACTATAAGGAATAAAAATTGATTATGATTTTATGCCCCAGATCATATTCACATTTTGTCCTTTAGGACTTCATCGGACTAAATTGATGTTTATGTTGATGTAATTGAACATGTGCTGAAGGAGAGAGAGCATGATAAAATTTTAATCCTTTAAATTAAATTCCTTTTTTTTTTCTTTTTTCTTTTTATATATGTATTTGGATATATAGTCTAGACAATTTCATTTACATTCTGTCTGAAGTTATTAAGAAAATCATATAAACTTTAATAATTCAAATTTGGTTTGAAAAAAAGATTGTCAAATTTTAAACAATTTAGATGTCAAAACAAAGCCAGAATTAACATTTTAGGTAGTATCAATATTTTATTGAGGTTATTGAAGTTATTTGATGTATTTTAAAAACTGCTGTCTGAAGTTATTAGGCAAAACCAAATATTCACATTTTACTTCAATAAAAAGGTAATAAAATCATCAAAAATTCATTAACACCTATAATAGGACAAATAACAAACACATAAGTTTTTGAATCCTTTACTTTTTAATATAATGACCCTTCTTCTCAATAACAGCCAATAGTCCATTATCCATTGATTTTCATTTTTTTTTTTTTTTATACTTCAGCAGGTTCAATTTTTGAAATGGTAATTTTAATTGCTTCCATAGGTCTGCTTTGCTGTTTTATTGTTTATCACCTTCATACAATTTCATCTTCACAATTAATCATAGATTTTCGATTGGATTCAGATCAAGACTTGATTGTGACTCTTCCATTATCTTCTCTCTTGTAAATCTTTTATGCTCAAAGAATTCACAGTTAAGCTTAGATATATGAGAAGCAGTATTGCCGTGCATAAATACACACTTCACTTTGAAACTGCGAAACAGGAACTTGTACCAGGTGAAAAAAATCTTGTTCATAAAATCTCAATAGTTAGCACTGTTCAGTTTAACTACTTCATTGAATGGTTCAATAATGGTTTAGTCAACAATTACCACCTCCTTTTGCATTCTTTTAGCCACAGGAACATCTGAATTGTATAAAATCCATCTTTTGGCTCATCCATCAGGTCCATCAAATATCCCTTGAAATCCGTCTGTGAAAATTACTTTAGAAAAGTCAATTTTCATGCATTTCTTGGCCCAATTTTGACACTTTAAAATATGTTTTAGTGAGGAGGTTGGCTAGGAGATTTTTTTTTTTTTTTTTTTTTACAGATTCCAATTCACAGAGTATCCTACATCTTTTGTCCTTGTTGACTCCCTCAATTCCAGCCTTTTCAAAGATCTGAGCACTCGGCAAAAGTATTTGTTTTGCCATAACTTGCTTTAGTTTACATTAATCTTGAGGAAGCCAGTTCTTAAAGCCTTTTTCTTTGCTTCAAACTCTCAACTTATATTTTAAACAACCTTATTTATTGTCCAATTATCTCTGCAAAGCTCCTTTGATATCTCCAATGTGGAAATTCCCTTATTCATTAACTTTGTTATTTTCTGTATTTCAGCAGTTGTTAGATCCTTCCCTTTACCCATGTTTCAACATATATTATGGACAAAAAGAAAAAAAAAGGTTTTATTAAATTTTAGTGGTTTTAAGCTAATATATGTTTAATCTTCATAATAATTTCAGTTGGTCAATTTTCATAAATTTCAAATATCTCAAAAACTAACCATTAAAAATGGCAGAAAATTTAATTAAATATTTTACTAAAATGGAATGGATTTTTTAAATTTTTAAATTTGACAAATATTTTAAATTTGACAAATATTGGTTCAGATTTATTAAGTTTTTTTTTGTTAATAATTACAGACGACATGTATACAAATGAAGGTTTACTCACTTGGAATTCCAATCAAATTTCATCCGGACTTTGATTGAAGTAAGTCCTTGTTCAGCTTTAAGATCTTTAATATCAAGAAATTCAAGAATCAAAAGCCTTTTTTTCAATGAACATAATCTATTATGGGATGTTTTATTATTGCTTATAATATTTAACGTATATATGTTTATAAAAGTGAGTTCATGTTTCAATGTTAATTTGATTGTATTTTTTTCACTTTGATCATTTTCTTGGATTTCTGAAATACAAAGTCGATTGAAACGAAAGCTTTCAGTGGACGCAGACTCGTCAGCGTGTTTTTCATATCAAAGCGTAGTATCTAAGAATATAATGAACAAATAGATCCAGGGACTTTCGCATGTTCTGTTTGCACTTTTTTAAAAAAGTAAATGATCAATGAACAGTGAATTTTTGAAGGCAACGAATCTGTCCTTTTCTCATTTAAAATATATATATTATATATATATATAAATATATATATTATATATATATTATGTGTGTGTGTGTGATAAGGCTGCATTATATAAATAAATATATATCGGGAAAAAATTATTTATGAATTATAAATGGTTTGTAATAAAACTTAATATGAAAATTTTCAATTAAGACTATTTTCACATACAAAATCCTTGCGAATTCAACAGAATGCAACCCACAAATGTTTGTGTGTTTTGCCCAACACTCTTCATTGACAAAGGATGGATCAGATAGCCATCTATATTTAAAAGAACAATATGAATAAAGACAACAGGGCATCATCTTGTTATGGTCTAATGGCAATGAAAACTTTGGCACTGTATAAATAATGGTATTATTTATTGGTAGACGATGAAACCTCAACGAAGGTAATGCACCTTGTATAGTTCGATATAAAATGGATTGTGGGAACCACATTGGTTTGTTGACAAGATCAGATGTCTTGTGAATATATTAGTAGAGAATCATCTATGTATATGAAGTCAGAAGAATCTTATGCTAAAGTATTTTTAAAGGGAGGACTACTTTTCAGAAATTCCAAAAATAAACTAGTTTAAATGGCACTGAGAAGATATTCCTGGTAAACCAAATGTCTATGGGTTTCAAAAAAACATTAAAATCAAACTATTCTTTTTGATACAATCTTTTTGTGTGTGCATATATATATGGATACCAATATAATATATAATAATAAAATGCTCTCCTGTCAATTTCAACATATGAGAATCTATGATGTTTAGTTGATTCAGTTTTGAAATTATTTTGTGTGATAATCTTAAGTGGCATTTAAGACCTCTAGTGATTTACAAAGGAGGCCACATATGGAGCAAGTGTGAGGATTGTGAGATGAGATCACTCTTAGATTGGCTGACACATTTTTAGATCTTGTTCTTGCTTCTTGACGATGATTCAGACATTCACAGATTGGAAACTGCTGAGTCCACTAAAACACGTTGATCTCCATTACTCGACAGTGAAGAAATTGGAAATAACTTTGTGTCTAAATTAGAATAAGTTTTCATAGGGTGTGTGAATGGCATCGTTTGTGTGTATATTGACTGAATGAACCAAGACAATTGCTTTTCAATTGTCTTGATATTTTACCATCTGATTACATTCCTGTAGCCCTGATCTAAATGTTGTACATTAGGATCAGTAAAATAAATATATATATATATATATATATTATGTTAATATATATATATTATATTAATTAGTCCATTGTCTTGAACATGATGAGTTTTTGTAAAAAAATAAAAAAAAAAAAAAAAAGTCTAATAAAATAATTTGATGTAAAATCAATGCTTTTAAAATGTATCTATGGGTGATTGAAGATGTCATTGATAGAGATTAAAAGGAAGCTAACAATAACCTTACCTTTAGCAAGAAAATAGCAGGAATGACATAGATACTGTTTTCTATCTGGAAACTTAGATGTACAGTTCCAGTTTTAAGATAATGCATCACCATAACCTGAAAAAAAAATTATGAAGTTGAAATCTTATAAGATGTCTGTGTATTTCCAAAGCAAATCAATACTAAAAATCAAATGGAGATTGATTTTTGCTTTATCAAATTGTTATTGTCTCACCATTTTACTGTTGAAAAAACTAGATGCACCTGTATGTTCTATTCTAATAGTTTTTCTCTCATTGATATTTTGGAACTTCTTATTGTTTCATTTGCTTCCTGCTGATCAAATGATCTTCAAAAATCTAAATGCAATGTCATGAATAAATCTTTGGACAAATCATTATCTTGTTCTTTTTCTTTTTTAAGAACTTGTCTGTTTTAGACTAAAATACAAGTTCAGCAAGAACTAATACAAATTATAATTTTTTGATGTTATATCTCCAACTTGTAATGGAAGAATAAGGACAATTATATGAAAAGAAAAAGCATACTGAAGGACTGGAAGTGGATCCAAGACAGAAATAAACAAATTACATTAAAAATCTCCAGAAAGAGGAAGAATGGGGGGGAATAAATAGATGATAATATTTGACTATATGAACTCGTCCATAGCTAGAAATAAAAAGCTCCAGGTCAGAGGTAAAAAAGAGAAGCCATTTAGAGTCAGTCTTCAGACTAAGTAATACAGGTGTCCCGGCAAGTTGCCAAAGCATTACTTACATTGTAAGCACTATGAAGTGCATTATAACACATTACAAAGTTTACTTTGCCAATCCGTTCTTTGATCAATCAACCTAAGAAATTCAGAACAATTTCAATCAAGACTAAAATTTTTTTTTCCCCTACTTCAGAAACTTATCTTTGTGTTTTGAACAAAAAGTTATGATCAGGCCAGTTTCTCTTATTTTCAATTATCGTTTCTTTCTTATAACTTGCTCTCTACATTTTGTAATTCTGAGAGGAATTGTTATACCAAAGAATTTTCAAGAGTTACCTGTGAGTATCCATCCTCTTCTCTTTCACACCTAATATGCAAGCCATATTCTGTGAACAATTTTCCGTGTCTTTTTAAATGGTCACGTTGAATACAAAATGGCTGGAATAAAAAAAAAGAAAAAGAAAAGAAAGTCATCACATATATTACAAAAAATAAACAGAAACAAGCATATAAATGTATATTAAGATTAGGTAGACAGGACAATGGTGACAGGCACCAGCCTGATCACTACGGGTGGGTCTTTCTGAGAGGTAAGAGAGAAAAATTCAAAATCATAATTGTTGATAAAAACTTGCTAATGCCTTTTCCAAAGAAACACAAAATCAATTGCTGTTCATTCTGTGCTTTTTGCTATAGTTGTAATAGAGTAGATTTTACAAGTAAGTAAATCTATACCTCATAGCCAATTGGAATGAGAATACCTGTGGTTGTAGCTAGGGTAAATTACAAGTGGTTGAGGGAAGAAATGAACAGAGTTAATGATATGGATTCTACAAGTAAGTGAACCTATAGTTGGTATTGGAATAGAAATTTGAGCAGTTGAAAAGGAAAGATTCACAAGCTTGATAATTGGAATTTTACTAGCATACCAGAATACACAAGTTTCACTTAATGAATTATTGACAACAGATGTTAATACACTACTAAAATGGCAGATGAAGAAAATATTTAGGTTCATGCCTTTCTGCAGAATTTGGTATCATTTCATTTTCTCCTTTAATTGTAAAATCTTATCCAAGTATCAAGAATTGTGATTGGAGTTGCTATTTACAAAAATTGAAGCGGCAGAATTTATATTTTTACTTGAAGAATCTTGGCACCATTCTTCAAATTTTGCACAACAAAAATCAATTAACCAAAGAAATTAGATGAAGCACTGCCAACCATTAATATTCATTTCTGACTTATAATATTTAGTTTCATTTTTAGTTGCTTTTTTTTATCACGACTTTTACTGGCAGTAAATGGACAATGTTGATCAGATAAAACTCTTGGCAAGATACAAACTTTTGTCCCATGATTCTATTTATAAACCTTTCTTTTTAAAAGGAAATGAAACTAAAATAGAAGATTCAAAAATTAATAATAATAACAATAATCAGTTACTGATAAAAATTCATCTACATATGTTTCCTTTTGATTCTTCTACACGAATGAAGCTTCTTAATTCTAGCTCCTATGAAAAATAATCTATTTAAATCCATTACTAATTCATCAGCTGTAGAGGATAATCTATAATCTTTGGCTTCTTTAGTTTAATAATGAAAGAAAGAAAAAAAAATTGTGACAGAAAAAGAAGTCAAAAAGACATTTTCTCCTGTGGCGAAACATGTTCTTGATAAAAATGTTCAACTTTGTCTCATCTTTATATATTATATAGAATAAGGAACAATGTTTCTAGATAACCTGAATTATCAGTGATGATCATGTTAGAGTGAGCGAAGGGGGGGGACATAATGGTAACTAACAGGTAATATCATTACTACAGTTAGTAAAAAAAAAAAAAAAAAAAAAAAAAAAAATTATGGTTGACTTATAAAAACAAATTTCAGAAATGACTGCTCATAGAGATTTAATAGTAGCCCAACTTAGGAAACAAAATGTATCAAGGTTAGAAAGCCTACTTTACTCTGCTGAGAAAAAAAAAAGGTTTCAAAGGCATAAGTAAACACAAACCATTTTTAATTGTTTCACCTCAAGCAAGGCAATAAAGCCACACAGATGCAAGGAGTTACTGAGTGTAAAAGAGTAAGAAATGTTGTGGCAGTAGGAAAGTGACTGAAGCCAAGATACCAGGTCAGGATTGATAACATTGCAGATTCTTTGGATTTTATCAAGAATCTCTAAATACACAGTAGAAGCACCAAATGTAACAGCAATATTCAATGCATGGATGACTGGTAGACTTATAAGATTCTGGCAAGAAAAATTTTCTAGCATGACACAGTAAACCAACTTTCCAAATAGCAGCAACTAATTCAATATAATCTTTCTATTCTGTCTCAGTGGAAAACATTAGCCCAAAAAGGCACAATGTGTCACTCTCCTGGAGGTGAGGATCAACTATGGTGATGAAAGGTAAAAAAGGGTTCTACAAGAACCTTCTTTAAGAGAGAGCTGTTTCATTTTGGAGGAGTTAAAATTAACAAAGCAGAACTTATATTCAGTCAATTTCACTTTAAAATTAAAATAATCTGAAAACTTCAGAAATTAATTATACTTTGCATAATCCAGTTCTCAAATAGACAAACAGAATTTTTTAAAAATTTCTTTTTGGCTCAATGACAATTAAATATTGGTCATTTATATTTGAATCTGTAAGCATTTACTTAGTTTGAGAATAGGTACATATTAGCTATTTATATTTGAGTATTTGAGGCCACTTTTGTGGGGTTTACTCCTCTGTAGAGGATGTCACGGTATCTTTTAGGCCCCACCAACAATGTAATCTCTTCTTGATGGAGCCAAAAACTTTTCAACACCCTCTTCATGTGATGAAAAATGTGCCCCTTCCAGACAAAGATTAGTTTGCAACAAGGTTAGATAGGAGAAATGTTAACAATAAGCAGCTGGTCTTGTCATCACGGATAGGCCTCTTGGACCAAACTGTCAGTCATGAGAACTAAACTAAGAATGACAGTGATAATAAAATATGGCATAAATGCCCGTGAAGAGAGAAAGAGAGAGGAAAAATGTTTTCTTTCAAAGCAGAGTATTTTTTTTTATACACATCAGAACTATTTAGTGACTGATGTTAACAAAAGGGGTAACAGGTTTTTGCTATTAGTACACGGGAAATGAAATTGTCTAAAAGTGATGCTCATTCACCTGCTCTTTTTTCTATCAATCATTCTACCACATCAAGTTCTTAGAGAATAAGACAGAGCACAATAAGTCAGGTTTTTCCCAAGAGTGGGAAGAGAACAAAGAACCAAATTGATCAATAATATAAAAAATGCATAAAAAACATTTTTTTTTCTAAATATTTATCCCATTTTAGGTATCTTATTGAGTTTGGTTAAAGGAATGGTTGCCAGTTTTATTTTATATACATTTAACACTTCTGCTGCTAAGGACATACTTATACATCTTTTTAAAACTTACATTGCCTGCTGGAGATTATATATAATATATATATATATATACTTTTAAGACGTAAGACATCTTTTTAAAAACTTTCCTTGCTTGCTGTCAACATGTTTTTAAGACATACTTATACATTTTTATGAAACTTAAATTGCCTGCTGTTAACATGTGGATTTTCAAGGTACTATGACAATAGTTCCAAGCATTTGTGTTATAAACTAACTAAGCACTTAGTGTTATTTTCAAATCAGTGTAGACATATACAACCTGTTTGCTGATATTTTTAATGTGTCATTTAGCTTAGTATGTGCTGCAAAGTATCCAACCGCAACCCAAATAGCCACACCCATGAGAAATCACCAGTTATTTATTTCATGTAAATAGCAATTTCCTATTTTTCCCAAAATGGGCCAGCACAACCAAGCAACAATGCAGCAATGAAAATACTAAAAATGTTCATGAATATCCAGTTTTTAAAGTTTGTTCTCTTGCTTTTAGTAGCATCAATAAAATTTATTTATATCTGCTTATATCATAGACTGCATGAAATTACAAGGTCCTGAGTTTTTCATTATTCACACTATAAATAATTATATATTTTCACCATATGATATAGTATCTTATTAAAGTAAAAGTGGTTACTGCAGGCCTAATTGTTTCCATAAAAGCAGCATGGTTATTAGGCTAGGTCTATAGAATAAATTGATCTTAATCCAGTCCTTGTTAAAATTTATATTTTTTTATCCATAAATGCAGAGAGAAATAGATTCACGCCTACATAAAAGGACATAAGTGAATATCTAATTCATTTTCCAAGTTGTTATAACTGGTTGGAATAAAGTCATGGTTTATGAATTATGACTATAAGAAATTGTATCATTATAAACATATTATATCATTATCATTGTAATAAAAAAATAAATAAATAAATAAAAATAAAATGTCATGCTTTATGAATGTCAGTTCAAAAAAAAAAAAAAAAAACTTAACACATGCAAAATAAGGAAAAATAGAAGAGTAACCTTTTGAGTCTACCACATGCCTGAACTTCCTACAAATCAATCAGAAAAAGAAATGCAACATTCTCTTTGTCAGTTATGGTCACTGTATAGAAAATACCAACTTATCTTGTAAAAGGCCGAAGGTGTGTGGTAGTCAACACCATTTACAACAAAGGAAGTATGTGTGTTTCTGTTATGAAACTGAGGCCATCTCTTAGTATCTCATATAACGGTAAAGTCTGAGAGAATGATCTAGATGTATCACTTAGAAGATTTGCATAACATGTATTCAAACAGATATATAGCCAGCACTTTTGAAGAAACAATTAAAAAGGATGTCATAGAAGCAGCAAATGAACAGAATTAGCAGTGATGATGTCAGCACGTGAACTATTTGCTGTACACTTTTACAAATCACAGCAGACTAAAACCAATAATTAAGGGGGTGAGGGGAGAACAAAGTTATCCTGTCATTTCTTACAAGCTGATAGACTGTTTTTACCTCAGCTTTCTCTTTTGAGAGTTTGGAGTAACTTCCCAAAATTACATCTACGTTATTTATTTATTGTAATTTTTTGGGGGCTACATATTCTTAATAAACTTTGCCAAGAAAAGAATATGATGCATTTACAGCCGACAAAGTTTAGTTCACATGAAAAGCAACAAGTTACATTATCACTATTTCAACATACATAACCAAAATAGTCATGTGCATAAGTCATAAAAAAAAAAAAAAAAAAAAAATTGGTGCTAAAAACTTACATAATTTTTACGTTGAGTGATAAGCTGTCGGATGATCTTTTCATTGCCATTAATTATAAAGTAGCCACCAGCTTCCTGAAAATTAAAAAAAAAAAAAAAAAAAAAAATTTAATTCTTTCAAAATTTAATAATAAACTAAATTAAGGCCGGAGCATACAACAGCCAAAATGTTGTTATAAATATGGCGACAAAGATGAGGACAATAGTCCAAATAATGTACATAATACCTCATCTCAGAAATATAGACAGACTATAAACTAAATTCTTGGACAAATCTGATGGCTGCTTGGAGAGAGAGAGAGAGAGAGAGAAAGAGACAGTGACATGAAGAAAAACAGAAGGGCAGAGAGAGAAAAATACTAAGATTGAGATTAGTAAAATCTCTAAAATTTTAATTAAAAGTTGATTAGATTTGAGCTGTAATTAAAATTTTATATAAAGTTCTACTCTGTGTCAAGTATAAGAAGTGTTTAGAAAACTTTAAGGGAGAAAGAAGTCTATAATTTTAAATCAAAGTTAATTTCTGTGAGAAGCAAACAATTGTGATAAAACAATTTATAAAAAAAAAAAAAAAAAAAAATCAATGGTTTAATGAGAAGCTCACCTCTGTTTCTTCACCTTGGTTTACAAGTTCTCTGGGAGTCATGTGTATCAGATTACAAGCACTTGACTACAAAAAGAGAAAAACGGTCAATAGTTAAACTATATTTGATCTTGATGATGATAAATTTCTTTTGTCAAGTCAAAATAATATGTGCCTTGTCCAATTGTTAATAATCATGAAAGATATCTTGATATTGACAATGGCTGTCGGCATTGTCCGAATTATATCGACAAGGAATTTTGGTATTACTAAATTATAACTGATAGACACAAAAAAAGAAATGCAAAATTGATGTGCAAATATTTTCTTAACAACAAAAGCTCTATCAAGATTTTCACAGCATTTTGTTTGACTCCTAATATAAAAAAATACAGAATCAGATCAACACACACACACACACATAGCCATACATATATAACCACACAAACATGTTTGGTTACTAATGTGTATGGATAGTGGCTCAGAATGAGGTATCAGAGAGCCGAGTTCAAATTTCAATAGAGTTCATAAATTCATTTACACACTAATACCCTTGGAAAAGGTATGAATCCATCTCTTCTCCCCAGCTCTGGGTTAAATAGTAGGAATCTCAAAAATTTCATTGTTATCACAAAAAAATTTTAATGCAATTTTTACTTTCAAGATTGACTGGAACAAAATAGTTTAAAACTTAATATATTTATAAAGGAAGAGTGATCAGCATCTGTGATAGAACATTTATAGATATTGATAACGTATTGATAACACTGTATGGTGACTGTTAGTTTGGGTTTTAAATAACACACACAAAAAAAACAAAAAAAAAAAACAGCAACAACAAATCAATATTTTCATCTTGTATACGTTCATCTCTGCCATTTTCCTGCAGTGGACACTTTGCTCTAGTTCTACACTTACAATTTTGGCTCTAGTTCTACACTTACAATTTTGGCTCTAGTTCTACACTTACAATTTTGGCTCTAGTTCTACACTTACAATTTTGGCTCTAGTTCTACACTTACAATTTTGGCTCTAGTTCTACACTTACAATTTTGGCTCTAGTTCTACACTTACAATTTTGGCTCTAGTTCTACACCACAATTTGGCTCTAGGCTACAATTTTGGCTCTAGTTCTACACTTACAATTTTGGCTCTAGTTCTACACTTACAATTTGGCTCTAGTTCTACACTTACAATTTTGGCTCTAGTTCTACACTTACAATTTTGGCTCTAGTTCTACACTTACAATTTTGGCTCTAGTTCTACACTTACAATTTTGGCTCTAGTTCTACACTTACAATTTTGGCTCTAGTTCTACACTTACAATTTTGGCTCTAGTTCTACACTTACAATTTTGGCTCTAGTTCTACACTTACAATTTTGGCTCATGTTTCTGCATTGTTGTTAATTTAGTATATATTTTTATTATCTGTTCAATGTTGTCCATGCAACTGTAATTAATTTACATATTTCTATTAAATATTTAATTTGCATGATTTATAAAAATGTTTATAAATGAAAAAAGACAAAAGGGAAACTTCACGCCAATACGTTTCATTCCTCAAGGCACTTTATCAAAACAAGCGTGAAAATTTTATTTGATAACCTGTAAATAATGTTAAACTTTCAAATTTTGAATAAGAGAACATTCTAAAACAGGCACCACCACTTTGTCACTGAAAAAACAGCATAACATGATGAAAAAGGCTCTAATCTTAATAAAAACAAAGTTTTATTATCAAAATGTTTATGTTATTATTAAGAGGGAAGACCAAAATATTTTTTTATTATTTTATTAAATTTTTCTAATCATTTTTTGAAATTTTCGTTAAAGTCGACATTTATGATTAATGTTCTAGCACCTTTTTTTTTCAGGTGAAAACACATTTATTTGGAAATTCTTACAAAAATCAAATAATTATTGAATTTTAATGAAACTTTCAGGATTTATTCACAAATGAATGAAATTATTTTGTAATTTTTTTTTTTTTTTTTTTTAAATCTTGGTAAAAAACATTTATTTTTTACATATATTCTTTAGTTCCACTAGTTCTGATCTTCACAGCTAAGACCTGCCATGCCAAGCACTTCATATTTCATCGGTGAGATTTAAGTTCCACCTGAACAACTTCTTCCCACGAACCACTACTCTGTGGAACTGACTCCCATGAGGTTGCTCTCTGATCACTACAATTGTAACCTGTTCAAATATAGGGTTAAACATTATGTCCCCCACATATCCTCATAAGCTGCACTTCTTACCTCTTAAAAAACAAAAAAACAAAAAACAAACAGCTTACTTTTTTTATATATTTCATCATGTTTATTTAGGAGATTTATTTTTTAATTCATGTTTTTGCCTTCATTTTTCTCTGCATTTAAATTTATGACTAAAATATATATTTTATTTTTAGATCTATTCTAAATCTTATACCTCGAAATTTTTTAACTATTGCTTTCCTTAGTCTATTATTATAGTCTATATTTTTTTAATTATTTATCCATCTTGCTATAAACCAATGATACTTTTCTCTTATTTCAGATAATTTTTTTAATATATGTAAATTCAAATTAATTCATTTTCCAGATCCATTATAGCTTCCCATAGTAATATGATGGCTCAGAAATATGTATCATACTGCATATTAATCAGTCACTTACCTTGACCATAATGGGGATATTTCCCAGGTTTTTCTGAATATGAGCTTGTTTGACGCCATTAACTGACCAACCAAAAGTGACCACAAGAGCACCTGCATAGCTGCACATCCTCAGTCGACACTTTCAAATAAATAAAAGCAAAAATTTATATATACATTTTAAAATATACATATAACATTTATACATATATTTTAAAACTAATCACACAATCAACACATTCACTGCTAATCTGATAATGTTGATCATCAACACCTTAAAATGATCATTGAACTGTTTTTTTGAGCTACTCCTGGTAACTACGCACACACAAAATTTCCATCAATTTATATACTGGCCATTGAGAGAATCTCTTGAAGCCATTGAGAGAATCTCTTGAATCCCTTGTGAAAACTTGAAATGAGCTGGTGTGACAGTCCTTTTTTCCAATAAAAAGGACTGCTATGAATGGATAAACAGTAGAAAAAGAACCGCCAGGAAAGCAGTTAATGGTTTAGGGAGAAAGCATTAGCATCCATACTTCAAGAGGAGTGGTCCAGCCGAGGGGGTCATAAATCAATATAGGAAAAGAAAGAGCCAACAGATTCAAACCCAAGACGGAACATTACTTTCTGTGCCTTCCTGAGAAGAATTTAAGCCGAAAGAACTTTCAAGTTAATTTTCCAGCAACATACTTCAAAAGACCCTCAAAATAACAACTCATGAAAACCTCTTCATTCTGAGACGTCCTATTATTGTGTATTTGGTTAAGAACAGATGTGTGTGCGTTTTGTATTTTCTGCCATGTGTAATTTTTTTGCTTCCTCTAAGTTTTTCCCTTTTTTTTCATTTTTAAAGGGTGTAATTATTTTTGGTTTTTGAATCCATGTCCTTTTCTAAAAATTGTTACACTTTTTTTCCTTATTTCTCTTTCCGTATAGATTAAGGAAGGCTAGAAAGTGGGTCAGCCAGAATGTTGTGGAACCAACAAAAAGAATACTTTCAATAGTCCAAACAAATCTGAGAAGGATAACAATCCCACTTATCTTTCATACAAAGTGCATACCTGAAGAAGGGCATAGAAATTAGTTAATTTAATGACCTGTCAATCTTTGTACAGTTATTTAATGTCACATACAAGGTGTCCAAAATAATTGTACTCAATTTCGACTTCCTGTAACTTCTCAAATTTTTTTCTTTTTTCAGATCCATGCATTAAATTTCATTTAATATTTAATTTAAACTGTTAATCTTTTTTGTAAGTCAATAAACACTACATTTATTGTATTTAAAGAGAGAATACATTTTTTTCCGGGGGGTCTGTATAATTATTAGAATGCAAAAACCACAATGAATAAATAGGTAGACATGGGTCCAGTTTACCCTAAGAGTGTATAAGGCAGAAGATGACGTGTTCAGTTTACACTAGAATCAAAAACCAGTGGCAGTCATACTGAGTACACTTCTTAGAAAGCACCCCAAACAACGAAATAAAATGTAAAAATGCTGAAGCTCACCAACCAACTGGAATCAACTTTCCCCTCATTTTTCACAAACACTGACCATTTATCTCTAAGTAACTGACTAACATGGAAAGTTGATAAGTGACTATCAACCAATTATGACAATATGCACAACATTCTTTTCAATCATGGTGAGTGCAGATTTTGACCATTCCTTAACTGATACTTACTAAATGCAACTTAGCAGAACACAAAATCAAATGAATATAGAGGAGGAAAAAAAAAATCATGTTGCACCAATCTTCAAAAGGCAGGAATGTCTGTATATATTTGAAAAATCAGAATTTTTTTTTTTTTAACCTATGCTTGGATGCAAACTTCTGGGACTTATGAAAGATACCAATTTTAGATATCAAACTGACTACCTCCCTACTACCACTGACTGTATACTAAGACGGGTCGGCAACCTTTTGCTATGTGCCGACTTAAGATTTTAAAATTATTCAGTGTGCCAACAGCATATGTATTTTTATACAAGTCAAGGTCAATATACCTGTTTTACAATATATTTTATATAGTAATATATAGTATATATATATTTTAGTATATATTAAAATTGAAACAGCTAAATATCTTCTTTGCGCTGTAGTAGTTATTGGTTCAGACTTCGTGCTGTTATTTGCGGCTGTGTGCCATTGAAGATTGCTTGGGGAAAATGTTGTTTAGACCTCCCCTACCTCACCCAAAAGGTGGGACTTTCTATGAATCAATGCTTCTTGAGGTTACTGCCCTTCCCATCTTCTAATGATCAAAGCTGAATTTTACAAAATCCAACTGCTAATTTCCTTAAATATATATCTGTTGCTTGAGTCAATGAAAAAATGAAATGAGAGAGAACATGTGAAGTAGGCTCGAGAAGCAACCAGCTGAAATTTAGTGATCAAAATAACAAAAGGTAACAATACTAGTATCTGTCTATATTTCTGAGATGAGGTATTATTTACATTATTTGGACTATTGTCCTCATCCTTGTCGCTATATTTATTATGTTTTTGTACACTCCAGCTTTCTTCAGGTGGTTGGAATGTCGAACTGAACCTTTTATTTCGCTCACTGGGGTAGACTGTTCTAGTTCCACATGCCATGTTTAATGGATGTCAGTTATCAGTTATATCCTGCTAATTTCCCTCTGAAAGTTCTCCACTGCCTTAGCCAGGTATTGAACTCACATTTTGGGTCCTGTCACTGGATCTAACTAACACTTCCACTGTACTTGAGTAGATAAAGGGTTCAGTTTAACATTCCAACCACCTAAGAAGGCCGGAGGGTATAACGGCCAAAACATTGTAATAAATATGGTGACAAAGATGAGGACAATAGTCCAAATAATGTAACTAATGTGACAATACTAGTCTGAATATTTTTATTGGATAATAGCAAAACATCACACAATCCAAAGAAAAACCAGTGGACTTTTCAACCAAAAAAAATAAAAAGTGATGAGGATATTAGTCCAAATAATTTATCGAATAATGGCAATGATCCCAGTATTTCTGGTAAACAAAACAAAGTAATACATTAATCAACATAACCAGAGTCAGTAACTAATAAAAACAGACACAAACATTTATTTTGATGAAGCGAGAAAATGCTGGCTATGATCTGATAAGACATAACCTCCAAAGAAAGGAAAAATCTTACCTCTGCTGGAAAGATCTGTTGTGTTGATGCAAGGATGTTGCTTTTACTTACAGCTGGGTTATTGATAAAGGCATCCTGGGGGGTAAAAAGAAGAAAACAATTTCACAAGTCAATGGTTTGGAAACAGCAAACTGATAAAGGACCCTTTTATGAAAGTGTTTAATATATATATATATATATATATATATATATATATATATATATATATATATAAATACAAATATAGATAACTATACTTTTTTAAAAAACCTCAATTTTTGATTTGCCAATAATCAATGTCGAGGGAAAAAAAAAGTTTTTAAAAAATAGAAAGAGCTAGAAACATGAAAGTCTGTCGAGAAAAAAAAACAAAAAAAAAAACGCAGATACAGGTTTGAAGCCCAAATAAAAAACCCCGTTACAAGAAAACAACTAACTAACAAGAGAGCTCAATACAACTGTAGAGCAGACCTAGATAAACCTAGTGAGCCAGACAAACCTAACAAGGTTTCACCTAAACAGATCATCAGTATCATATATATATATATATATATATATATATATATATATATATATATATATATATATATATATATATATAAATATATATTATAAGAAAATTAAATATCAACAAGTTGGAATAACATATGCAGATGTGTTATGAGCAGGTTGGTTTGATTTGGCCCCATTTTTATTTTTTTTTCTGACATATCAACCTCAATGGGTTATTTAATAAATAGAAACACAACATTTTTTAGGATAGATTAGCATTATGAATAGAATATGTATATGTATTCTTTGGTTTAGATTGGTTTGGTTTATTTTGTTTAACAGCATGTCAACCTCAATGGGTTATTTAATGCTGACAAAAATTTTATTGCTGGTAATATTTTGTTTTGTCAAAAATCTGTTTCTGGTAATATATTTCCTTCAATATTGTATTGCTGGTAATAATTTTTTTCAAAAAAGTATTGCTGGTAATAGTTAACTATTTGCCCATAGCTGGGACCCTAACAGGTGCTACCACCCTGGGTCAGGGTGAACCTGGCAACACCGGCAATTAAGAGGTGGTTCCACATTATGAGCAGGTTGGGAATGGATGAAAGATAATTATCTCGTTCCAAAGACATATAATATAGAAAGTATTTTTCTCGTCTCTCAGGAAGGCACAGTTGTGATTCAATAGATAACACAAGGCTAGTGAAGAGAATGATTTACAATGTTTTAGCTAAAGTTAAGAAAAACTGCAGTTTTGTATCAATTGATTTCCCAATGCTTTATTTTTTAAAAATTATAACGAACGCTTTATTATCTTAAAAAATAAATAAATAAATAAACGCACTATGATAGGAAGGGAGGAGAAGGAAAGAAAAGGTATTGTAAATGTATTGGTGGTTTTAATTGAAATATACATATTTTTTATCCAGCCTCATAGGAAATTCAAAAATTATTTTAATAGAAGAGTTTCTAGATAACCTAGACTATTCCTTTAGGGACGTGCTTTATATTAGCAGGGTGGTTGGATCGAACATTCACATATTTCAATTTCGTGTTGGCTTTCATGTATTGGGAGACACTGGCAGTTTGTAGGTTTAATTCTACATCCAGATACTTGACAACTATTTCATTCATTTCAAGTTCTATTTCAAAGTCGAGGCTTTTGAAGAGTTTGAAAAGCCTTTTTTTTATGTTGTCATTTGTTCTTCTGTTGTCTGGCACTATCATCAGGCCGTCATCTCTATACAGGTCGTGGTTGTTAATATGTACAATTTTGTTAATTTCATATAAAATGTGTAGGCCTATTAACTTGGAAACCTCAGCACCATCAAAGAAAACTTGATACATTTAAGTTGTCCTTTTTTGATTTTTTTTAACCTAAGCTTCTCCATTGTGGAATAAAACTGATTTGCAGTAATGTATAATTATTTTACCCAGTTTAATTTTAGTTGGGTTTATTATTAGAAAAGAAGAGTTATTGAGGAATTCATCTTTATGGTCCTTTACGGTTAGAAATGCTTGCATGCAGCAAAATATGCGAACCCTGTTGCTTATCCCTAGTTTGGCTGTGATATTTTTCACCTCCTCGTTTATACTTTCAATGTATGAGTCTGGTTCTTTTTTTTTTGTAAATTTTAGTTACCTCTTCATTTGTCTTTTTCTGGTAAGTTCCTGGGTTCATCGTATAAATGTTCTTTGTTTTGTCACCTTTAATTAGAATGTTTTTAGTACTTTTTATTTTTTTACTTCAGTTAATAGGTTTTGGAAATTGCTATTAAGTTTTGTGAATTTCATATTGTCTATAATACCAAGCATATACTTTTCGAAGTTAGCTTGTACTTCAATAGCAGGTGACAAATTTTATTTGTATTGGGTTGGTGCATAATTATCAGACGTTTTTTAAACAATATTTATTATGAAAAAAGAAACAACAATTCAGCAATAACATTTTACATTATTCTGGAGCGTGTGATTAGCGACATGCATTTTTATAACCTAAAAATAAAATATTTTTATTAAAAAAGTAAACAAAACAATAATTTTTATTAACAATCGCCTACAAAAATGCCTAATAATTATGCACCACCCCAATATTATATGCTCTTGAAAAATTTTGGTTGAGCACTGTTGAGAGATAGGGTAATTCTAAACAGCAGCCGTCACTGCTAACGCAATGCTCTTCATTGAAAATGAAGAGAGCACTATGGCTCTGTCTGGCATTTTTTTACATTTTTAAAAAAATAATACACTATAATTTCCCTTTCCCTCTGCCATGCTGATAGAAACTCTCACTGATGCCAAATTGGTCGGGTTTTGATTCCAGCTTGAAGCAATTGGATGTCTAGCTGCACTGATACAACAAAACAGGCCTGTATGTGGATGACACACATAATATATATATATATATATATATATATATATATATATATATATATATAAAAATGGACTCTCCCGTCGGTTTCAACGTATGAGGATCTGACAGCTTATTGATTCAGTTATGAAATTTTGTGCGATAATCTTAAGTGGCATTTAAGACCCGCTAGTGATTTACAAAGGAGGCCACATATGGAGCAAGTGTGAGGATTGTGAGATGAGATCACTGTTAGATTGGCTGACCTTTTAGATCTTGCTCTCGCTTCTTGAAGATGATTCAGACAAGCAGATTGAAAATTGCTGAGTCCACTAAAACACGTTGATCTCCATTCTACCCGCTCCAAGGCTAAGTGCTCAAGGGTGTTATGTGGTATATTGACTGCTGACAAGTTGCTTTTCAGCTTGTCTTTGTATCTTAGCCATGGGCATCCTACATTCCTGTAGCCCTGATATAACTGTCTGTACATTAGGATCTTGGGTATCCTGTCATCAGACATTCTCAAGACATGACCAGTTCACTGTAACTGAGACTGTATGATAAAAGTCTCGATTCCTCCAATATTACACCTGTTAAACAGGTCTATGTTAGATGTCCTATCTTGAAGCTTAACGCCACAGATTGCACGCAGACAGCTTTTATGGAAAACATCTAGCTGGCGTATATGGTACCTGTATGAAGTCCATGACTCTGAGCCATACAAAAGGATGGCAAGTACAACAGCTCCGTAAACCCGAATTTTGGTGTCCAGTCGAATACCTCGCTCATTCCACAAGCGATGGCGAAGTTTGCCGAAAGCACTCGTAGCCTTAGCAATCCGATGCATGATTTCATCATAAAGTTCCACTGTAGTTGACTTTGCTACCAAGATAGGTGAAAGACTTTACATAGTTCAGGGGTTTGTCTTCTACTTTCAATGGTCTCTCTGGAAATTTGTAGACTGGTGGTTTTTGTTTCTCACCACGCAATTGCTTCAGAGTAGGACAAGGTTGGTGCACAACTTCAGTTTTCTTTATGCTAAGTGTAAGACCAAATGCTTTACATGCAGCAGAGAAACGATTTATTAGATGTTGGGCCTCCTCAAAGGATGTTGCTACAAGAGCAGCATCATCAGCAAACAACAAATCACGAATAATATGCGTACGAAGGTGGATCTTGGTTTTGAAGCGCTGATGATTGAAAAGACCACCAGTTGTTCGAAACTGAAACTTGACGCCACTCTCTGTGGCTGCAAATGCATATTTCAGCATTACCGAGAAGAAAAGGGCAAAAAGGACGGGAGCCATGACACAACCTTGCTTGGTGCCATTTGTGACATTAAAGGATTCCAACATCATACCATCAAACACCATGTATAACTCCTGGTTTTTCTCGAACCTTCTCCGCAACTTGACGAAGAGAAAATATCATGTCAATGGTGCCCCGACCCGACCGAAAACCACACTGCGATTCAGGATAGATGTCATCAACAAGGTGTATAATGATTTTATATATATATATATATATATATATATAAAAACTATGAATACTGTAACTACAGGGTATAATGTGCAAAGTTTTGCTCGTTATCATGGTCTGTATACAGTTATGCAAATATTACAGGATGATTGTTAAAACTTGGTATGGAATAAATGACATGTATTTGAGAATATTATCTTAGTTACAATTTTCAGCATCCAAAGTGCCATTAATAACCAGAATTAGAGAGGAGAGTGCTTCATGTCTCACTTACCATAATGGAAATGCTAATACAGTCTCCATTTGAAGATTGGAATTCACATGGCCTTATTTTCTGTCAAAAAAAATAAATAAATAAATAAAAATAAATTGCACACACTGAACATACCAATATTTAATTATTTTTGATCAGATCTTATATTTGTTGTTTCAATCAATACTTTTGGCTAGTATGCCCTCCAGCCTGCCTAATATGGTCTAAAATTAGGAGACAAGTATAGTGATTATTTCAAGAGTTTTTTGGACTAATATCATCTTCTCTGCTGCTTCCATGCACTCTAGCCCTCATTGTCTAACATTCTCAAAAATGAAAAATTACATTAGTCTGTTACTTTCATAGTCAAATTTGATAGGAGGAGAAGGAGATGATGATGATGATGATAATAATAATAAACCCTGAAGAGGCTTCTGTTGTTAAATCCCAAGAGTCCTGACTAAATTGTTGGAAAATCTGAATATGTGATTTTATATATATATATATATATATATATATACATACATACACACACAAGTAAATTGATTTCTCTTTCAAATGATACTAAATTTAGCTGCCTTAGTATCACTGGTTATGAGATATGGTTTTGAAAGTTTGGAGATTTCCAAAAAGTGGTAAATATCCAGTGCCTCTAAGTCAATCATATAAAGGGTTATAAATACTGTATATTGAAATACCGTGTTATCCAATTGTGGACACATTCAAGTACTCCTGGACTGTAAAAGCATCTGAAACTTGGAGGTGTATTTGGATGCTTTCGACCTTAGACAGATAAATATTTATTCATATGGCTGTCTTTAAGTTTTACTGAAACTAATATCTCCATCTTTGTATTTATGCACTGCCACATACTGCCCTATAGGTACCTCCAGGAGATTGCTAAAAAAATAGCATAACATGATGAAAAAGACGCCAAATTTGACGAAAACAAAATTTTATCGTCTAAATGTTTATATTATTATTAAGAGGAAAGATCAAAGTTTATTTTATTTATTTTTAAAATTTTTTCCTTCTTTTTAGAACATTCTAAATTTTGATTAAAAAAACCTTGTTTCTCTTTGTATCACCGGAACTAGTAAAATAACATATACAATTTTTAGCATGCTTTTTTTGTATGACACACATTAATTTGGAAAATCTTGCAAAAATAATTGTCAGATGTTAATGAAACTTTAAGAAACTATTCACATATGATTGAAATTATTATAAATGTTTTTTTTTTTTTTTATTAAAGTCATGGCAGAGATATTTTTTTTAATGCTGACTAAAAAAAAAAAAAAAACAAACAAAAACAAGATTTTTAACGAAAATTTCAGACACGCTAGGAACAATTAAAAAAATGTAAAAAATACCCCAAAATACTTTGATCTTTTCTCTTAATAACAACAAACATTTAGATGATAAAATTTTGTTTTCGTCAAGTTTGGCGTCTTTTTCTTCATGCTATGGTCTTTTTTTAGTGATCTCGTGGAGGTACCTACTTAATACATATTAAAAATTGTTCAATATAAACTAATTTTCAAATTCTCTTTTCAATTTTCTCTTAATAACAACAAACATTTAGACGATAAAATTTTGTTTTCAAGTTTGGCGTCTTTTTCTTCATGCTATGGTCTTTTTTTTAGTGATCTCGTGGAGGTACCTACTTAATACATATTAAAAATTGTTCAATATAAACTAATTTTCAAATTCAAAATTCTTGAACAGCTGTTAATTTAAACTAAATGTTTTTCCAGTGAAAAACATTAATTTGGAAATTCTTGCAAAAATCAGACAATTATTGGAATTTAATGAAACTTTCAGGACTTATTCATAAATGAATGGAATTTTTTAAAATTATTATTTTTAGAAAATAGTGGTAAAAAAATTAATAAATAAATAAAATACAGATGACTAAAAGAGGGCACTAATAACTATTTTAGCTGAAAAAAAAAAAAAAAAAAAAAAAAAAAATAAAATAATAATTTAAAATTAAAAATTAAATAATTTAAAATTAAAAAAAAAAAAAAAAAAATGAAGTGAATCAACTCCAATCTATATAATTTCTTTTTGACATACATTAGAGAGTATTTTGCCTACTGGAAATAGTAAATTTAATCATTTAGCTTTCAATTAAAATTAAAATGAAAGTTTCAAGAAAGTTTTTAATTTTTAAAATTCATTTTAAACCTTAAGTATCAAGAATTAGTGGAGGTATATATATATACATATATATATTAAATAAAGCTTACCTTGACTGCTTTGTAAATACCTTCAAGAAGCATATGATTGAAAGAATCAATATGATGTTTAAAGAGGTTCTGTGTCAACTGAAACAGAAAATAAATAAAGTACTATTAGCATTAAAAGGTCCAATATCTAAAAGTTTCAACAAAAATATCAAACCAAGAAACTTCTATAACTTTGCTACAGTGTGCGGCATAAATATTGTTACAAAAGAAAAAGCTCATAACTCCTGAAAAATTTATTTTATCAGCCTACAGTTTTAACACAAAGTAAGTAATAATCTACTAATTAACCCTAGGAAATCTCATCCAATATGAAACCCTTTAACCTTCACCATACGTCAAAGTCTTTCATGAATGTCATTGATGGTGGCACACACAGCTTTCATTTAAATATTTTAGTGAAACACACATACAACATTGATATAATATGGTACAACTTGTCAAAAAACTTTACAAAGAGATGGTTGCAATATGGGTTTGTATTAAAACTTAATGTAATTTATTCCGTTTTTAGCTTCAGAAACACAGGGTCATATTAAATATAAGAAAATACAGTAGGCATCTAAAAGTAAAAACTTAATACAAAGAGAGAACTTGACAAAACATAAAAAAATGATAACAAATTTATCTTGGTAGCTCAATTAGCAACCAATTTACACAATAGTTGGCTTTTGTTGTAACATTAATGTTATTAAAACATGACAGATTTTGTGTATTCCCTTTATTCATTTTTTTAAAATTAATTTCGGTGAATTTCCTGTCTTTGCCAAGGCAATAATTTGCTATTTCTCCAAACAAATGAACTTTTTGTTGGGTGATCTTATGTCTGTTGGCAGGCGCTGCATCTGTGTTGCTCTATAAAATCACTTGGGGAAAAAGATCATTTTGTTTTTTTTTCACCTCCACTAACAGCTTTTTATTAGAAATGGAGCAAAGTTAGGATCAAGCAAGAGCGTGTATTGAATATTCTGGTTCCAATTCTCAAAGATGTTTGTAACTTGGTTAGGTGTCACCGTTTCAGTGCACAGTGCGTACCTGCTGTGGTGAAGTAACGTTAGACAGAACTATCAACTGTATAAATAAAAATTTAATCATTAGTAATATAACAGCTTGATGTATTATATCTATTTACAAAGTATAAGTATGTTTCAGTATGAGAAGAAATGTAAATGAAGAACAACACTACAACTGCCAAACTTTAATGGCTAAAAAAGGTGGGTAACTATACACTGAGAGTAGAACCGGAAAAAGTTATGAAAAACAAAAAACAAAAACACCACACACACACACAGAGGTAAAAAGAGAGGGTTGAATCAAAGTTACTTCCCTTACTATGTTATTTAAACTAATACCATACTGATGCTAGCTTGGTTTTGGAGGTATTGAATGTTATAAACCAGTTCCTTCCCCATTAAGCTGTTAGAGCTAGGTCATAGGAGAGATCAGTTTCAAAATGATTTTGATTATCTAGACTTTTGGAGGTGCACCCATAAGCTGTGATATCACCTGTATAGATATTTACTAATGATCTGAGAATGTTCCTGTGCAGATCGTTAATATAAAACAGGAAGAAGGTAGGACTGAAAAGTGAGCCTTGGGTGATGCCTGCATTCAATTCATGGGCTTCAGAAGACTGGTCATTATTGAACCTACCTGACAGGAAGGATTTGATAACTGTGAAAACTCTTCTAAAGATGCTATAACTAGATAGCTTGTGTAGAAACCATTTTACCACGCTTTTTTAAACGCCTTCAAGGTGAGCACTGTTGTAACGAATGTATTACTTTCTTTTTGATAATAAACTCAAAAGATTTGCTGACAACACTGAGGCTGATGGGATAATATTACAAGGGGAGGTCAGCACTTATCCATATTCTTGAAAAGAGGTCATACTGTTGACACCTTCCATAGAAGCTTACGGTCAAATCACGCTGAAACACCGGTTCTCGTTCGATCACCGAAGTTAAGCATCGTAGAGCCAGGTCAGTACTTAGATGGGGGACCGCTTGGGAACACCTGGTACTGTAAGCCCCCAAAGTCCAACCCTTACCTCACAGTCGGTGGGGGGGTGTAAACGGTAGTGTCAGAGCTATGCCGCCCGGAACTTCGTTCCTGGTAGGGCCACCAAAGGCGGACAGGTCTGACACACACGAGAACTAACAAGGGCTCTGGTGAAAATCCAAGGAGCGTCTGCATCGGTAACCGGTGGCTTCTGGTCGTTCCTGTCTCTGCGTCTGTGGGAACCCCTCGGCAAGCAAGAACGTTATCCGAGTAGGCCTGGGTACCCTACTTCTGTAATTTATCCCAAGAATCTTCTTCTCATAACAGGAAGAAGCCGGCTCAATCCGCCCAGGGTGAATGCCACATCAGTACAGTACAGTACCTTCCATAGACTTGAGAAACATTTAATATATAACCCCTCCCTCCACCAGCATCAGTACATTGGCCTTGGGAGGGAAAGCAAGATTGTTATCTTCTATTAATAGATTCGTTTGAGATGTGGAATGCTTAAATGATCAGTGCCCATCGCTTCATATCTATGCTTGTAAATGTGTAGGGAAGAGTCTAGAAAAAGATTAAATAGACTGGGGCTCTCATTTCCTCTTGATGAAGTTTGAAATGTTTCCAATATTGGGGACCTCACCAGATATGTAAGATTTTGTGGACTGGTACAGTCCTCTGTTAGATTGATGCATTCAGTGGATTTTGAACTTAGAAGGCAGTTTCTAATGTATGAGGAGAAGAAGTCTATTGATGTGGTTATATGCTGCTGTGAGGTTGACATAACAGGTATACAATTTCCTATTAAGAGAGAGATGCAATTTCCTGTTATTGGTTATATTTGCCATCATTATATCCCTTACCAGAACAAAAACCAAACAGATTTGTGAGTTGACTTCATTAGTTGAGGAAAAAAAAAAAAAAAAAGCTCTTGCTAATAATTAGTGATACACATTGACCTACCATGAGGATATGTTTTCTGTGTTGAGTAGATCATATTTGGATTTTCATCTGAAAGTACTCGAGACAATTTTTATTAAAATGAGACGGCTTTTTTTTTGTATAAACAAAAGTAATTTTTGTTGGGTCACAGTAAGTATACAAGTTTCAATTAATATATGCCTATATCCCATCTCTGCTCCCTTTCTTTTAGTGGTTACACACATTATATTAATTCTTCAATCGAGCTCTGATGAGAGAGGCACGAAAACTGGTCAGCTGTTTCCGATATTTTTTCATATTGCCATTTATTGTGGCTTTATTTACTTTTTGTCAAATTTCCTCTTCTTTTTAAATATGTCTGTTTTTAAAGTACTGATTGTATTTCTTACTAATTATTTCTTAAATATTGAGAAAAGATGGCACATTACAAGACTAAAATACCTTGTTCTGTTACGATTCACATGAATTTTTAGAATCTGTATAAAATTAATTTTGAAATTCTAAATCATAAATTTCTTCAAAGGAAATTAGTATTATTAGTCATAAACCTTATTGTTTGCATAGGTACTTCCAAAAATTCACTAAAAATGAGGGTACTGATGAAAACGATGCCCAAAACTTTTATCATTTATAATAATTTATAAATTTTTAAATCATTTAAAAATCTGTATTAATTTGTAGCAATCAAGTGATTAGATTAAAATTATATTTACTAATCTTAAATGGCAAAACTCACTACAATTCAATGCCTCCCATCCAATAATTTAAAAAGAGTACTGAACTATTTTTAATGTGTGTATAAACATGTTGATTTTTGTAAATATGAATGTCCATATACAACATTATCAGAAGAGAGTAAATTTATAATTTATTGGTAATTTTGTAGCATTTTCTCAACAAACGTCTTTGTAAGTAATACTAAAGTATCTAAAATTCAATAAAATGTAGATCAGAATTCGGTAAATTTTTATTTTAACACCCGGGTGTCATTTACTGCTGAACTAATTTCTTTCAGAAATTAGTACGCGTTTCTGTAAAGCAATTTTTTTTTTTGTACTTAATTTAAGAATAAAGTTAACTTTCAAATATATGTAAACATCAACAAATAAAAGAATAACAAAAGAAAAAAAAAAAGAAAAAAGATTAACAAAAAAAAAAAACCAAAAAAAAACACCTAACCCTAATTTGAAAGTTAACTACAAGGAATTACTGTGAAGGGAGTAAATAGGCCCAAATTGTATACGTCCACCGACAGGATTCAGCACTTAAAATTACTTATCAATAAGCCGGTAAGGGATGACAAAAAGAGTGAGAAGAAATTCGATGTTTTTTTGGTCATTAACCTCCAAAAAGGTAGGTTTCTTTAATATCTAATTGTTGATTTGAGTTCAACATATACATTTGCACGGAAATAAGACTATTTTGGAAAAAAATTGAAGGGATAATAGCACTTGGGTGTTAAAATGAAAATTTACCCAGAATTCTTAAAATATTTAAAATTTTTAAGATTACTGAGTACTTTAAAATATTTTTTTATAAAAAAGACATTTGTGTTTTATTCGTCATGTAATTTTTCTAGTTATTGTTCCCCTAGCTAAATTTCCCAGACTGTCAATAAATCACTCAATATATGAAAAAACACCCACTTCGTCTTAAAAAAGAACAGAAAAAAGGTTGTTTGCAATAAGCTAAATTAAAAGTAACGTTTGTTTCAATTTAAATTAAACTTTAAATCGGTTAATTTTTCTCAAATAACGTTTCAAAAACGTATATTCTATTTTCCAAAGATGTTGTGTTGACAAATCTATCAATATGAATGTTTTTTTGTTTTTTTACTGAAGTAGAAAAAAGTATCCAATCAGTTTAAATTCGGTTTAGAGCAACAAGTATTTTGCTTTGGGAATCTTATCTTATCTTTCTTACTTATTATAAAACGCAGATTGTGTGTTTGTGTGTCTGTAACGTTTATATATTGGATCGGATTTTCTACATTTTTCAACCGATTTCAACAAAACTTCACAGGACTACATAAAATTACCTTGTGGTGGTTCTAACAGCGCAAAAATGGGAAAAATATAATTGTTTTTGCACAAAATCAATTTGAAAACACGATTAAGAGACATCGTGAAAATGGAAGGGGACAACTCTCATCGGTTTTTCCTATATTTTTCAGCCGATAAAACAAAACTTCACTTTTTTTTTTCACTTTTTTTTTTGTAGTGTTTCTCTTTTTCATTTTTTTTTTCTTTATTTTGAACATTCAGAATGCTTTAAAAATTCCATTTACAAGACAATTATTTATAATAAAATTCTATTCAATTGGGAGACTCATAACGATTGAAAACAATGTTTTTGTTTGAGTTTGGGTTTGACCAATTCGTAAAAAATAAAAAAAAAAAAAAAACTAATTATGCGTGTCCGTCAACCTTAAACAATAATCTTTGTCAATTTTATTTTTCAGTCTTTATGATGCTGGATACTTGATCTATCTCTTACTGTTGCAACGCCGGGCTCTACTGCTAGTATAAATTAAATAGCTTTGTGAATTAAAAGTAAAATTTAAAATACCTTTAAAAAAAAAAAAAAATGAATGCATTTTTTTATTTTAAACTTTAGGTATCGTTTTTATTTTTTTTTTTGAGGTGGGGGTATACTTTTGAGCAGGGTTCTCAGTCTATTCTTGAACAACAGAGATCTTACTTGAACCACGTTTCCACGTAAGGAATTCCATAACATGTCAATCTACTTACTAACCAGAGGCCAGACACAAACATCTTTTTCTAAGAAATATATAAGCGAGGGGAGGATTGAAATAATAGCGGGGTGGATTTTTTTTTTTTAAATTAACAAATAGTTGGTACGATTTATTACAAACAAAATTTTTTATTCAAAGCTACAGCTGTTTATTAGTTTGTTTTTCTTTTCTTTAATCAGGTGGCATGCTGACGATTTATTAAATTGCTAAAAAATTTTCCGCAGAAAATAAAAATATATAAATGAAAAAACGTGGCCTAATTTCTTTTAAAAATAAAAAAATTAGCATTAATACGGCTTTTGTTTTTAAGATATCATCAGTTAATTTAACTACGTTTTTAACATTAGCTACACGTGGTGCAGTAAAAAAAAAAATAAATAACAATGAATTAAAAAAAAGAAGCCATATAACTTTGACACCTACAGATTTAGCCCAAGAGAAAAAATTTTCTCTCACCTGATACTGTTCTTTTCGGATATTACCATAGTCAGGCTGAGTAAGGTGATAAAAATCGGAATTTTGTCGAATATAAGTTTCGTCCATCGTTATTTTCGTTCTCGGATCCCCACGTGAGGAATAACAAGAAATTTCGATCAAACTTCCGCGATTTATTTCTCGTATTTAACTGCAGAATATAACGGTCAGTATTTTAGTAATTGGGTCTTCATACGAATACCTTCAAGATTTGTGCACGGCAGATAATGATGTGTTTGTCTTTATTTTATTTATCTTTTTTTTTTTTAAATTAATTCTAAAACTCTTCATAATAACTAAAATATTTTTTATTTAAAATAATGAAGATGAAACTTGAATACAAAGAAAACATCTATCTATCTATCTATCTATCTATCTATCTATCTATCTATCTATCTATCTATCTATCTATCTATCTATCAGATATCAATCGACCTTCCTTGAGCCAAATATTCATTAGTGTCCATAACTTTCTAGATAATTGTTCTCCAGTGGAATTATCCATTGCTATCAAAATTTTTTTTTAAAATATATATATATATATATATATATATGTATGCAATATTATAAATTGATTTATTTAAAATATGGTTTTTTTCGCTACACAGTTCTAACCACGTTTCAAAAATGGAAGCTATATTTTATTTTAAATAAATCAATTTATAATATTAATGCTCTGTAAATTTACATTGAGCACTATTTTGTAAAAATAAAAATATCTATAAGAACACCGGATTATATATCTTACTGTTCTTTTTTTTTTATTTATATATACATATATATGGATGTATATATGTATGTATATATATATATATATATATATATATATATATATATATATATATATATATATATATGTATATGTATATATATATGTAAAAAGTTTGTCATTTAGCTGACTGATGTTACCTTCAGCATCATCCCAACTTCAGAGTTTTGTCCACTCTTCAGGAGGTACACACACACACACACATATATATATATATATATATATATATATATATATATATTGTTCTGTATAAATTAAATAAAATACATCTAGCTCTTTTTTATGGATCAGTTTTAATATTTCCATATTACTATGATCAACTTGGATTATATACCAACTGATATTTTACCTTACTATATATATATATATATATATATATATATATATATATAATATTTATAACAGTTATAACAAAAACATGTTATAAGCTGCTACATTTATGCAATCATGAACCCAATATATGTACACCAGAACCCAAGCCACCCTCAGTCAGTAATTAAACATATACCCTCTTCCATAGAATTTAGGATTAGTAACAACTCTTCTAACAAAAATATCTTCTATAAACACAGTAGTTTATATAATGCTGTTCTAAAAAATATTGGTTACAAAGGCACTGAAATTAAGTATAGAAACCCCTAACAATAGCAACCAGAGTAAGAAGAAAAGGAACAGGAAAATCATTTGGTATAGATCCCCATTCACCCAGGTGGTAAAATCTAAGCTAGGCAGAAGTTTCTCTGGGTGTTGACCATAATATGCTCTATCCCTGATATCAGACACTAACTCATAAATATGGTACAGCTTAAAACTATATTTTTATCATATATAATTGTGCATTTGTTTCATTAAAAAAAACTTTACTTTCTTTTATATATATATATATATATATATATATATATATATTGTTATTCGCAGACAGTTTTGGTGTATTACAGCTCATCAGTGTGGCTAAACATCCAAGCCTCAAGCCAGAATCAGCTCCCTGTAGAGAGATAGGTGAACTTTTACATATTTATTTTTGAATAAACATGCCAGTGACTCAGCGTACTCAATTCATAGAAGACCTTTACATTATCAGCAACAGCAGTCACTGTTTACAAATTCGTGTTTTCCCTCTAAAGTGCTCAACCAAAATTTATTTTTTCATATATGTGTGTGTGTGTGTGTGTGTGTGTGTGTGTGTGTACATATAAGATAGTTAGGATTTTTTATATATCCCACACAGATGAAAAATAGATATGAAGAAGAAGTTGAAAATGCAATTGGAGTCTTTAAGAATATTTATTTAGAGTAACTTTATCAGTTTCAGAGTTCTAGGATTATCAAAAGTTGAATTAAGATGTAGAGACATCTGACATTGCCATGATCTGTTTTACATCTGTCTGTCTGTCTGTCTCTCTCTCTCTCTCTCTCTCTATATATATATATATATATATATATATATATATATATATATATATATATGGGGAAATATGTATGACAAAGTTTAAAACGTTTTCTTTTGATGCATTTTGGCCTTTTAAGTCCTAAAGGATGAAACATGTCACAAGAAAACTTAGCCTTAAATGGAAGAGGTTTTATAAAATTAAACCCAGATATTAACGTTATGGCATTATGAAGAATAAAGTGCTAATTTGAAACTAAAAGGGGACTGAAAATGGAGTTTTATAAAAAAAAGATTTTCTATTTGTAAGGTTAGGTTCCTACTTAAAAATACACTTCCAATGATAAATTATACTTAAAAATAAGATATATGTAAAAAATTAAAAAATAAGTCATATTTAGATAATTTATATTAAATTTAAATAAGAATATACTTAAAAAAAATTAATATTAAAAATAAAAATATCTTAAAAAATAAAAAATATAATAAGATGAAATAAATTATACAATTTTAACTTTAAAGATAAGTTAAATCAAGCTATATTAAATAAAAAAAAACAACCATACAAAGTTCTATTTAAAAATATAATTTTTATATTTTAATTTTAATATCTTATATTACTAGGATCCACTTGGATTATATACCAACAGATTTATTACCTTTGCTATATATATATATTCACCTTTGCACAAATAACTATATATATATATATATATATATATATATATATATGAAGTTATTTGTGCAAAGATGAATACAACAAACTCAATTGGAATTCAAACTCAGCTCACCAATTTTTCATTTGAAGCTGCTAACCATTAGACTATATATGTTTAATATATATATATATACAAAAACCATAGTCGTCCCAAAACACAAAGGACAATGCTCAAATACCTCATTCTTCTCCTCTGACATGATAGGGAATAGAAGGATTTTTACCTTTATTAAAATGAATTTTCAATCTCTTCAAAATAACCCAAATACTTCCATTATGTTGAACCTCCTTAAGTTGAAGTTTTAAATCCCAGTAAAACATTCAGTCAGTTATGTGCCATGCATGATAGATGCTTAGGCTATCATGTATCTTTTGATACATGACTGATGAGGCAGATTTTTTTCCGCAGTAGGTTGCCATTTCTTTCTGCAGTAGACCAGATGCCATCCAAGGCTATAGAACCCAGTCTGTCCTGCTGTTTACCCATAGCTGGAGGGAGAAGAAGAGGATTCACACCTTTTCCAAGTGTATTAGCACGTAAGTGAATATAATGGATTTGACTGAAATTTGAACTTGGTTCTACGATTCCTCAATCTGAGCCACTATCCATTACTCCACCGTGCCTCCAGTTGAATCCATTAAATTTACTTACCTGCTTATACTCTTGGGAAATGTATGAATCCTCTCCTTCTGACTGATTAAAACATTACATATCTATCTTTTTCTATAGAATGGAAATTTATGTCCACTTAAATTGAAAATAACTTTCCATTCAGTATCTGTCTATATTTCTGAGATGAGGTATTATGTACATTATTTATATTATTTGGACTATTGTCCTCATCTTTGTCGCCATATTTATTACAAGGACACATGGCACAGTAGATAAAGGCGTTAGTTAGATCTAGTGTGAGTTCAATACCCAGTTAAGGCAGTGGAGAACTTTCAGAAGGAAATTTACAGGAGATAACTGATAACTGACATCCATTAATATGACACGTGGAACTAGAACAGTCTACCCCAGTGAGCGAAATAAAGGGTTAAGTTCAACATTCCAACCACCTGAAGAAGGCCGGAGAGTACAACAGCCAAAACATTGTAATAAATATTGCGACAAAGATGAGGACAATAGTTCGAATAATGTAAATAATGAACTTTCCATTCTATAGAAAAATATAGATATGTAATGTTTTCTATAAAAAAAAAATAGGGTCTAGACATCAGACTTCTTTACTCTTCTTCCAGAAAGCAGCACAGGTTGGTCCATTTCAATTTTTCATGTATTTATATTGAGGTTGGAAAGTGGTCAGGGAGTGTGTTTAGTGTGTGTGGGATTGTCTTTTGCTTTATTACAAAGTCAAAATACCAATAATCTACTTTTTGTTTCTTTTTCTTTTTTCAGAAATGGAGTTGATACTTGACATAATTTTGAACATGGAAAATGGTATTTCCTCAAGAAGTTAAAAAAAAGGCATCAATGATAAAAACCATGTCCTTATTACAATAAAATGTTCAAGAGAGTTGCAACTCATCTTCACAGCTGCCCAGAGAAACCAGAAGAAAGGGTTAAAATAGTCAAAGAGAAAACAATGAAAAATGATTTGTCATTGAAAGAAAAGGACAACAATGATATAGAAAATTTAAAGATGCAACCATGTCCCCATTGCAATAAAATGTTCAAATGAGTTGCTACTTATCTTCACAGTTGTCCAGAGACACCAGAAGGAAAGGATAAAATAGCCAGATGGAAAACAATGACAAATGATTTGTCATAAAAAAAATAGGGCAACAAGAGTAAAGAAACTTTACCATTTTATCAATGTCCTTCTTGTAAGAACTGGTTCAAATGAGAACCTATCCCAAATCACAGATGCCCAGAGACACCAGAAGAGGGGAAAAAGCCAGTGAGATGACAACTAAAATATAATGTACAGTGCAGTTGCAAGTCACCTTTCCTACTGTTATATAGGAATAAAGTATTGCTGCTGACACTGGAGTTTGAACACAGATCACCAGAGAGCAAACACAGGTGATCCCATTTTGAATAAGTAGATCACATGATAGTAAAGGAAATGTATATATGGGAATTAGCATGGTGTCTAAGTGATCACTATACAGATTACTATTTGGATCACTATTTGATGGTTACTTTTTGAGTGAGTGTCATCAAGCAAGTACTATTAGTGCGAGTGTTATTCGAATGTGTCTAACACCAGCATTGTTCAACGGTGTTGTTATAATTGTATCTGCGATTACAATGTCTCCACTACAATGCGCATTACAAAAGTGGCAACAAGTGTTTGTTGACATCACAAAAGTGGCAACGAGGATTCCTTGAACTTACACAAGGATTCGTTCAATTTACATGAAGAAAAAATGAATCTGCAAAATATTCAGCATTGTACAGTGGAATGGAAGAATTAAAAGCTGCCGTGGTTCAAATGTTGCACCAACAAAAACTACAACAAGAACAATTGCAGCAAGAAAAGCAACAACATGAACAGCAATTACAATTATAACTACAACAACAGAAGTTTTTTTGAGTTGTTTACCAAAATGATGGAAGGAAAAATTTCAGATTCATTCACTCCTGATGCTGTTGCTAATGCAATCAGGGAATTTGTGTACTTCCCAGATGAAGGGATAACTTTTCCAGTTTATTATAGAAGATACAAAGGGATCTTCAAAAGGGATTGTTAACATTGAAATGATGAAAAGAAAGTTTGGTTATTATTAAGAAAATTGTCCCCTGTTGAACACAAAAACATGTAAATTATATTTTCCCAAAAAAACCAGGAGAGATAAATTTTGATGAGATTGTTCTAAAACTATCAAAAATCTTTGGTAATAGGAGTTCATTATTTAATACTTGATGGCAATGTCTTAGTAAAGTCGGACAATGAAGATTTTGTCACTTATGCAGGAGTTGTGAATCAAGAATGTGAAAAGTTCAAGTTAAATGAATTAACTCCTGATTTATTTAAATGCCTGATATTCATACAGAGTTTAAATTCTAATAAGGATATGGAGATAATATCCAGAATACTTGCTAAATTAGAAATGGATCCCAAATTAACTCTCAAGAAAATAGCGGATAAGTGTCAAAGTACTGTGAATTTGAAACTCGATCCTGCAAGGATTGAGGAAAAAGACAATTCACAGGTCCATAGTGTCCGATCATCTAAGAGAAAAAAGCTACAAACATTTTTCAACTCCTAACAGGACAGTAAAAAAATACTATAAACCCTCCTTAATACTTAATACTTGCCATGGTTGTGGAGGTCATTTGTTCTTCAAGAACAAAAAATGCTATGAATGTGGGAGATTAGGACACAAAAGTATGTGTTGCAGATACAAAAAATGGAGGAAAAAATAAAACGTATGTGAATATGATAAATAAATTGAGTAACAATAAGAAGCCTAAAAGGGAAATTAACAACACATCTCAAAAAAGGAAATTTATTTTTGTGCAAATTAATGATGTAAAAATAAAATTGCAACTAGATACAGGATCTGATATCACTATCATAAATGAACAGACATGGAGAAAAATGGGTAAACTCAGTTTATTGAATTCTGATGAAGTTGCACATGGAGTCTCAGGAAAGAGATTGAACTTTTTGGGTGAATTCAGCTGTAATGTTTCTTTTGTGGGAAAAAACAAAAAGGCGGTGGTGTTTGTATTAAAGAATACTGCTAATTTGTTTGGAGCAGACTGGATTGCATTGTTTGATCTTTGGGACCTTCCAAATAACTCTTTTTGCAACTAGATAAATATTGTTACCCCCGGTACTAATACGTCAACAGAAAAATTTAAAAATGAACACTGAAAAAGATTTTTCCAGAAGTTTTCTCAGGAGGTCTAGACACATGCATGAAAGCAAAAGCTAAGTTTGAGTTAAAAGACAATGTAACACTGACATTTAAACCAAAAAGGAGTGTACCTTTTGCAGCATTTGGCCCAATTAATAATGAATTGGACACACTAGAAAAATTAGGTGTAATATCAAAAACAGACTATTCTGAATGGGCATCACCAACAGTCTATGTTAAAAAAAAAAGAATAATAAAATCTGTGTATATGATTATTTTTCAATGGGGTTAAATGAAAGTTTAAAAAAACTTAACTACCCATTACCAAGTCCAAAGGAAATTTTTGCCAAATTGAATAGAGGTAAATTTTTTTCTAAACTGGACTTATCAGACACTTACCTACAAGTACTAGTGGACAAAGACTGCTCAAAATTATTAACAACTAACACTCATTATACAAATTCAACCAACTTCCTTTTGGTATTAAGGTAGCACCAAGCCTATTCCAATAGATAATGGATACCATGTTTGCCAGTTTGGATTGTGCTCAAGCATATTTGGATGATGTACTTATTAAAAGTAAGACTTGAATACAACATGCAGAAGATGTAGAGAAAGTCTTTGAGAGAATCAAAGAATATGGTTTTAAAATTAGTGAAGGAAAATGTGAATTGTTTTTGTCCATATTTAAATATTTAGGACAAATTATTGATGAAAACTGTAGATGACCAGATCCTTCAAGGGCGAGCATGATAGAGGACATGCCCACTCTAACAAGTGTAACAAAGTTACAAGCATTTTTAGGGTTTGCTAACTACTATAATATATATATATGCCTAATATGCATGAATTAAGAGCACTCTTGAATAACCTGCTGAAAAAAGATGTGAAATAGAATTGGACAGATAAATGTCAAAGTGCTTTTGAAGAGATCAAGAAAGTCTTAACATCAGATTTGTCACTAGCTCATTTTGACCCTAAAGTAAAGATTGTGGTTGCATCAGATGCAAGTGATTCGGGTATTAGAACAATGATACTACACAAATATGAGGATGGAACAACTAAAACAATAGCTCATGCTTCTAGATCATTAATTGCAGCTGAAGGAAGCTACAACCAGATAGAAAAGGAAGCATCATATTTACCATAAAAAGTTTCACAAATTCATACATGGTAGAGAATTCATACTACAAACAGACTATTGTCCATTATTGTCCATATATGGATCAAAAAATGGTGTTCTCACACATACAGCAAATAGACTGTAGCACTGGAGAACTATCCAATTGAATTATAATTATAAAATGGAATTTCTACCATTCAAAAAATTAAGTCACACAGACGTATTGTCTAGATTAATACCAAGATTCTGTGAACCACTTGAAGACACAGTAGATGAGGCGATAAGGGCCGAAAATGAAATTAATAACCTATTATTCAATACTTTAAGATAACTGCCCATAACATTGGAGGAAATAAAAAATTAAGGCAGAAAAAAGATGACTTTATAATGAAAATTAAGGAGAAATTAAGATCTAAAGGAAAAAGTATTATTGGAAATAATGCATTTTCATTATGTAATGATGTACTTATGTATGCAGAGAGGCTGATGATACCAACATCGTTGCAAAGAAGTTTGTTAAAATGATGGAAGGCCAAAAGGTTTTTTTAGATGATCAATAGAGAGTGTAATTTCATTTTGTGGATGTTAAAATTAACAAACCATTTTTTGGCCCAATTAATTCTTCAGGACATTGACATTTTTTCTGCTATCACAGATGAAGAGAACCACTACCCTTAATTCTAGGAATCCTGCTATATATATGAAATATATTTTTCTTGAAAAAGAAATGTGTCTTTCCCACTTAAATTTCTTTAACTGTTTTATTCTTATAGTTTTTGCAAACGGTACAAAGACATTTTCTCTGTAACCAAGATCCTGTATAGTAAGGTTACAACATCTGAAAAGCTCAACTCAATCCAATTCAGCTGGGTTAGTAAAACAAAATAATTTTTTCTTTTTCTTTTCAGGCTTCCATTCTTTAAAGTAATATATGTATTTGACATAAAAATAAAAAGTCACAAAATGAGGGTTCACTTTAGCAATATATTTACACTGTAAATTGATCAGCTGATGATTTAATGTTGGACACAAAGTCAGGGTCCATTTTGACATTATTAAAACCAGGCACTCATGCTTTGTAATGTAAATTTTTTTTTTCTCAAAAATGAATACACTTCACATAAAAGGTGACAAGAAAATCTGCATTAGAAAAAACTTTCATAGAAAAAATTATCTTTGTCTAACCAAATCTTGACTTAATTTGATAATTTCAGTTCTTTGGCAAAAATAGCATTGTAGAATTTTAAATTCTCTGCAGGAGAAATTAAGATAAACAGATATCTTACGCTATTTAGGTGAGCGAACTAGTTTCTAAATAGGCAAATGCTGCGTGTTGCAACCTCACTTAAATTATCAATCATCAAGTATAATAATATACATCAATGCTCGTGCAAGCCAGGGTTGACAGATTGACTTTTTTGATGCCAAATTTCTGAAATCTGGCTTTTTTGTTGATTTTGGTTAAAAAAGAATTAATTTGGTGTCTTTGGCTATTTTTTATATGATAAAATATATAATAAACAGTATATTACAGCTGCTATGCTACAATTTTTTTTTATCCTCAATGATGCAGCTGAATTATAGAAGATTTCGGTCCTTTTTATCCTTACCTTAATTCAGAAGGGGAAGGGCTTGTAGAGGACCATGGGTGTTTGTGTATTGTTGTATTAGTAACATGCGTGTAACTCCTGGTAGAATATTAAAAGGTCCAACTACAAGAAAATGGCTGGACTTGAATTAAGTCCAACTGAAGATAAAGAAGACAAACAAAACCGATATATATATAAACAAATATATGTATTAAACAAAACAATTTTACAATGGACAGTAACATTTGTGTGTGTGTAAAAATTGGTGTCTGTTCTTTGGTGAATGTTCGTACGTATGTGTATGTGTGTATAATGTTCATGGTGTCTTCCACAAATGGGAAGACGCAGATCTTCTAAGAGAGCTTACATTGTGGTTGCTGAAATAAAGAAATGAAAAAGAGAATGAGGCGGGAAGTCACCCTGTATTTATAATATAGGGAGAGTAACCCCTAGTGACAATTTGGGAAGTAAGGAGGAGCTAACTATGACAGGCTCCCGGAAATTTACTGTTTTAAAAAAAAACAAAAGCAATAATGATCTTTTGTAAACCTACAGCAAATTTCTCATTCATAATTCTCTATCATATAAAATTTATATTATAAATAAATAAACTAATGATCATTTTTTTATCTGGTCTTTCACATGTTCATTCTTCTCTGATGTTTCTTTCACAAGTTTTTTAAATGAAAAAAATGTTTTTTTTTTACAGATACACATGCTGAAATAAAGAAATAATTATTAAAAAAACGGTTTAATTATGTTAATTAAAAAAACAAACTTTTCAATTAAAAACTTTAAATTTCAAGAAACTTATTTAAAAACATCTTTAATCATAAAGTCAAGTAAAATTAAAAAAGAAACACACACACACACACACACACACACACACACACACACACACCAAAATAAACAAACAAGATTTATCAGTGAATCAGATTAGTGTTACCAGAGCTGGCACTAGGGCCTTGGGGTCTCACCTCTCTATTAAATGTTGTCTTTAAAGTTTCCCAACCTGGGGTTCACGAAACCTCAAAGGAAATTTGGGGAGGGCAGTGTTTTTTAAATTACCAAAAATCAGAGAATTATTCAATTTAAATGAAAATTTTAGTACATATTCATAAATTATTTATTTTTATAATGAATAGTTTTTTTTTAATTTGTTAAACTACACACTGAATAAAAAATAGCAGCATTATTGCTTAAAAATGCTGTTCAGATATAGGGGAGATACTAATTATTGTAGAAAAGAAAGTATATTTTTATTTAATTCATAATCTTTTTACATTCTTAATTGAATTTTTTCATACTATTTTCATAAATTTAAACATTGAAAGAGCATGGAAATATTTCTACAAAGGTAAAAAAAACTTTAAAAATTTCATAAGGGGACTTTTTATCTTGCGGCTTTGCCTCCAAAAAACTCATTTTAGTGCCTGGAATTGTCAAAAATTTATTTTCTGTGTTTAGTATCAGGATTTAGTCTTTCTGGGAAGGTAATTTGGGATTTAAATTTTATTTTTTTCTGGTAAAATTTAGACTAAATTATTTAGTCATACAAATTTATAGGGTTGGTATTGGAAATTTACAAAAAGAAAAAATAATTCTTATTGTTTTTCAATTTAGGGGAAAGCATTAAAACTAAAAGTTTTTGGTTAATTTGATCATGAAGAGAGATTTTAGAGATTTTATTTTTTTAAAAATAAATTGATACTTTTTTGAATTTTTACGGATAGTAGTTTGTAGTTTGTTTATGACCATAACCTTGTTTAAATAAAAATAATAAAAATCACTAGTGTCAAGAGGCTCAGATTTAAAATATATATATATATATATATATACCAGCAGACAAACAATATGTTTTGTATCAGATTTTTTTTTTTTTTTTTACTGTCAATCTGTTTTAATTTGACTAGAAAAACTAATCATTTTTAAAGTAGTACTAAAAACACAAACAATTCGGTTGAGTGACACTCAAATTGCCGCAGTAGGCAAGTATCGGCTGATTTTTTTTTTTTTTTTTTTTTTCCTGATCAGCAAAGCTGAAAAGAAATACGAAAAAGACAAGATGGAGGGTTATACAAGGGAAGGTATGTTTACAATTTTAAATCATGTTTTAGTTACGATTCTTGTCTTAGTTTCTCAAGAGAAATGCATATTTTTATCTTGTAGTTAATAAGGATTCTGAAAAAAGTATGAATTAAATGAATAAACGTTTTGTTTTATATATTTCGCCATAAATTCCAAATCTTAAGATTAATCTCTTTGTGCTAACAAAATGGCGTCACACAGTTTTGGAGGTTTTCTCTTTCTTTGTATATATTTTTTTTGGTAGAAACAAAATGTTGCTGGTCCTTTCTTTTGTTTACTCTGAAATACTTAATGTAACCAACTCTGTACTGTTTTGTTTCAAATACGTTAAATCTTATGTAGTCCATTGTTTAAAACAATTTCCCTTGTTTATTTTAAAGAAAAAAGGTGATCTGAAAATGAACGTTGTTCGTTCAATCCATATTTTTTTTTATTATTATTATTCATCAGCTTTGTATTTTTTTTTAATTTTCAACGTTTATATCTCATAAAATACAAACATTTCGTGGTTAAAGAAAGGAATAAAAGCAACGTAAACTTATTTTTATTTTTAGAAGCTAATTTTATATTTCGCCTCAATATTTTGATGTAAAAATAAAATTTTGTCCAACCTTATAAAATTCTTATCAAATCAAAGAAATTGAATAAATAAAAAACTGAATGAAACTCTGGTAATATATTTTATATTTTAATTTAATGTCTACATTTACAGTGTCTTTTTAAAAAAATAATGATTTTAAAATTATCTTTTTTTTTTTTTTTTTTTTTTTTCCGTGATTTTTTTTTTTTTTTACTTGGTATTTCTATAATTTTTTTTTGTCTATAAATCTCTCCATGTCATTGACTAGAAATAATGTTAGTTGAAATTTATTATTAAAATATTTACAAAATTGCATTTAAAATCCTAAGTAAGAAAGAAGCTGTTTTTCTTTACTTTTCTTTCTTTCTTTTTTTTTTGCAAAAAAAAAAAAAAAAAATCTTTTTATTACTTAAATTTTTAGTAATTCTACCCAAAATCAAAATATTTTAAGAAATATTACCAATATTCATTGTTATTTCAAGCATGATAATTCCCTTAAATTTAAATTCACTTCTGCAGTTTTTTTTTTTTTTTTTAAAATCTCTATATAGTTATTTCGAGAGAAATTTTACAACTTAGAATTTTTTTCCCTTCTAGTCTGTGTTTACTGTTTAAAGACCTTTTTTTTTTTTTTAATGGTGTGAATTGATTTTTCTCTAATTTAGCTTAAGATTTGAATACAAAAAAAAAAGAAAAAAGCCTATTTAAGATCAAGAAACAAAATGACGGGGGCGGATGTATTTTTGATGTTTGATGGAAATTCAAGATTGTGATTATCGGGTAAAAAAAAAAAGCGATACTGCTGAAATTTTTTTTTTTTTTTTTTTTTTCGACATCAAATAGTTTCTTTAATTTTTAAAATTATTTAAAATTAAAGACTTTATTTTTAAATGTTGCAATGTCTGATGATATCACCGCAACCACATGTATGTTGTTTTTTTATTTTTCATTCCTCGTGTGATTTTCCTTCATGTAGGTCAAAAATTCGATAAAAAAGGATATATATGCCCGAAACAATAAAATCAAAATTTTATCGTTAAAAATAAAATCTTCGTGTCATTTAAGGAAAGATCAAAGGACGTTGTAAAAAACTTTGAAAATTTAATGAATTTTTTTTTCTCGTCAAAAAAGCAGGACCTTAAATTTGTACGAGAATTTTTAGAAAATGCTTGTTTAAAAAAAAAAAAAAAAAAAATCTGTTATCTCCCCCCCCCAGTCATTTAATTTTTATGAAATTTTGAGAATTTTTTTTTTTTTTTGTATTGCATAATGTTTATATTTGTTGTTATAAGAACAAGTCCTTGGATAATTTTTAAATAGGAATATTTTGGTCAGGCAAGCAGGAACCCCTGCTTTAGTTTCTATTTCCAGCTATAAATATGTTTGCAATAAGCTAAATATTTCAAATCGAATTGAAATTGATTCAAGTTTTTTATCGCTAAAATTGTCCATATTGTCATTTGTCAACACAGCATAATTCTCTTTATTAAAAATCTTTCAAAAATGAAATATACTTTTCTGAAACTTTATTTGAGGAAGATTAACTGATTTAAAGTTTAATTAATCTGAATTAAAACAAATATTTTTAGTCCAAAATATCACAGAAAAAATTTAACATGAAAGTGGTTTGTTTTTTATGAGGTGTGTTGTAGGTACCTTCGTGAGATCGCTAAAAAAGAGCATAGCATGACAAAAAAGACGCCAAACTTGACGAAAACAAAACTTTATCGTCTAAATGTTTATGTTGTTATTAAGAGGAAAGATCAAAGTATTTTAGAGGTATTTTTTTAGTTTCTGAAAGTTTCATTAAAATCCTACAGTTATTTTTATTTTTGAAAGATTTTCAAAATTAATGTCTCATTTCAGAAACTATTCACAAATGATGGAACTTATGAATATGTTTTCCTTTTTTAAAGTCATGGCAATTTTTTTTTTTTTTTTCGTATTTATTCCCCCCCCCCCCCAATAATTGTACGAAAACTCTATAATTTCAATTTGGGGCAGTTATATTAATGATTGGGGAAACCAAATCATGTTTTTTTTTTTTTTTTTTTTAGTTAGACTACCTCTACCTGAAAATCATCTGAATTGTAACATACAAAACTCAATAAAACAAAAATATTATTTAATTTCAAAAGCTTTTAATTGCTTTTATTTATTTTAATGACCATTGACAATATAGTCTGAAAGCAAAAAGATATTTTGATGAAAAATGAATTTTTAAAACAATTATTTGTTATTTCTGAAATATTTTATTATTTTTACATTAAATGTTGTTAATTCTTCTAAAATTAGGGAAAAGTTTGTATAATTTAATGAATGTTGTTATTGAGTAGATATGTATTTACAGATTATAATTTCCAAAGCTTCTTACAAACTAACGAACACCAGTATATAAAAAATATAATTTGCGTCAATAATATGACTGGACTGCAAATTAAATCTACGGAAGACCAGAAGTATCGTGCGTGCAATTAAAAAACGTCACATAGATTGAGTTTCTGTCTAGTATTTAATTTAATTATTGCATTTTTAATTGATTGCTTGTTAATTCTTTAATTATAATAGGTTTTTGCATTTAAGTTGTTAAAATATAAAATTAGTTAAAAGCCGCATTCAGTTTCGTAAATGTCCTTTTGAGATAGATATATTTTTGTGAAAGACATGAGAAGTTAATTTGATTTTTCAATTTCGACTGAGAAAGGTACCTACAAGTATCAGTATCATCTTATGAAATTTAAATTTATATTTTATGTACACTTCTGATAAAATTTAATAAGGTACCTATAAATTAATTAGATACCTTATGAAATTTAATCTCACTCTCAACAGTCTTATTTTAATTTCTTTATAATATATTTTCCATAAAGCATTGTAAACGTAAAGGTGAAAGCTAAGTACAAAAAAAAATTAGAGTGCTGAAAGTTTTCCTTAAAAATAACGAGGTAAATAATTTGTTCACTTAAATCTAAATAATTTCACTTCTCTCTTTCCGTAGAATAAATTATCCTCATGTAAGCTGTCAATACGTCATGAAAATATCTTTTGTGACCTGCTTTGTTTTATTTTCAAACTACATCTTTTCAGTGCAGAAACTAAGTAATGCTTGTTTCAAAATATTTTAAATAAACATTATAATTTCTGATTTTCTTAAAATAAGTTTTGAAAAAATTATAGTTCATTTTTAAAAGAATTTCAAACTGAGATATTCATTTTTTTTTTTTTTTTTTTTTTAATAAAATGGAAAAAAATGGTTGACATGATTATCTGTCAATTTTGCTGACTTAAAAAAAAACAAGATTTTTACCGAAAATTTTGGATGTGCTAGGAACGATTAAAAAATGTAAAAAAAAAAAAATACCTCCAAAATACTGTGCTCTTAATAATAATATAAACATTTAGGCGATAAAATTTTGTTTTCATCAAGTTTGACGGCTTTTTTGTCATGCTATGCTCTTTTTTAGCAATCTCATGAAGGTACCTAGATACTTGTAGTGAAATTACATGATGAATACAACGTAAATGTCTTTTAGGTTAATTTTTTAACTACCCTGTAATCTTAAAAATTTAAAATATTTTATTGTATTTTAGATACTTTGGCTTTAAGGTCATACTTGCAAAGACGCTTGTTGAAGAAATGTTAGAAAATTACCAATAAATTTTAAACATGCTATAATTACTGCTCTTTGTTTCAAATAATTTCAAGTATAGATATCTGTATTTTCAAAAATTGGTATGTTTATATACACACCAAAAAAATTCATAATTCTTTTTAAAATACTGGGGCTCACTGAATTGTAGTAAACCTTTTATTTAATAATAGTATCATTGACTGCAACGAATTAATACAGTATTTTAAAAGTTTATAAATCTTTACTTATTATAAAACGCAGATTGTGTGTGTGTCTGTTCATTTTATATATGTATTTCCTACATTTTTCAACCGATTTCAACAAAACTCCACAGGACTACATTAAAATTATATAGGCGGTGGTTCTGACAGCGCCAAAAATTGAAAAACACAATTGTTTTTTGCACGAAATCAATTTGAAAGCATGAGTAAAAATTATCACACCCAGCCGGAAGTTACTGCCGGCTACTCAAATGACTGAAAACGGAATGAATGCCGTTAACTTCCAGTGACTCAGTTTTTTTTTTTTGTTTTTTTTCAGAGAATGATACACAAAAAGTAAAACAAATGAAACCTAAACATACACAAGTCCTCCTAACTAAAAATAATAACCAGAAATTACTTTAAATACACATGGTGTCCAAATGAAACCCATGTGTACAGTCAAAATACGGAAGTTAATTTTTAGTCATCAACCAAAAGATATTGCCAACCGACTACGATGCTAACTGGAGCCGACATAAACAGAGCCGATTTCTTCCATCAAGCAACTTGGCAAAAATATTTTA